ACTTATAGTTAGAGACGTTGTCAGTTCAAAAGTCTACAACTTTGTCTTGTAAAAACAATAGCCCTTGTTGGATTTTTGTCAACACACAAACCTGCTGAATTTGTATCCAAACTAGAATCTAGCATCCACTTTTGAGAATTTTCAATCAAAGAAAAAACTTTGAACTCCAGCCAAGTTCACTTTTGCAGCATTCTTCTCTCGCCCACATACCAATCCGGCTCGTTTAGATCCCGCTACAACCATCCAACACTCTACTTTCTCTCAATGGTGTAGTTTTTCAAACGAGGATGCAAACTGTCACCTTGAGCAGCTTCACAGTTGAAAAACAACCGAAATATTTTTTTCTTCTCAATCAAACAAACTTCACAATTGAGCTTCTCAACTGTGAAGTGTGAAGCACAATGTTGACTTAAACTTTTTAGAGTAATAACTTTGGTCAATCCATCTGCTGGAGTTGGATTGAATCACCGTCGGTCTTGACTAGCTCAATCATTTTATCACCCATTGCTTGTATGATAAAGTGATACCTCATGTCAATATGCTTCACTCATCCCAATTTGCAATTATCTTTAGAAATCTCATAATCCATTTCACTGATTCCTAATGAACTTTCCTTGAATTTGTCATCTACCTACTCATCTTATATATCACAATAGCAATATCAGGCCCAGTGCACATTGTCAAATACATGAGGTTACATGTGCCTACAATTTGTTCATATGCAACGCATGACATTCTTCCTTTCATCCACAACATTTGTATGACATTGAGCTGCAGAGAGTTTAAAATGTGCTTGTAGAGTAGTCTATTTTCCTTATGAGTTGATCATGTTGAACCAGTCAAATATTTGACAAACATACTTCTCTGACTCAGCCATAGTTTTTTCTATTCAAAATTCCTATAAATATCCATGCATAATATCATATTCGACTTGCTCAGACTTAATCTGACTCTTTGATTAATCAACATCGGATTGGTTCTTTGCAAAGATGAGCATATCGTCAACGTAAAGTACTAAAATGACGAGATTGAATTGCGTGTTTCATTATCTAGGAGCTTGATTTAGTCCATACAGTGATTTCAACAATCTACAAACCAAACTCTCATGGTCTTTTAGCTCAAAGCTAACCGATTGTATCATGTAAATCCCTTCCTCTAAATATCCATAAAGAATCATGGTAACCACATCCATCTGATCCATAACAAGATTGAATATTGCAGATAGTGTACATGTAAAATACTTTGCTACATGTGATAAAACTTTGTTGTAATACACATCCTTCTCATGTATGAAACCTCTAACCATCAACTTGGCTTTGAAGATTCTCGCCTCGTCTCTTGCTGGATTGTCTTTCAACTTGTACATTCACTTTGAGTCAATAAGTGTTTGATCTTTATAAGTCTCAACCAGCTCCAAGTTTTGTGCAGATTATGCATGAGGAGCACAAGTAAAGTTTTGCTAGCATAGTAACTTCATATGGAGTAATTATATAGTTTATGAAATTTCTCTTCCCCCTATGCAAGCAAGTTTTTAGTTACCTCTTTATATTATTTCTTTATCTTGCTATGGCTACGACTTAGTTCTCAATTTACTCTAGTTTGTAGAGGAATCTTGTGTTAGATTTCCGTCTAGAACTTCCCGCATAGTAATAATATAAATTATAGAGGTTCTTGTTTACTTGACACGAATTAAGGGGAAGATTGTTGAGGTTAACTTCGTCAATCTCATGTTAATTTTAGATTTAGCTATTTATAAATAGGTTGGTCGCATGTGTTAAGTAAATATACCCTCATGCCTCTACGATGTTCACGTGTTTCACCTTGGTAGTAAAGTCTCTCGCGCATTTACTTTTGTGGACGTAGTCCTATGAAAGATGAACTACGTTACTATTGTGTGTAATCTCTTTGTATATTTCAAATTGACAATTTTTTGATATAAATTTTTTTTCTTTTTTTAAATATGTTGATAGTTGATTTGACTAAAAACTACACATCATGTTATTATACAAAGTCAATTATGTGATATTTCAAAGGAAATTTTTTTAAGAATATTAGATTGAAATTTTCATTTTATGTATATATGTATTTAAAGAAATATCATAGAAAATTAGTTACTTTTTGAAATCAAAATAAATAAATATGACCATAAGCTAAAATAATTTGATGAAAATTTTAAATATATAACTGTGCAAATGTTGTTGCAATGTATACATTTAAATATTTTATAAATATTATTTTTTTCCATGTTTTGAAAGTTTTTTCATACATTAAAAAAATTGGTTGAATGAATAGTCATTATATATAGTATGACTATTATGTTTCTTATTGTTGATATCATAATCTCATAAAATCTCATAATGTTGCAGTAGAATGATGAAGATAAGCTTATGACTTGAGTCAAATGCACAATTTTAATCTGGATATGAATTAAATTTGATTAGTCTAGCAATATAGTTTTTTAATTTTCATGTATGAGTTTACTTGTGTGCATGTATGTACATACAATTTTCTATGTATTGTTAATTTAGTTGATATGCTTCTATACAACAGTATAATTGATGTGCAATGCACACTATGATATATTATTTTTTTTGGAAAGTTGATTCATGTAGATGTATATGTTGATATCATTTTTTCTTGCAAAAATAAGTATTGAACCTACAAATGAGTGTGGTTATAATGTATAGTATTGATTTTTAGTAATTAGAGTAGGAGCTTGTTTGTTATAAGTGATTTTAGATTGATTTCAAGATAAATGAAAGTTGATTAAATATCTTCAAGCCAAACAAAATAAAATATATCATCATATTTGTAGTAGGTTGTGTTAAACCGCTGTTATTGGATAAAAAACCCCAGCTACCAGACCTTATTATTACTTCAAAATACGCTTCACTATGCTTAAGTTGCGTTGGAAAATGCAAAAAGACATGATATATATCAAATTACTTTAACTATAGGAAACTAAATTTTTTTGTAGCTGGAATCCATCAATTTTTTTCAAAGAAGTAAGACTTGACTTTTTATGGTGATGTATAGCCGACATATCAATATGCAAATATTGGCATATACATTGTGAAAATTGTGTTGCATTTCTAACTTGTTAAGTCTTGAATTCAGATGTGCTTTTAGATATCTATAATGGGAGATTGTGATGCTCAAAAATGAGACGATAACTGAAATCCTGTATATGTGATACCATGTATTTCAAAAGTTTTAATATTGGAAATAATGACAGAATTGAAAGGAAGCCAGATGAAGTATCCAAGCTATTTTTGTGAATACAATGTAGAATGAAGACGCCAGTTCTCAAATCATTAAATAAATTACACAATATAAATCAATATAAACTTGAACTCAATATAAATCTCGAATCAACAATATACATGTTTCGATTATCTAAAGCTTCAAAGTTTGTCAGATTACTATTTTTTAATATTCAAGCTAAAGCATCAAATGAAGTACTTTGATAAAGCTAGTTTTTAAAACATGATAGGAAAAAGGTTGCATTATTGTTTAAAAGAACTTGTTATGAACGTATATGTATCACTCACCAATACGACTTCATGAAAATGTTATACTTGAAGGAGTATATAAATTATATATATATATATATATATATATAATTAGATATAAAAACATACAATATCAAAATAAGCCAGTTCTATTTGTGAAAAACTGAAAATTCAAACATTTTTTTAGCCAAGATATAGTATATTGTGCTAGAAAACAAAAGCATTTGTATCAATAGCTATTAATCCCATATCGAAATGGACCTGTTATATTAAGTACAATTAAATACACAAACAGTTTTGTGAGCCTCGATAGGGACATCGCGTCAGAATACGTATATCGAACGCGTTTACATCAATCGCTAATATACTATATCAATATGAACCTGCTCTATTTAGTTAAATTTAACGTCAGTTTGTAAGCCATGATATAGGGAGTTTTGTGCTAGAATACTTATTTTGAAATAATTTAGATCAATTGGTAATATCTTCGTATAAACAAGAACATGCTTTATCGTAGTGATTTTAAGTACGCAAACAGATATGTGTGTCACAATAGGAAATAATTTATAAAAAGAAGTATTTTTTAAATTAATAAGGTAATTAGGTATAAAGAGAATATCGAAATGGATATGTCTAGGTGGCAGCAGTTCACGGACAATACCGACATGTAATGTCCACTTTCAAGGGCCTCCTGTTTTTTTTTTCCTTCTCAGTCATGACAACAGCAGGAATCGAGACAGATCCTACTTAGAGGCCAGGACCTCTTAACGTCGATATAGTTGTACTCAGAAACTCCACTATACAAATTGGAGTAAGGTTTCAGCCTCCACCTTCCACGCCAAGTTAACGCCCTGTTCGAAACCTTGTCAAGGTGCTAGAGCATTAGCCGCAGCAAGTCATTAACCAGGCTCTAACAAGGCCAAGCAATATCTCCCCCGAGCAATATATCCCTCTGGAATCGTTACCATATTTGGCGGCCTCGCCACAACGCCGAACGTCAAAGAATGCAAGGCGGCAGGCTCGGCTACCTCGGAGCCTCGTCCCCGACAGAAGGTCTGAGCTTCGCGTACTAGCTGTATAGAGTAGTAGCCGTAATAGAGTGTAGGCACAAGACGAGGAAAGAATCTAGACGAGGCGAAATGTAGACTCAGGCGCTATCCAAGAACTGCCTCCAAAGAAGGAGAAGGAGAAGGGGGCGGGGGGCTAGTTAAGCCATGACTAAGATGGCGTCTACTTTGATAGAGAAGATAGGAGAAACCTTCAGAGGGCCGAGGGCGAAAGCGGTGGTGGGCGGGTGGTCCTCCAACTTGGAGGGATGGATAGTCAAGGCTATTCAGGGAATCGGGAGGTGCGTGGGCGGCAGGGGACGGCTGGTTTGGAGGGACCGCCAGAGGATGAAGGCGGCGATGGCGAGGAGGTCGAGGGAATTAGCAGCGGGGGGAGCGAAAGAGGAGAGCGTGCCCTCGGCCCATATCTCACAGAGCGCTGGAGCTTTCGAGGCTCTGGGCCGAGCCCTTCGTTCGTGTGCGTCGCTCGCTCGCTCGTCTCGCCTCCCTCTCGTCTCGCTCTTACCCTCGCTTCCTTCCATTTCTTTCGGCCTTTTGTTCGCGATCGATCGATCCTGTCACATCGCTGCCATTGTATCGAGACATTGGTTATCCCACGCATCCGATCTCGGAATCGCCCGAGGCTGCGTTCCAGGAACCCGGGGGTGATCAGACGGGTTTCAGGGATTAGCTTGGGGGTAGAGTAGTACTGTTGATGTAGCTTGATGTCTTCAGGCGAACAGATCTGGCGACAATGGTTTGATATCTCGGACTCATGATCAGCCGATCGGGACAGAAGCGGGAGGTGTATGGAGTGACAGGGTGATTGGCGAGGCAAGATGTGGAGATTTGGGAGAATAAGGCTGTGCCGGGCGATGCGTGGAGCTCAGATCTGTCAGCTGTGACGCGCGAGGCAGGCAGATCATTGTTGGAGGTGACGGTCGCAGATCCAAAATTTGTAGGCCCCGGGCCCAGGGCAAGGTGGAGGCCACATCATGGGCACCAGACTGAGGTGCTTTCGCTCTCCTTGCTTTAGTTTCGAAATCTCTGGATGTCTGCGGGTGCTCCCAGTGCAACTGTCTCGTTTGCTCCTGGTCTTCCGCCCAGTATTGTGTGGAAAGCGGCAACAACAGGGCATTGGTCTACGATGTCCTCAATTTCGGGCAACATTGCCCGCTGCCTCTCACTTTGGCAATCAATGTGGTGGATTGGGAATTGGTTGTCTGCAAGGAATTTGGCTTGCTATGGAGTGAGTTGTTCATTCAAATGCAGTAGAGCTCTAACGAATTTTGTCGGTCTTTGAGCTATCGGGCTGTTCGAGGTTAGTCATCGGAGGATCACGAAAATCTGCGGAGCTTTAATCGCTGTCAGTCCTTCTGTGTATGGGGCATGCCTAGTGCACACATTTGTCTAGTGTGCGTAATTTTCAGTCGGCTGAAAAGCTCAGTTCATGTGCCAAGTATTCGAAAGAAGTGACAATCACAATGTCGCCAACCCTTAATTAATCACATCCAGATGTCTTACTGGAGATTATATCAAGTCAGTGCTGCTGGGTGCCAACTCAGAATGTTCTCTTTCATTCCTAAGCTCAACTCCACTTGCCTTTCAGATCAACTGTTTTCCCCAAGTCCTTCTGAGTACCGTATCTGACAAGGACCTGTTTTCGAGTTTGGGACACGCCTATCTGTGATTCTCCTCGCGTGTTTTGAGTTAGAGGTGATCGAAAATTGAAGTGGAATTTTTTTTTCTTCCTGGAAAGTCTTTCATCTGTTAACACCAATGGTACCGATTGGTATGCATGAAAGCTAGAAAAGCTTTACGTTTGTTTCTTCCTTTTGAGGATCGAGCTGTAGGGTTAGGTTTGTCACCCGTGATACTTAATTATGTATCTGATAGAAAGTACGATCACATTGTGAATTCTCATATGACTTCATTGAACCAGACGCAAAGTCAGTGTGTTTATCCCATCCCAGTCAAAGATGCAGTGATGTTTTTTTGGAAGTATATAACGATCACCCCAGCATTGTAATGGAATTATGGATGACACGGTTTTAGTTTTGAGAGAGGTTGTCTCTATCATATCACGGAGAGCGAATGCAGTGGTTATGGTGTGAGTCTACTCGAGCTTGTCCTTGACTGCGTAGCATTTTGTCGCATTTCTACTTTTGAACGTTTTAGTCAATAGCGCAAGGAAGAGGGAGCAGAGGAGCCGGTTTCTGAGTGGTGTACCTCGTAAAGTGCCTAATTTTCGCACGGTTGATGTCAACGGACGTTTTTCTCGGAGGTCGTGCATGGATCCTTCTGACAATTGCCTTGATTATTTTAGCCTATCCAACTCCAAGCTATCTGAATTCTATTTGTCAGATTTGCTGGTGCTTCTGGAGAGGATCAGTAGTCAGTAACGAGCAAACAGATCGTTAATGTCTGAGTGCGGGATTGTTTTGTTTCCGTCTGCAGGGATATGATTCGTGCCGTGCGGGCCTGCAAAACTGCGGCCGAGGAGAGAGGAGTAATTGCAAAGGAGTGTGCGAATCTTAGAAACTCATTCAAAGAAAATGATCAGGACTATAGACACCGAAATGTCGCTAAGCTTATGTTCATCCACATGCTCGGTTATCCTACCCACTTCGGTCAAATGGAGTGCCTCAAGCTCATTGCATCTGGAGGCTTTCCGGAAAAACGTATCGGATACCTTGGTCTCATGCTCCTTTTGGACGAGAGGCAGGAGGTGCTGATGCTGGTTACCAACTCTTTAAAAAAGTATCCACAATAAACTGAACCTTCATTGCTGGTATTTGGCAGAAAAGGAATTACATCTTTCAGTTTGTAGAATCCTCATTCTGCATTCCAGGTTTTGAAATGTGGTGTTCTCTCTAATCAAACTGTTTGTATCTCGAAGTCGTATGGAGGATTCTGGAAGAAAGTTGTGTAGTTTAGACGTCATTTTTCTAATTCTGAAGCTCATATCATGTCTTTTGCCCTTTATCGAAGATAGAGATTTGAACCGTTCCAGATGTTTGAGGTTATTGTTCCACCTATCTGCAAGTCTGTCGAATTTTCAGGGCCACTTAATGCGTTAATTTAGTAAACTCAGATTTCATTATTATGCGTTCATCTATGATATTCGCGATAAGTCGTGTATCTTAGGGTAACCAGCATTCTCGAAGTAACAATTATATCACCTGTTACGTCCTTGACTTGACAATAGTGACTTGAACCATGGAAACCAGTTTATTGCTGGCCTTGCACTATGTGCTCTTGGAAACATATGTTCTGCAGAGATGGCCAGGGATCTCGCCCCAGAAGTTGAAAAGTTGCTTCATAATAACAATTCTTACATACGCAAGAAGGTATGTTCGGTGGTCATAATGTATTTCACGTGTATTCCGGGAAATCCCATCATTCTTTAAGATATTTTTGAACTCGCTTTTTTTTCAAACAGAGGTCATTTTTTGTAAAAATGTGCGTATTTTCAGGAATGTCTTCATATTTTGTACTGTCTATCAATTTTGTAGGCAGCTCTGTGCTCCGTTAGAATTGTTCGTAAGGTACCCGACCTTGTTGAGTACTTCACCAATCCGGCCGTGGGACTGCTGACGGACAAGCATCACGGCGTCCTGATTGCGGGTGTAAAACTTTGCACTGAGCTTTGTCAAGGAAGTGAGGCGGCCCTTGAGCAAATGAGAAAGGTATATTGTGGTTGTTTATATCAATATATTAGACAGTATCATGAATATTAGACGAGAGTGGAAGAACAGCTGAAATTGTGCGCGGACCTTGGTGTAAGAAGGATCCAGTGTGACCATGACTGTATGGTAGCTGCCTATTGCTGTTAGCAATATACAGGACAGAGGCACGTAACATTTTGCATGGAAGTCGTCAGCCTCCTGAAAATGTATTACTATGCGCCTGTCGTGTCTTGGCTTATTAAGACTACTCGAAAGAATCGATCTTCAATATTGCAAGTCTTGGGGAACACTTGCGCTGTCGACTTTTGGCCAAGGATTTCTGTATATCATATTCGAATATTTCTCTTTTCGAGAATACGATCTAACACTTGTTTCATCGTTTGCAGCAAGTACAAACGTTGGTGCGAATCTTGAAGAATCTGGTTGTAAGTGGATATGCCCCAGAATATGATGTGGGGGGAATCACAGACCCTTTTTTACAGATTCGAATTCTGAGATTGCTTCGACTTGTTGGTAGAGGAGACCCAGATTCTAGTGATGTGATGAGTGACATACTGGCTCAGGTGACTTCTCCCACGTGATTCCGGTTTTCTCTTCCTGCGATTGGATGATCTACACTTTTGAGCTTATCCCTCTCAATATCGTTCGGCAGGCATATAATTTTATCATCGATTGTAAAAGGACTTAACCATTGTTGTTGGAATACAAAATCTTGGTCTCAGTGGTTGAATGTGACTGGAACATCCATACAGGAACGTCTATCTAGTTAGTACTTAGACGGATGTCTTTTGTTTATCATTTGGTCTTTCGTTGCTCCAGGTGGCAACCAATACAGAAGGCAATAAGAATGCCGGGAATGCCATTCTTTATGAATGTGTCTTGACAATCATGGCAATTGAAGGCATTGGTGGGTTGCGCGTACTGGCCATCAATATTCTTGGAAGGTTTCTAGCCAATCGAGACAACAACATAAGGTATTTCTTTTTACTTGGTTCATGTGTCTTCATGTTCTGGTCGTGTTTCCTCACTTGATCGAGTTTCCTTCCCTGTAACTGCGGAATGATTAAACGTAGCGGTCGCTTACAGTTAGTGCATCTGATTCTACACGAGATGGCTCTAGTGGGTGTCTATTTCTTGTCTTTATAGCCACATTGTACTGAGTATCGCGACTGTAAATACTTCGACATTGTTGATCAAGAATAGAGAGCTTGCTTATACCACACGGAACTCGTTGTGCGGGAGGGCCGAATATGATACCGTTTTAGGCGGTTACAAATTAATTGTTGCTTTTTTGTACAGATACGTCGCTCTCAACACTCTTGTGAAGGTGGTCTCTGTTGATACTCAGGCTGTTCAGCGACACAGAACCACCATCGTAGAGTGTGTTAAGGTTGGCATTCTACCTTCTTTCAGAGGTAGAGGTTTTTTTGGGAGGGAGATTTAACGGGGTTCTCTATAGCCTCTTGTATTGCAGCTTCTTAAGTGCGACGTTTCTCGAAGATTGACACCTTCTTTTATTCGGTTTGTTCTACGTCAGTGGTCAGTAGACAGTTGAACCCGCGGGGATTTGAGTAGCTATGTCTCGTATGTCTATAAATTTCGGCTTCGGAAAAGCGTCCTAGAAGCATTGTGGCATGACAGTACTGTACTTGTGTAAACCATGAGTACACTGTTTGGAGGCCAATTTTGTTGGACTTACATAATAGCATTCGAAAATGACCCAAAGTCACGCCCTCGAATTTCCGCCGGATTCTGTTCTGCTATTGTGATACAAGATTCTACTGTCGCCCTTATATCTTTTGTGTATTGTATTGACCACTGTCAGCTTTTCCTGTGGCTTGGTCTATATGTGAGCAGGATTCAGATGTATCAATACGTAGGAGGGCCCTTGAGCTTGTGTATGCGTTGGTGAATGAGACGAATGTGAAGACCTTGACCAAGGAGCTGCTGGAGTATCTGAAAGTTAGTGACCCAGAGTTCAAGGCTGATTTGACAGCCAAGATCTGCTCTCTTGTGCAAAAGTAAGGATGAGAAGCCTTAGTTTTGTGAAGTATATTTTTCCTAATTTGAATGACTATATCATCGAGATCGTTCCGACTCCTGTTTCATACAGTGGTTGTATGACTGATTGACGATTATGTATAAGCTGTAGGCGAACCTATCACATTATCAGATTAGTCGTTGACTAGAGCATTATCTTGTTACACCCAAAAATGACGAAGTAGCCGAGTTATGAAAATGTAAGAAGGTTTCGAAAGGCCTGTAAACCAAGACTCGTAAGTCTACGTTGAGTTGAGGATGTGGAACTGGTACTGTGAATAATGTTCTCGAGCGAGATGTATTAGGCCTTCAACCAAATTTGTTTGAGTGAAGTTTCTCGCCTGCACTGTCATCATCTTTGGGAAACTTTATTTGTAACCTGCTCGAGGAGTTATAAAATCTTTTTCTGTAAAAACTCATTTGTTTTATTATGAACCTCTGGTTCTGATTGTTGTCTGGTTGGATCTCCGTGTTTGCAGGTTTGCTCCAAACAAACAATGGTACATCGATCAGATGATCCTTGTCATGGCTGAGGTGAGATTCCGACAGTCTACCTCGATACCCATCCAATAATTACACAACCATGTTCGTCCATAAGTCATCTAATCACTGGAATATGCATAGCCAAAATTTACCGAGTGCTGACGCAGCTGTATGACTTGAGAGCACAAATTAGCACGCAGAAAGGTTCCAACCTCTAGTTGACTGGTCATGCCTTGGAAGACAGTCTGGTACTAATGTTATTACTCTTTGTTCTTTTAATGAACAGCCTGGAAATCACGTAAGAGAGGAGGTTCTTCGTACTCTCATCGTCGTCATCAGCAATGCACCTGAGCTACATGGATACACTGTCAGATCGTTGTTCCGAACCATGCAACATTGGAATGGACAGGTACTTAAACTTTATCATATGCGGGGGCTTATTGTTTGCAGCGAGTATTTTGTAGGATATGGATGAGTGCTGTGAGGTTCAGTAGACCAGCAAAGAAAGAAGTGGCCTACGTTAAGACGGTGGAGCCTCAAGCTCTTCGAGCTCTTTTCGTTTGCTCTCCGAGATGCTATCGTGATATAAGATAATAGGTGTCAAAGAGTGATGCTTTGAATCTGAAAGAAAGGTGAGGAGGAACTTGCGCCAGTTAACTGTTCTTTGAGAAATATTTCAACTACATTTGATCCATTTCTACAACATATTCCGTCAGTCGAGTTTCGTACATTGGGTTTCTGATTTTTGGTTACAATTGTCGATCATGACCTTTCTTAGCGTTTTGTGGTTGTACAGGAGAGTCTCGCGCAAGTTACAGTTTGGTGTATTGGAGAATACGGTGAAATGCTAGTAAATCACCTGAATGAACTGGAAGGCGAAGAGCCTTTGACAGTATGTATAGCCGTCATTTCTGATCACTGCAAATCGTGGACTTCACTTTGGCACCTGGTTTAGGCTGTATGCGACGTAGAATGTACTATTGCTCAGTTCTTTCTTATCAGCGCGAAGATTTGTGAAGGATATATGATATCGAATGGATATACTTCGTTAGCCTTGATCTATCATAAGTGCCAGTGTGTCTTCTCGATAACGATTGTAATATATTGAGTGTTTGACAATTCATGCAGGTTACAGAGTCTGATGCTGTCGACGTGATCGAGACTGTAATGAAAGATGTGCGTTCAAGCTCCAATACACAGGCCTTTGCTTTGACAGCATTGCTGAAGCTCTCATCTCGCTTCCCCTCAAACACGCAGTGAGTTTCAACTGTTGATTGTCATTGAGCTTCTCATGTGTTGGGCTCGCAGTTGTGCAGTTGGCCAGGTTTATTCTCCCGAATCTCGTGAAAGTTTAGTGGGCAGTACTAACGTAATAGCTATCTTCTTGTCGACAGGCGCATCAAAGACATGATCAAGCCGCACAAAGGGAGTCTGATACTGGAGTTACAGCAAAGATCGATTGAATTTGGCGCTATTCTGAACAGGCACGAGAACATAAAGTGAGTTCGCATACCTTTAATGTCTTTAAGGTCTGCTTTCATTTATCGCTTCATGTTAGGTAAGAGGTATGATACACAGCGATGATTTTATTGGCCATTCTAATATGTTCGGTATCCAGTTCGCTGGTTATAGTACATATGCAGGAAAATTACGAGAATATGTACTTTGTACTTCACAGCAGTCGCGTTTTTTGATATATATGTCGTGCATAATTTTGAAAGTTAGTAGAGAAGAACTGTATTTATTAGTATGTGCCTGTTGTAGCCTAAAGACCCTAGACTCCGCACCATGGCTGAGCGATGCTTGCGTGAAGAGGATGAGTATTTGCAGACGATGGAATGAGGTAGGAGGAAAAGGAAAGATAGTTACTTTAGCCTGAAGACGTTCTCTTGTAGTCTATAATTACCGTGTAGATATTGATTGGGAGATTTGGTATCTGCAAACTTGCGGCTTACCGTTGCTGTCGTCTTCCAGGGCGACATTGGTGGAAAGAATGCCAGTCCTGGATGAGGCTACATACAACTCGAAGAAAGCAGATGGTGCTGGAATGGCACTGCCTTCTGACACCAAACGCGCTACTCCTGTTGGTGGACCTGATATTCTTGCCAATGGTGGACCAAAACCAGAAACGACAAATACGCTTATCGATCTTTTGAACTTAGATGCAGATGAGACTCCAGCTCATGAGCCTCGCAAGTCTGCTGGAGATCACTTGCTGAGTTTGCTTGGGGCTGACCCTCTTGCGTCTCAAAACGCAAGCACAAACCCAGGTACTACCATCAACCAGCTGTGTATTTTCTGTTCAGTAATTTACCATACTGGAGCAGAGTCCATGTTTAACAAGTTAATTGTTAAGTTAGGGTTAGAAGTTCAGTTAGTTCAGTGTACTGAACTAACTTCTTCTGGTTTTAGATTCATAGTTGGTACGCAACAACAACTCACGTGCATCTGTTTTCCTTGCAGACAACGTTCTCATGGACATTTTGTCACTTGGTTCTCCGGCCCCCACCACTGGACCATCTTCGTCAACCTCTCTCTTTCCTCCAGCAGCCGCGGATCCATTCGGAGGCTCGCTTCTGGACGTTGCAGCTCCTGCAGCTCCTGTAGATCCATTTGGAGCGTCCCTTGCGCCTGCTACTGGAACTGCTCCACGAAAGACCTCGTTATTGGACGAACTTGATGTTTCTTCTACTGTACCTCAGCCTCCTCGCAAAGCCTCATTACTTGATGATCTTGGCCCAACCATTCCGAACGCGAACAATTCTCTTCTAGATGGTCTTGACTCAGCCCCTATCGTGCCCGCAACTTCTGGTGCGTCGGTGCAATCGGCCTATTTTGCTTCCAGGGCTATACATTGTCAAGATTCTCGAACTCATATACTTATTATTATTTACTGGACGGTATAGACGCAGAAATTGTAGATTGTATTGACGTGCATCGAGTTGCTTGTTGTAATTCTTCCATTTTTTAGCACCTCTCTTCTAGAGTGCGGAGTCTGTTGTCTTGAGGCTACTACAGGCACATATTAGTGAGTACAGGTTATTTGATTGATTTTTTTTGTTTGGGTTGATAGCTTGTTCACGGTTTTGAGTTAAAAAAAGTTCTTGTACCTTCGACGCTCATGGTGATTATTTCTCCCTGCCAGTACACGGGAGGCATGACGAAGACTCTTTCATTGTGTAATTGATGTCTTGTCTGTCTTGTCTCTAAAGTTGTTATTTGTTGTGATTTTCCAGCTTACCCAACTATAGTCGCACTACAAAGTTCTGGGTTGAAGGTTTTGTTTGACTTCATAAAGCCTCCCGGAAATCCCCAATCTACAACGATCAAAGCATCCTACATCAATTTGTCGTCAAACCCCTACACCGATTTCATCTTTCAGGCAGCTGTTCCGAAGGTAATTGAATGTTGAGCGGTAAATGTTCATGACAATACGACGTCATATGTCACTCCATGCCTCTCTATGTTCATTCCTGTCGTATCCGAAGGCTTTCACATACCATCATCCCTTTCTTTGACTCTTCGAGCGTTTTAACATGCATCTCACGCTTCTTTTGAAATTTTCACGTTGGGTCAATCTCACTTGAGGAGTATTTTTTAGCTCACATGATGTTTTGACGTACTATTTCCGGACTTGCATTCGTTATTGATTTTCGTTCATGTTCGGTTATCATGCCTAGGTTTTAGTAGATTTTGAAAGTAGGTTTGTTTTGGCTGCATACTATTTTCGTTCGTTACAGTTTGGTTTGTATGGTTAATGATATCAGAGCTAATTTGACAGTTTGTTTTGCCGTCGTATGTGTAGTTCCTGCAACTGCAGCTTGAGCCGGCAAGTGGCAGCGTCCTCCCGGCAAGTGGTGGGGGTCTCATCACACAGTCTATCAACTTGACTAACACTATGCATGGCCAGGTAAGATGCAGCTATATTGCTGCCATGTAGATGAAAGCTTGATCAGTACTAAAAAAAAAAACCTTGTAAAGGGACTCCCATCGAGAGCCCTACTTAAGTCGCGTGTCTTAACCTTGTGCATCAAAAGTGTTTTTGGGGACGTTCAAATGTAGAAGTTCTGAACCTGACTCCTTGTCGTTTGCAGAAATCTTTGCTGATGAAGTTGCGAATCATATACAAAATCAATGGACAGGATAAGGTTGAGCAAGGTCAGGTCAGCAACTTCCCACAAGGATTGTAGCATAAGATGCAAATGTTGCTTTCAATTTTTTGGTTCATAAAAAGGAGAGAAATGATACGCGGTGAGTAGGGTCCGACTTCACCTACCTTGTGATTAGAGAAAATTGGCCAGAGTATGATGTAGGTTGTAGATGAGCTTAGGAAAGTTCAACTGTCCCAAGGTAGCCTCTGAAATAGGCTACATGGAGCACATTCTTTTGTGGTTGTGAGGACTCTGCAATCATATTCTGTAGTGTGAGTATATGTTGAACAGCTGTCTGTGTAGAGCATAGTTTTGCAGAAGGAAGTTATCTTTGGATGCATATGAGCATCTATTTCAGAGGGCTATTTGGAATGTCAACTCTTTGGTATCAGGTGCTTATTGTGCATCTGCTTGATCTGAACGACTCAACCTTATTCTAACCCGACCTTGTATCCATGTACAACTTTTGTAGAGAAGGAAGAGTATATTGAAATTGTTGTGTCATTGTCAATTAAAGACGTCAGTCATGATTTCGAGAACTGGATTAATATCTCGAGGGTTTCCACTTTCACGTAACTTTGGAAAGTCGAGATATGAAGTCCGATTGATTCCCGTTGCAAATGTACTTGATAACCAATCATTAAAATCAAGTTTGCTCTTTGAAGAGTGTGAGACCTAATCTTACAACTTTGGAACGGAAAAAATTGGTCGATTCCTCCTTCTGTTCAATCAAGCGCACACTGTCTTAGATGCTTTACAGGAAGGAAACTTGCAAGTTACTTGGTAAATAATTCCTGGAAGCCTGTTGAAACTACACGGCACACGTCTTCAGTTTCAACTGCATCACATCTTTTCTACAATTTGGATTCCGCCAGCAAGGAGCTGGTGGTGAAGATTTATAGCGGATTTTGGGACTCATGTGCATATAAAGCTGAAGACCGAGAGTGAACCTGGAAACTGCCGTTGATACAAAAGTCAGTCTGGAGAATTATAATTGACACCTAACCGTTTGTTCGACTACCCACTGATATATCATAGTACTTCATGTATTGATCCAATTTCAGCATTTTAATATTCATCTGAGAGAGGTTTTAGTCCTAAATCACTCAATAATCCCGCCGTCGTATGTTTTGCTAAATTTAGTATGCTGATCGCAAGGCGTTATGATCGTCGGAGAAGCCATGTTATAGATTTGTTCTTGAGCAGTCACATGCCTTCTTAGTTTTTCTTTGTAGATTCAACGTGGCGTCTCATCTATAACACGTCGAACAATCATGCCTCATATCGTAAGTTTTCTTTACCTCAAGTTATTCATTCAACTTGGTAGGAACTGTCGATTGCAGTTATAGAAAAAAGTTATTACCGTGCTTTCCACGTGCGCACAATTAGCTTAGACACGTCAAACTTCAAAAACATCTGCACTGATTTCTGGAAAGTATGCATTTGACTAAGTCGTGGTAAAACCTGAGAAGTCCAGAGGTACAGGTTGGATTATTTCTTAGTTTTAAAAAGTTTCTATTATTATCGCGTTACGCTACATGATCTCTATGACACATCAGTGATGTGTCATGAACTGAACGTGTGATGTGACATCACACGTTCAGTTGAAATTTCGAAGAATGTGGAAACTTTGTACGCCAAATCCCATCGGCTACTATCTGCGAATCGTCTCGAACCATGCAATAATGGAGAACGTGGATGCAGGATGAAGTACTTTTTTCTTGAAATTTTTGACATGTTGCACAAAGGAAAATCATCTCAGCCTGGACATCCTTGAAACTATGCATGGATTTTGCAGGAGATGTATCCTTGTCCATCAAATCAGCTGTTTATTTTGATTGTTGGGGTTACTGCAATACTCTACACTTTCATGGATGATGCTGGCTTTTCAGATCTGATGAATATGAAGATGTTCATTAAATCTTGTGTTCACTTTTCATGCATTGTCCGTACTAAAGTCTTTCCGCATGTTGTGTCCATGATGAGGTTCTTGGTATGCATTTTTTAGCTTTGGTACTTCACTAAAATATATCTCTTCTTTTATAAAAAGAAAAGGATTGTATGCCTGCTCAAATGCAATGTCTAGTGCTTATTTTTGTAATCAGTTCCTTCACATATCCAATTATTATACCGTCATATCTGTCAAGGGAAATCAATTTCTTTTGACAATCTCAAAAACTTGTTTTGATGAAAATTGCCAATTTTTAATTTCAAGCATCAGTACAGCATAAGCTCAGACAAAAATACCATAAATGGCAGTACTTGAATATTCAATTCAAAGCATGAGTAAAGCATAAGCTCAAACAGAAAGTAGTATCAATGTATCTTCCAATGGCACCTTATACTTATAAAGAGTGGAGGAACAAAGAGGTTTCAATTTTGCTCTTTTATTACAACCTTTTATTATTCTCAAATAAAGATGAAAACATGTCACAATGAATCTATTATAAATTTTAGTAATAAAATTTTAATTCATACAATACTTTATATCAGAATGAGTGTACAAATATTCACAGTTTCACAACTTGCTCGATATCTAGATGCAATTTTTGTTAATCATACACAAAGTTTCAATCAAAGATAGAATTTCACTAGTTTATTTTGGATAACCATGTTTAATCTCTTTAAAACCTAACAAATATCAATGATTTATTATTCTCAGAAAGATCATCAAACAAAATAAGATAAAGAAATTTATAGAATATATCTTAAGTGCATTCACCTGAGTAACATAAGTGAATTTTTTTTTGACTTTTTGAAATTTACATGTGATAATTTTATCAATGTTATCACAAGATATTTCCACTTTATCTCATATTCCGAATTCATCTTTTAATTTTATCAAGTTGATGAAATTTAATAAATGAGAGAAGAAGTGTTTAATGAAAATAACAACAATGAACTATGTTGTGATTCATATTCACAAAGAACTACATCAAGACAAGAAGTTGTTGATTGTTTGAAATAGATAAAATAATACATCCAAATGTTCAAAATAAGAATTTACTTTTCACAAAGAATAAAAAAATATTTTTTTATTTGTGGTAGTATCAAAGTTTAAAATTACTTAGATTTGTAATTTTGTGATATTGAAATATATGGATGAAATATTTTACAAATATGATTCTTTGTCATATGTGAAAATGCATTATGTATTTTTTTATGTGTCACCATTAAAAAAATATGTACCGTAATCAAAATAATTCATCAATACACTAACAACACCTCATCCATCAACCTTGATAATTCATCATAAGTAATTTGAAATAAAAATAATATCCAAGAAATGATTTGAGTTTCAAATTTAAAAAATATAAAATTTTGGACCAAATGTATAATACATACATCATAGGAGTAAACTTGAAAGCTAATGAGAATTCTGACCAAAAAATATCTTGTTGGCTTCAAAGTTTTATCTTATGTATAGAGAGCAAAGATTTTAAAAGAAATAATTTTTTTAACTATCTCTGTTTAGTTAAAACTAGGATAAAATTCTTTCAAGGCAGAGACAAAGATTATGCATTGTTGTCAATAAACACTCTATGTATAAAGATTGTATATGTTATTTGAAAATTACAAATCTGTTCAATTTTTCATCTATAAATATTATATCATACATCCATCAAAATTGGAATAAAAAAGTAAAAAACAAGATAAATGCATTTTTTATCTCATTTTTGTTTCTGTTACTTCATGACAGTAAGCAAAGTCATGTAAATAATAAAAAAATTATACTTAATTCATTTTATTTTGTAAATTTTTTTTCTTAATTTTTTAATATTTGTTAAACTATGTATAATTTCCTTGTAGTAATTAGAACAAGTATAATCTGGATATCCATTTCATCTCTGGCTTCTAGAACATGCAACAGTTATAGGGAGGGATGAGTAATAGTGGCATTTGCAACTATTACCAATATTACGCTAATAATGGCATGTCCAGATTTTTAATAGTGGCACTAGAGTGTAGCGGACAAACTGTTAATTCTTGGCAGTCGTGAGTTGGAGCAGCCATTTGTGCTGCTGGGCATGAAGGACACATTCTAGCCCAAAATCAGAGAGGCTCTGGCTGAAAATATCTTTCTCGCGTTTCAGTCTAGAGAAATCTGCTTCCACTGTTGAAGTGCCTGGAAAAACCGAAGCCAAGCCTCCAGCAAATTCAAATAGAGCCAAAAACCGGGATCCAAGAAGACCCAAACCATCCATAAACAAAGTTCTGTGATTGCAGGCATCGATGATTAATCGCAAGTTGTTCTACGCATGATAGCATCTAATTAACTCTCAGTGTTCTTCGATGGTTTCAATCTGCTGCGGTTTAAACTTGGTTGCATGCAATTGTAGAACGTGCTTGCGAACGGTGACACAAAACTGAGACTGCCCATACTTAACAAGCTCGTGTGGCATTACCGGTGGCAGCTGATCATTGGCCACAGCTTGCTCCTTAACACAATTTTGCTCAGCAGTGATCGATGTAAGCTGCAAAGCAGCAGAAAGTAATGCAGAACCAACCAGTCCGAGAACGTGATGCCGCGCACCATTCTTAGAAGTGATCTCGTCGAGTTTCAAAGACACGAACGTTCCAAGACCTCGAACAAACTGCTCAACGCTAGAGAGTGGAGCCGCAAATTCCCTAGTTGAGATGAGACCACCAGAACCAGCTGATGCCTCTGTCATAGCCTAAAGCTCGCACTGAAGGAGTGGACCTTTGGCTCCCACCAGCCGGCAGAACGTCTACGATAAGTTAGATAGCTCGGCTACTTGCTGGGACACCAAGGTCGTCATAACCTAAAGGCGCATGAACACCAGTGACGCTTCTTGTGCAAAAGAATGGACTACCATCATAAGCACCCACCAGGCTGCGGATGGCCGGCATGGCGGGAGCTTCTCGTCCAAGTACGCAAGAAGAGCGATTCTGTGCTTCTTGAACCAGCTCATGACCTTGATCATGAAAAGCCAACATGTAATAGCTACCTTAGGGCACATGGTTTTCATATCAGCAATTAGATTCTGCTGGCGACGCAGGTAGCCAATAAGGCTAACGAGATGATAGTAGAATTCTTCTTTGAGCAAGTTGTCATAAACGTCGGCCATGATAAGGTCAAGCTAGTGGGCACCACATCAAACCCTGATGAAATTGGGCCCAGTGGCATCATCCAAGAATGTAAGCAGAACGACGTGACGCCCCGTCATGTTCCTCGCTCCATCAGTCGCAACACCGATTAAGTAGTCTCTCCATCCTGGATGAATAACATCCAAAACCTTCACAACCATATCGAACATCGATTTCCCCGGGTGACGCTCGTTCATTGGCAGAGCCAACAAGTGAAAATTGTGGATGTTGTCGCCCGTCCAGAAGCAAACCCGAATGTCCAGATATGATGTACTTTGATGTGTAGCTCCATCCATTGCCAGCAAGAAGGCCCAGCAATTGGAAAGAATGTTAGAAAGCATCTACAGTTTCGATGCGCACATCACTCGAAGAAACGATGAGACCTTGCGACGGTTGCAACCAGAATAACAAGCCATTCCAGTGAGCTCTTTCCTCCATTGAGCAAGGCGAGAGGTGAGACGAAATGTAGAACCAAGCGAAGTGAACTTGATGACCATATCAAACAAATAACTATTCTTGATTGCTACCTCGTATGCAGATACGGAAGCATATGCATTCCTCTTTGGAGAAAAATCCTGGACCAGAACGAAGATACTTAGAGCCCGCTTCTTGATTTCTAAAGACGTTAGGTCTGGACGGCGGCGACCATCTCTGCAAACAGCAGTCTCCACTTCCTCGGCTTCTTCATCCGAATCCGATTCATCGTCAACATCAAAATACATGCAGCCAATGATCGTGTCGACAATCTCCGAGTCAATTTGAAACAAACCCGGTGCACTTTCCTTCCGGAAGTTGCTGAGGAGAGTGTTCTTGATTGGTACTGACCCGTCAAAAAAGCTGCCCTTGTCATCTGCAGCTTGATAATGCTGTCATTTGCATGGGTGTTGCGTCTCGTTATGCTTCCAATAGCGATCAGGCCTAAATGGCGCTGTGAAATACTATGCATTTTTTGTGACCTTTCACTCCGGTACTGGTTGTTATTATCTTCCAAAGATCTCACAAAATCAACAAACAACACTGCGGACCAATTTCGTCTTGGGATCAACATCTGTCACGCTGAGTCATCTTTGCCTACATGTTCAACACCGAAGACAATCAATCGAGGTAAAAATGTTACGCGGACGGCACGAAACTCTCCGCGTTTCATAGAGTTGCGCCAAGTACCCTTTTAATAGTGGCACATTGACGAGCGCTAATAGTGGCATTTTTTGCCCGAATGCCACTATTACCCACCATTACCGAAAAATATAGCCTATAACTTATAGGTTATATTTTTCGGTATTACTTATGCCGAATTAGTTTATTATACCGATTTGTGGTCTTTGACCAATTACAACTTTTGCTAAAATCGTTATAACCATATATCTTATAATCTTCAAATTTTTTTTTCTACAATAGTTGTCACCGTATACATCTTTACGAAATTTAACAACCTATCGTAGGAAGATAGTAGACATGTTTGCATATTGAGCATTCTTAAACAAATACATAAACAAATTTGAAGACTTTTTCTAACTGGGTGGTTTTTATTGATCATTGAGGGACACAAAAAATTGGTGGGGATTGTCCAATTGGTCATTACGGCCACCAATTCTATACTCCTCGTTGGAAAGTGAGTCCATGGTGCGGGAATCAGTCGATCCTCATGATGTGATTTCATGGCGGGAGTCAACTTGGGAAAATGTGACCAAAATTTGGCAACATGACGTTTGCGGTCGGCGCTTACATTGTGCGAATTGCGCAGCAGCGTGCCTCTTCTCGCGGAGCCCATGGAGACATATCTCTCTCTCTCGACGTTTAGGGCTTTCGTCTATCTGTCCAGAGTATGTCCGTTGAGTAATTTCTACGACCTTCACCGTCTTCTCCACCGAAGCACGCACGAGCCCTCGTCGTCCTCCAGCTCGTCGGCAAAAAACGTCATCGGCATCCAATTCCGTTCTTGAAATATCATAATTGACTTCCTCTGCCTTGCCTGCCTCGCTGCGAACGAGACGAGAGAAGCTCCAATGTACAATCCCTTCGCAGCGATGGAGCGAGCAGGAGGGCGACAAAATAAGGAAAGATGCACGCTCAGGTTCTGTGTGCCACCCAATCGTGGAGCATGAGAATGAGGTAGAGAACGAGGCCCGAGACGAAACCGACGAGTGCTTTGAAGGCCCCGGAGGTTCCGATCGAGACCACCGCGACCGCCACCATCACCAAAGCGTCGCGGTGCGAGGTCTGATCTCGGCATACTACGGCCAACTCTAGTCCCGATGCGAGGAGCAGTACTCCCAACAGAGATACTGGAAATTGGGTCAGTATTTCCTTGAAAGAGCTGCCGAGAAGGAGCCCCAGCGCGAGCGTCGCCGTTCCCAGAATGACCGTCGACAGTCCAGACCTGGCCCCGAATCGATACTGCCCTGCGAGCCCACTCACTCCATGACAGACCGGCACGGCGCCAAAACTGCAGCCTAGCACATTCATGGCCCCCATACTGATGCTCACGGCGTTCGGAGTGGTTGCCTGCGCGGCTGGGAACAGGTCACTGGAGAGCTTGCTCAGGGAGAAGGCGGAGGTCAGAATCGAGACAGGGATTTGATGTACGGCGGCTTGGAGAAATCCAATCTGCCAGTCCGCGCGAGAGATTTTGATGAGAGTGAATGGTGATGGCCCCAGCTGCAGATTGTGCAAAAGTTGGGGGTCGCGAGCTATGGCCAGGGAGAGCGCAATGAGGAGGATGATCAGAGCAGTGGGAACGTTCATGACTGTGTTTCTGGAGTTCTCTTCATTTGCTGCTTTGCCTCTGGTGCTGGGTTGTCCATTCAGCGGGTCCTCGATTTCTAAATTCGTCCCGCTCCCAATTCCTTGTGCGGCCTCCTCTCCTGATGCCGACGTTCCCACTCCAGACACCACGAAGAGAAAAAATATCATCAAGATAGGCAGGAGGAGTCCGTTCACTCCGAGCCAGTGTCTTCTACCTAGAGATTGCATGGTCGTGACGTCCTGTATTTCCAGAATGAATTGCACGGCCTGAAATCCGACCGTCAGGCCCTGATAGAGCATTACTCCCCGCAGCACGGGTATAGGGATGAGGCGATAGAAGAAATTCATCAATTTTGTGATTCCCAACAATGCTAGCACTACGCCTGTGCTTATACCCGCAGCCATGATTTGGGGTACGGTGAGATGATTTGGAGATATGGCCACTGCGACTATGGCACTCATGGGTTGGACTGCCATCGGAATTCCAAAGACGAAACCTGTCACCACGTTGAATATTCCAGTGAAAACGAAAATTGTTCCGAGGTCGAGTCCGTTGACGAGTGCCAACGCGAGGACCGCAGGCACAAATCCTCCTGCGTCTCCTAGAGCTCCGCTGATTTCCTGCCATAATTGTCCTTTCAACCTCACGTTGCCCAAAATTCTAGAACTCGACCAGAACGCCGGTTCATGATCCTCGCCTCCACATTCGGTCTGATAGAAAGATCGATGCTTGTCCCGTGAGCGTGAGTGCTCCCATTCTCTCCTGGATACAACAGATCCATAGCTTCCAACCTCAGGTCTTCCATCCTCATAGCCTGTCATTTGTCCATATCCGGGAGGGGTAACCACAGCTTTGAATATAGAAGTCATGAGCACTATCGTAGCACCGTTTTTGGTCAATCCTTTTGAATGTTTTTCCTCTGCGTGCTTCAGCTGGAGTGGAGTGGAGTGGAGCGATTGTAGTAGCCTTGCTCCTCCCAGACGGGCCTAGCTTCAGGTGCAGGATGATGATATCCTCGTTATCGCCATGAAGGTTTTAGCTGTTTATCAGCTACTTGTACTCCTTCCTGGAGGTTGCCTCCTGCAGCCAGAGGCGAGATTTCTGACGTCCAGGATGCGGTCCCACCCCTTGCTTGCATCTTACTCGGGTGGCAAGAGCTATCTATTGATGCATTTGGTGCAGAGGAGCAAGCAGCATGGATCTCTGCAGGAAAGGTTAAGGTGTCACCTCGAACCCCCAAGTCGAGGTGACCCGAACGCACCGGAAATCTCGCACCTGAAGCCGCCGGCATCCTTATTCAGGACGAACCACGTGTGAGATCACATCCACCATATTTAAACAGAGGATACAGTGAAGTAAAATATCGAGACGGAGGGAAGTCTTGCCCGAAAACAGAGGGGAACGCCTCATTCTGATATATGAACGTATCGAGGTAATTAAGAAAGGTGAATGAACTGTTTAGAGTGAATTACTCTAAATGAAGGTTGACTAAACTAATTTAACGCCTCGATCTACAGAGAGTTATATTTTATGCGCCATGTTATACTGTAATAGAGTACTATTATATTCTTTATACAAATGAAAGTGTTATTATAAAGTGAAAGTAGTACAAACATAAATACGTAAGTGTTATTTTATTTGGATTTTTAATGTAGGTATTGTTATCTTTAAATATTCGGGTAAATTAATATTTTCAAAATTATTTACAATATAATTTTTTATCCTTTCAATAATATATTTAAATGAAGATTTTTATACAACATAATATATGAAAATTTTCACTCCATACGATTTATAATAATTTGTAGCCATATTAAACATCATTCTTGATACTATCCAGACTATGCACAACATGTAAATGCACAAATTTCAACCTAACCTATACAGAACATTATTGTCATCACAAGGTGCATTCATCTTGAAGTTCTCAAGTTAAATGTGTTTTTAAAACTAAGCCGCAGCGTTAATTGTATGTGATGTGATTCGCAGGAGGTTTTGGAGCACTATTTGCTGACCCCTGGCAATCAAGAAATGATGACTTCTCCTGGAACCGGGACGGTCTGCGTATTTGTTAAATACGTCGTGAGAGAAGGTAGCCTTGGAAACCACGTAAATGTATCTGTCAACAGTTGACACTTGCACGCTCGGACGGCTCTAGTCCATTTGTCGTATGCCCGAACACAGATAAGTGACGGTGCAAGATGGGACCCTGCCTACATTCCTTGAGGACGACATTATGCCTTTGTGCAGCATACCCAGCATCCTCAGCACCTCTTCTCCTTATATTTAATCGACTTAATTGCCAGTTGGCCTTTCTCAGTAGTGAATACAGACATTTGATATAAGAGAGGAGAGGAGGGGTATAAGGAGACTGCCTGAAACAATTTGATTCGATATGGAAGGACTCAGGGACCAACGAGGTCGATAGTACCAATGCCCAGAGTCGATTACTTCTAAGTCAGGCCGATCGAAGTGGGTTCTGGGACTCCAGAGCAGAAGTTCCTATACCATCGAGGTCAAAACATCCTTCTCAAATAAAAAATGCACAGCACAATCCGAGCGAATGTTTGAAGGAAACGATGCTAACCCTTCTGGTGTACACGATCGAGTAGAGCGATTAACGGGATGACCGATTTCGTTCGATTATTTTATGGTATGTCCACATGGGTACTAAAGTTCTTCTCTCCATCGGTTGGCGTCTACTGCTCTGAAGATAGATAGATTCTTCACTGCAACATCTCACTATATGAAGAATTATACTCACTGAGTTTACAGTGGTTTCTGCTGTTCGTCATGGAATCGTGCCGACAGTTGCTCGCTCTTTCCTGGAGGTGAAGGAGGGTGTTCAGAAGCAATTTCATCCTCTCGGCGGTTTGTTACATGGGAAGCCATGCTAACATAAAAGAGTAGAAACACGACGCCATCTGGATACGCATCCACTCTGCCAACTTCTCTAGAGCTCGCAATATACTGAGCTAGTTTTCTACTAGAAGTGGATTATGAGAGAGAAACGAGCCTCCTGAGGTTGCACTGACCCTTATGCAATGTAGTGCGACCCAAAAGTCCAGTCAGGAACTTGTGATGACCATGTTGGTGGTAGGCAGGTAATGCCTTGAAGATACGAAGCCTCGGAGAGGGTTCTTGTTTCCAAGCTTGCAGAACAGAGATTTGCTCGATTTCATCCGAGCTCCAGGTTCTCAACACGGCTGATATGACCTTTCGCCAGTTGAGGATTTCGAACCCCATGTTGAATGCTGGAGTGAAGAGGATGATGGCCGCGTTGGATTTTCGTGATTCTCTGCGCACCAGATGTCCCTCAGAAACAAACGCCAGAGCCAGAAGGAAAGGACGAGGTCGGCAACTGCACTCGCGATTCACTGAATTTCACAACCCGCATGGTGGTTCTAATGTTCAGAGCGAGGCGCAGTGCAGAATGCCAGGCATCTGTGGGATAGCATGGCATGCACGCATCCCTTTTCGAATTCGTCTGAAAGCTCTCTTCCTACGTCAGGGGCTCGTTGCTTGAAGTACCAATCGAAGGGGCTTCAAAGCGTCCGACTTTCTTCGAGCTCGGCAACCTAAATCATGCTTCACGCCCTCTTCCAACTGCTTTTCTCTTCCCCGCATCGGATCCGTTACATTTACATTACTCGCTCATCCACGCCTTCAGTCGACTGCCTTGACATAAATGGCAGCTCTAACTCGCTATATGCATCTTCAGGTGGGATAAATCAAAACACTTTCCAAGTCCTGTGAGGGCAGAATTTGGGCAGAAGTTCCTTCTTTTCTCCTCTCCTCTCCTCTCCTCTGCTGCATCATCAGAGTGCGAAGAAGGTCAAGGAAAACCATCACCGCCATCACCATCACATCATCATTCCGCGTCATTCCACAGCACAAGTATTATCAGAAAGAGAGATTTGCTGATGGAGCGGAACGAGCTGTGCTGTCGAGCTTATCAGAGACGAAACCAGTGACGTCCATGTTTTGGAGCACAGTCTGTTCCATTCCAATCCGTTGAACTGCACTTTGCATGCCACCTGGTCTCCCTCTCTCTCTCAATCTGTGTGCCCATTGTATGCAACACGATCGGCCTTTCCCAGGCGACCTGCATGGGAGCTTCGGCACCTGCCACCTGTTGGTCCGAGCGCCACATGTAGCTCCCCAGGCCATGCTACGGTGCACACGGTGTTCCTGACCTCCTCGCGAGAGTTTCGCTCCGGAGTCCAGTCATCCGGCCACCATCTTCCGATCGCTGCGAGGAACACGAAGGAAGGGAGCTTGCTGCCACTCCGACGCTCGCTATGCCATGCTCACTGGTGCTCCCCTCCGCCACCATGACATCTACGCACAAACGCACATACCTCTCTTCGGACGAGGTGTATCTATTGGTGTATATAATCGTTTGGCTCGCCGCCTTTTCCACCAAACCCGTGCTCCAGCAATTGATTGGCGAAGTCCGGACCCAACACTTGGCCGGCACTGCTGGACTCCTGAGCTCAAAGGCTAGCCCCGTGCAATAAATCGGTGCTGGGATTTGCAGTGGCTGCTGCTGCTGCTGCTGCTGCTGCGACCTTGGCGAAGGAGGGGGAAGGGAATGGAAGGGTGAGGAGGAACAGTTGAACCCTGATAGAAGCATACAGCAAACGTTAGTCAGGGGCCGTGGTTTACCGACGTACGAGAGGGCACGGTGGGTGCATGAGCTGAACGAGCGATTGCTGGGCTGGGTCAGTGGACAGCATTCATTGGGATCGAGGGTTGTGGAAGAGGTCAAGGCGATCGAGATGGACTTTATGCGGCAGCTGGATTTCTCTCAGGTGCAGCAAGGGCTGCTGATGGTCTGGATAGCGGTCGCGGGGCCGGTGATCGTGGCGGCGATTCCGATCAAGGCTTTAGATCCTTTGAGGAGATTTTGGTGGCCTCTGTTTAGACGAGGAAAGCTGCTCCAGTCACCCGATACCGCAGGCAGGGGCTTACTGGTCGGAATTCTCTATCGATTCATGACTGGACGATTTCTGAAGCTTTTCGTGCATTTGCTGCTGTGCTGAAATTTTCTGCTTAAGGATTCTGAACGACTTTCATCAATTGCTGGAGCGCCGCACTGACGATCGAATTGTCGTTTTGATTGCAGAAGCTGACAGTTCCGCAGAGTTTTTTCACCCACTTTTACATCGTAGGACTCACGCTGAATACGATTCTATTCCTCACCTCCTTCGCATTCGCTTGCAAATGCTCGTCGGGAGTGAAAAATCAGTTCTCGTCGGTGGTAGCGCAGCTGACAGGCGCCGGAGCTCACCACACATTGTTCGCCGGTGATACCGTTCCAGTGCTGGGGAAATTCGGTCGGGAGGCATGGAAGCTCGCCTTTCTTCTCTTGCTGATGGAAATCCACCTCACGCGCAGGCTCTACGAGTGTCTTTTCGTGTCTTCCTTCGATCCTTCTGCGCGCATGAGCGCCATCGGCTACCTGATCGCTCTCGGGTAGGGGAGGGTCGCTCTCTTTGTTCCAGAACCTGCTGAAATTGCACATCCGCTTTTTCATTGACTGTCCTGTCCGTCCTCTCCGTGCATCGAGCTTCAGCTTGTTCTCTTGCATCAGCATGAATCGAGTCAGCTGGAACATTGTAGCGAGCACCATCAGTCCGGATGGCCAGATCTTTTCCTTCTCAGCGATCGTATCGTTGTGACCATGATGACCATTTCCGAGCGACCTCGTTCCATGATTCTTCTTCATTATTGACTTACGAAAAGCCCTAATCTTCATAAGAGCAAAGAGCCAGCTCAGGGTTGGACATGGACTGCTGGGCTGTCGAATGGTTTCTGTCTATCGTTTTTTATGGTGATACTGTCATGGGCTCCGACGAATTTCTCATTTCGGAAGTGTAGGCCATACGTTGCTCGTTCAGACTTCAGCTGGACCGCAGTTGTCTCTCACGCATACACGCAGTCTAGGCCATGTAAACGAGAGAAGATTTATGGTAAAGTGTAAGCATTGGAATCCGGAAGCTTGCACCTACTGAGCAATAATTGTTGAACGATCGTTATGGTCTCTTTGTTGCCACGCCTCAATCCAAGGATCGGATGTCTGAACTACTGCTTGCGAATGTGTTGATTCAGGTTCTACATCGTGGTGCCGATCACTCTGTTTCTTCAAAGTTTCACTCAGGAGAGCTACACGAACGCCTTCAAGTTATTTGCGGCCCAGAAGCTGAAGCAAAAAGGGGAGGAGATACTGGAATCAGCCAATGAAGCGCCGGATGTTTTGAATCTCATATCGTACCTAGGACACATTGGATTTGGGTCATACATCGGAGCTGGCTTGATGTTTTTTGGAGCTTATCATCAAAACGTCTGCCATGAGATTCTCGTAAGCTCACCCACTCACTTCTCTCGTGAAAACTAGAAACACCAGAATAGCCATTACTCGAACGTTCACGCCATAATGATGGGTCAGAGGATGTGACCACCTATCAGGAGAAGTTTGTCTTTGCACTAGAATCCACTGGAAAGTGTTTTTTCTCTCTTGCTGCCATAGATCTATATCAGCAAGAATGTGTTGTACTGAATCCGGATGCATTGGAAGCCCGGACGTTGAACGAACTGCCATTGAAGATCTAAACAGTTCGTTTACAAGTGGATTACAGCTCTAACCAGATCTTTCAAGATCAGCCCCCTTTATTAGTGGGTGGCCTTGAAAATGCGGCATTTGTAAGCTGCGCTGTAAACTATTTTCTCAGAAGTCAATGGACCCTACACATTTCTCAGTCTTTTTGGACCGATTAGAAGCTGAAGCTGGACTCTGTTTACTGGAGACTCGCTCTTGCTTCAAGAACTTGGCAGATTCGTCACTCACATGAGAGGAGTACTTTCTTCACGAGACACAACTAACAGTTTTGATCTTTCTGCAGGCTGCTCTTCGAGCAAATGATGAGCCTGGATCTTCGAAAAAGTATTACATCCCCACAGGAGACTGGTTCGAGCTGGTTTCCTGTCCCCATTACTTGGCAGAGATTGTAAGTGGCCTCGAAAACCGTTTCCAACATTTCGAGGTTGACAAAATTCGCATTCTTCAGTGAATCTCTTCTTGCTGCCCGAAAAATGACGATGTTGATGTCATTCTGTGCAGGTAATCTATTCAGGTCTGGTAGTGGCTAGTGGGGGAACTCACCTGGTGATGTACATTATGCTCGCACTTGTGGTAAGTACACATTCTCTTCTCAGAAGATCTCTCTGTTTCTTTCCAGCATCTATGGCCCACGTCTCCAAGACTAGCAGCTGACGGTATGGGAAAATGATCTTCTTGTGCTCACAGGTGGCGAACCTGTACTTGCTTGCAAAACCTACCCACGAGTGGTACCTTGCAAAGTTCGATGATTATCCGAGTTCTCGTCGTGCAATGATACCTTACATCGCTTAATGGATAGGAAGAGACGTTGGAGGCGAAGCTTTTCAGTGGAGTTCACATTCAGCTTGCAGCAGCTGGTCTCCATTTTCTGCGTGTCTTGATAATGAATGGCTTGGTCGACTGCTCAGGAGAACATAGGAAAGGAAGAGTAAGATGAGGAGAGGATACAGTTACGGATCTGAATGTCAATCCTCCTGCTGTAGACATGTCAACCATGAAATCGTTGTAAATTTTACTTGGATCGGGGTAGGTGCTATGTCTAGTCCGATCTGAGTTGTAAAGTGTAATATTTATCTGTGTCGGCATAAGTAATACTTCGGATCATAATCAGTCTCGCGCTTGCAATCTTTCTTATCGAGTGAACAATCTGCTCATCTTGAAGGTGCTTACTTTTTTTTGGAGAGCAGTCATGTGAAACTACTAGAAGTCGGTGGATGATTTGGTGCATTTACTGTCATAGTAAAATGTTTGCCTCAAGTGCAATCTCTAGACGTGGGCTGGTACACCCCTCTCGTTGTTTGTCTCTGGAAATGTTGGCTTCTTATTACTCTGTCTTTTACTTGATGCGAGACTTTGAACATGGTGAGTTTGGAACTCAATTTGAAAAATTCAATTTGAAGAAGTGTTGTAACAAGGAAAATATAGAAAAAGTTATTGGAAGATCTCAGTAAGCGGTGTAAGTGGGGCTGGTAGGCTCAATAACATTTGAACCGAAAAATATCTTACCGGAATATTAAACAGACACGCACACATTTCCAACATTCTTTAATACGTACTGTAAATAAAATTATTTATTTGAAAGTTATTTCTAGTACACAGTAAAGAGCATGTTGGAAATTATTATCTATTACAATTATCGTAACATGGTTGCTTGGACAAAATTTTTCCCTAAACCAAAAATAGAAATCTACTGAAATGGTCTATTATGAAATCAAGTATCGAATTAAAAAGAGCGAAACATGTGAACCTATTATTCAAATTCTCACAGTCTCTCGTGCGTCTGACGATTCTTTCAAGATCGTCAGACACAACTGCATATAACTTCCAAAAAATTTCTTTACATATTTGGCAATATATTTGGCGCTCCACTCACCATCGTGAAGCTGTGTCGCCATTTGACAATATGTCGTTCGAAACAATGGTCATGTAACGTTGTGTATCATCTGTAACCCCATCTTGTGTAAAACACACATTTTTAATCACAAGAATAAGCTTCAATTTGATGTTGGTTGTACGACACTCAAACTCCCCTTCACCGAATCAGATCAATTCGCAGTAAACACTCCAATCGCCTTTATATTTATGCAAGAAAATTTTCCTATGCAGAACGAACAAGCTGATGCGTCAAGAATTTACTCAACATGACTTCAGGCTTTCTATATGGGCCTATTCGGATTTAGAGGATCACGTATGAGACCAAGATGGACTCAAACACTAACTTGTCCTGCCGATTGAGACGCCACCAGCGAGCAGCATTCAGCATTCAAGATGCAATGAAAGTGCATCATTACTTTCCACCGCTGGATCTTTAATAACCCATACATTTAGTATTTCCAGAGGTAGAGAGAGTGACTGATAAACGTCGGAGTTAGTCCGTAGAAGTATACCTTTCTCGGCCTTTTGGCTAAGATCAAGTGTAGTATCTGTTCTTATCAGTTTAATATCTGATACGAGGGTCATCGACCCTCACGATATTAATCTTATTTATTTCAGGGTGAGAGTCCAATCGAGCAGCTTGCTGTTCGGGACTCTCCAGTGTCGCCTAGGTATTGCACTACCTCCCAGGCCGGCGCAGCCCACTTCTCCTCACGGAGAACCAATGAAAACAAACAGGAAATCAATATAATGGTTCCTCAAGAATCACTGTCACGAACCCAAGTCGTCCTATGGAAATTATTAAAAATTTTCGTTTCAAAAGCGAAAACCAACTCTGCTCGACTGACAATCCAGCTCTGAGCTCCTGATGTCTTGGAGAGGTCCGTGTCCACAAATTATTTTCACTTTCGATTCAACCAGAGTTTCATAAAGACCTCGGCCGAAACCTTGGTCCAATGCAGGAAAAATTAGATCTCTTTTCGATAGTTTCGACAACGCTTTGTACCGCTTGACGATAAACAACAAATCGATGAGAGAATCTGCCACTTTGGCCCTTGTAACAATTCGAAAGAATTGGTACACCACGTGCGAAGAAAAGTAAACGTGTTTGAAGATCGAGCCACTCCTTGGTTCGTTAAGGCATCACGGTCTTAGATAAATACATGTGATATCACTGATCACGTGCCAGACAAAGCAAGAACATAGAGCGAATTCACAAATGCCACTCAAGTTGTGCTTGTGCGTTGCATTTCGAACATGTCGAAGCCAAGAATTATGCAGACGTTGAATTATGATTTTAACTCCTGAAACGATCGTGGTGGGCAGTGGAGTTGACGGTGAGGAAACCGTACACGAGTTTCTGCATACATTATCTTATTCACCATCCGGGCTTGGGTCGTCCGACAATTCCGTCGTGCGTCGTGAACTTGAGCCCACGTTGCAGAAACAGCAAGTTTCATCTCCCAATACAAAATCAGCGAAACAGGAACTTTGTATTCAGTGTCCTCGATAACAATGTCCGCTCAAAGTACTCATGAAAAGAAAGTGCTTCTCGGCCCTCAAACGCCACTTTCGTGTCATCTTTCAAAGTTCATGTCGAAGCAGGTTTCGCGTGTACAATAACACCTTCACATCACGTACACGAGTTTTACCAGCCGACAAAGATGTCACTAGGTTGCACGGCTTTCTCGGGCTTCTGGATATCGGAGGAGTTATAAAAGCACACGATTCCGCTCTTGCTCGCTGTGGATGTCATCTATGCTGTTGACCTATTTTCAACATCCCGGCAGATGGCGGTCGAAGAATGGGCACCCAGTACAATCGATAAGAACCCTGAGTTGAAGAGGGTAGCCTTTCTGTTTCTGATTCATGCTCTTTCGTGCGCGGAACATATTGGCTTCAAGCTATGGCAGGCAGATGCTAATTGTTTAGTTCATCCTTTCTTGTCAGTCGCTGGCACGGAATCTTAACTTCTTTTACAGGACAATTAGAATTGCGCCTCACTTTAGTGCCAAAGAAAATTCGTTAACACAAACAAATCGTGATTCGTGAATGAACAATGCCAGAGGAGATGATCGCCTGTGCCAGAGACGGCCGAAAGAGAAGCAGGCGCACGTCTCCACCATCAGAAGACAGAGCCATCACAATGACGATCGGATACCCCACCAACTAGTTTCAAACTCCACCATCACCATCAGACTAAAAGAAAATTGCATCACAATGACGATCGGATACCCCACCAACTAGTTTCAAACTCCACCATCACCATCAGACTAAAAGAAAATTGCCTGTTCGCCTATCCGATCGTCGCCCCAAGATTGCTCCTCCTGCTCCTCCAAGAAAGAAAGAAAGGCACTGCGTTCGGACATGAAGTTGGTGCCGCGGGATGCCAAAGTGCCCGAGAACAAAAGCACTCACGGTGGGACTCGAACCCACAATCCCCTGATTAGAAGTCAGATGCCTTATCCATTAGGCCACGCGAGCTCATGTATATTAATTTTGGATATAATTATATATTCTTATAATTTGGAAAATTTCGAAAAAAAAAAATCGGTGCCAAAGCGACGCGAGAAACGATGTGACCAAAAAGAACCGAAAATTTAGACGTAGGCCTGTTTAAAAAGAAGTTACAGTATGAAAAAAAAATTCGAGTTTTTAAGAACTTTATTAATGGATATGTTCGCTTGGAATGCGAGTTATAAAGGATAGTGCATACGCATGATTTTTACTGCGCTCTAGCCACTTTCTAAACGGTTTGGGAAAATGCAGAAAGAAACACTTGCGGGGGCGAGGTAGTACCGAACTGAGTACATCAGCCGTCTCTTGCACGTCTCGTAGTGGGAAAACTCCAAGATAGTTCTTTCGGCTCAAAAGCGTATGTACACTGAAAGCTTAAAAGCGTATGTACGTATGAACAGAGGGGTTGCTATACAAGTTTCTGGTACAGGAGCACCAGGGATGAGGCTAATCTTGGAGTAAGTCTGCAGCATCTGATAGCCTATCCTGAACGAGCCAGGACGAGGAAACCGCCAAATTAACGGTACAGACGGATTTGGAACGAGCTGTAGGAAGAAGAAGGTGCAGTCGGAACAACGGATAAGTCCAAGGTCTGCTGTAAAGCAAGCGATCTGAAGGGGCTCAGGGCAGTCTGACAGTCGACTTCACTGGTGGAACGAGGGACCCAGTTGGGTCAAGCCTTTTGGATTAGTGTGTGCTAGAGTACTGCTGTTTACGAATTTGTTACTGCTGGGGTGTAGGCCGCACATGGCCCTTTCGTGAGCTGTAGATTGCGGTACAGTTAGTGTCTCCATCCCAACCATGTAAAGCAGGTGATCGAAATAATGACATAATAATATTACACACTTGTCTTCTTCACATCTAGTATGGTGATGATAATCCTGGATCTCTGGAAATCGTTTTACAATATGTCATCCCACTTTCGCGCTCGGAGACATTTAATAACCTTCAATCTTTACTACTGGCGTCCAATTTTCTGGACATTTCATGAGGTTCAAATGTGAACTGCCACTAACAAACAAAGAGCACAAGCGAGTTGAACCTGAGGCTGTCGACAGCTGCTTCTGGAGTCCTATACATAGTATCCACAGATAGTGGGCCCAATGACGATCTACTTGGTGGATCAACCAAAGCTGCAACCCGCCTTTTCTCTGCGATTCCATGCGTTCTGAGGTGGCGGTGGTGGGAAACAGGCAAAGCTCACACTGTAAACGGTAGCAAACACCGTAGTCATGTGGATGTTGAATAACAGATGTCCATCTCGATTAATTACCAGCTACGGGACTGGGAGCGTTAGCTGCAGGTCTTTCTTTAGTAGGAGTGTCAGATTCATAACGCGAGATGGACAAAACTTCGCAGTCAATTCAGAAACGCATCTGTTTTCCAAGTCAGACAGCGCCCCACCCCACCCCGTGAACCTGGCCCAAAATCAGCTACTTTTGCTAGAGTTCAGACGTCAGTGCTTCTACTGTTCGTGCTTATCACCCATCACGCACCTTGCCAGCTGATTCCATTCAGTCTGCTAACAGAGACTGGTGCTAACACGCAATTCATAGTGGGTAAAAGGCAACTAATAGAGGAACCTTAATCTGTGCTCGTTTACGGTACAATTACTTCCTCACACAGAAGGTTAGTAGAGTTTAAAATTCACGTCGTTGGTTTATTCACACAAATGGAAGTACTCTCGATCTCGATAACACCGAGCACTGATAAAGAGGAGGTCAATAAACAATAATAATAGTCAGTGATTGCGACACTCTTGAGTCCATTTTTAGTATGAAAATTTAATCTTCAGTCTGTAATGGTCGTTCTCGATGGTCAATCCCAAAATGATTGAAATCAACAGATGGATATTGTAACGAATGTCGACTTGGATTAATAGAAAGCCACTGAGTGCTTGGATTCACTCTGAAAATCTACCGTAAGCAAAACGTATCACGCAAACTTCAACGGTGAAGCTCATGCACAATCCGTGAGAAGAGGCAAACCCACACCTTGGCCACGGCATGCAAGACGATAAACGTGTGATCAGACAATATAGTTGTGTGAAGCAATATTTATGAACACGTATGCCTGCAAAGGGCTCATCGATCACTCTATCAAAGCTAAGCCCCTAACTACTCTCACAGGGCTAAACCAGATGTCACAAGGAACGCGGCCCTAACCTGCAATTCACACGATCCCGAGTGTGGGACGTATAATCAAACACGCAGATAATTTTAATGTTCAAATTAGCTGACTACTGAAACAAAAAATGTGATTTCATTTACCCAAACATCTGCCCATCCACCTTCACTAATCAACAAATTCTCTTCAGCCGGTGTTAAGACTTAGGCCTGCTCATAGCTAATATCAAGCGCTGGTGTACTGTCTAACTGGTGTTGGAGCACACAAATCCTTGGATTGTGACCTGTGTCGATTACTGCCACACATCATTGTTCACGCCTTTGTGATTCTGGTACCGTGATGTAGTATCTGTCGTAGTGTAGGTAGCAATCTTTCAATACAATTTTAGCTGACAGAGGATCCTTCGGACACCATTGTTGCAAGTTCGTCACGATGTACTGTAGACAGTACCTGCATTCCTCCGGAGTCACGGTGTTACAGCCTGCAACTCCATATGCAGTTTCGCTGTTGTCGTAGGCATCGCTTGCCTCATCCCACACATCAAAAAGAGGACGTGACTGGACTTTGGCCATCAGTTTGGACAAGACTGACCTCACATTGTGCTGGTATGCCGTTCCATTTCTGCAGGGCAACTTGTGGCAAATCCCGGACATGAAAGTTGTGTCTGCGTCAGCCAAACACATCTGATACGCGAGTAGAGACATCAACAAGACGAATGCAACACCCATCCTCCTCATGTTCGCCGTGCTTGCAGAGCATTCAGCTCTACTCTTCTGCTCACTTCTCTCCCTGCTCTCCTTCCCTTCTCTTCTCTCCCTGCTCTCCCTTCTCGTCTCCTCTCGCACACCCAGATCTCCTCTTCTGCTGTTGTGCTCAGGTTTTCAATGAACATCCCCTTCAATCTCTCGAAGAAAAAAATAGCTGTCGTGGTCCTACTATATCTTGACCTTAGAAGTCTGAGTTCTGAACAGGAATTGATGTTTAAAACTCCAAAGTCACAATAGATTCTCGAGCTCATTCATGGACAGATGAGGCCAGCAGTATCTCTCCAAAAGCTTCTTCTGGACTGTGAGCAGATAAAACAAACGAAGAAGACAGAGACTTGAATGTCCAAATCTAAAATATAAGCTGAAGAAGTTTCAAGCGTCACGACACCTCAAATTGGCAACCTCTGGGTACTATCCACGGCAGAAAATTATCGGAGGATATTTTCACAAGTGTCTACCTTACAAGCTAAGAGTTTGAGTTTCTTACAACAAAATTATACCAAAGAAAGCAATTGACGAAGATGCAATTAAAACGTGGGTCAGAAATCCATAGAACGGTAAAGAAAATAGTCTTTCAGTTCTGTCAGTTTTCACGATAAACACAATTTATTGCACTGCACGCCGTCCTGACGGACTCGGGAGCGCACGTCTTTTCTCTCCGAGAGGAGAAGAAAAAGCAAGTTTCTTGGTGATTTCGGGGCTCTTAACTGGACCGGAGCAGGGTCCAAGAGGAGCGCCCCATGACAGTAGGAAGGTCCCCCCACAGGCAAAGTCCGGTTTCAAGAGCAGGAGGGCACTCAGCTAATGTGGGTCCACCCCGTTCAACGTAAACTTTTTTGAGTGCCAAGTCTTGCCAACATTTTTTATGAGACGGCTGCGAAGCTGCTTTCTCTATGTCGAGGAGTGTTAGATAGCATATTCAATTCTTGTTCACATGCTTGGCTCTGCTTGCTACTGTTGTCTCTTCTTACTTGACTTGCATGACGTGTTCTTTATAGGTAGCTCGACACATGGCTAGCTCCTGCGGCTGGGCAGCACTGCCGAAGCTAGATCTTTCAGCCGATTGCATATCTCTCTTCGGACATGCGATTGTGTACTAGGCAAAAACTACGACTATCAGAAGAAAAAGGAGATTCACATCATGTCTCTGCAAGATTGGAGCATCCACGAGCTAGTTTGAGGGGACATCGATCATTCTCGCCTTGTCCGATGCAACATAAAGCCTTACCTCGCAGAAAATTGCTCGCAGTTGGATTGTGCTGATTCGATTCAGAAGAGTTGGTCTTCCGAATTCTGGAGAGCTGCCCTTCCTTTGACATCACACCTTTTGTGCTGTTGACGTCTGCCTGTGCGTGTAAGGAATAGTCTGCATAGAAGTAAACGATACACTGTTCACTAAACCCTTCATAAATTTTTCCTTCTGCAAAGTCAGACCGGGTAATCATACAGAGATCAATATACTAACTGCTGCATATCGGAGTGATGAGTAACGTGGAGGCTTCGAAATGCACCTCTACACTGTCCTACTTTGAACTGGGGTTTTGCATGTGCGAGACGCGATCCACGGTTAGAGCGACGACGTGCTAAACTTAATCTAAATGCCAGCAAAATAATAAATGTCGAGATGTCCGGATATTCTCAGATTTCTTAGTGCCCACGACTTTTCCACGGATGGTGCTGGTGAACTGTAGAGTCAAGCCGATCTTAGCCGGGTGAGATGCAAAGTTTATAGATTATTTGTGAATTTCGGAGCGCACCATGAGTATGCCATGCATGTACTGTTGTCACAAGAAAGCTCCCAACTTGAACACATCAAGAAGATGCTTGCAAATCCAGAGCTCAAGGTTGCATGAAGCCGTTCAGACAGTTGCCTTCTAGCCGCATCAGGTGCAGGTGTTCACACCACTAAGCCAGCTGACTGGTGTACAGAATGTTTTGCATCGATCGTAGCATGCGCAAGCAGTCTTACGTTTCGAGCAAGAGTTTCAACAACGTCCAGACAGCAGTCTCCAGCCTGCAAATCCGAACGATGGATAAGCCTCCGAGGTCGTAAGGCAAACGAGGTCTATTTTTGAATGCCTCGCTTACCTTAATCTGCCTTCAAGAAAGGCGGTCGCCCCAAGGGATTTATAGCGCGGGAGGGGAGTATGGAAAGCATTGCCAATGAGTGCTTTCACGCAGCAAGCTATTTGCCTGCACACACCACTTGCAGTGGAGAGCAAGCTTTTTCCGCGTGCATACATCGAGTGCGAGACAGCAAGAGGACGGCACTTGCTCGCCAGACGGAAATTACCAGGTTTTTCGGAATCAATTCCCTCACGAATTGTTGCCACTTGCGCTGGGCATATCAATTATCAGAAAATATACCGCACATTTCCCGTTACCCGTACATTCTGGATCTTTCGGGCGTCAGTCGAGTGCCCAAATGCGTGCACGGAGTAGTTACGAGTGGGATCGACGATCAAGAATGGCTTCGCATGCGGGGCGAATGGATCGAGGAAATCCATTGCACTCTACGATCTAGAACATCGCACTTTTGGGATGAACATGATGGTTGAGAATTCAGCCCAACCTCCGATCGCGATTCAGAACGTTAGAGCAGCGTTAGAGTACAACGAACTCCGATTCATCCTCATCTGTAGGAACTCTAGTTTGAGGCGATTCGAAGCAGTTCAAATTCGAGTTCGCGACGCTCCGCGCCACCAGAGTTTGCATGGTCTCATTTTTGAAACCAGCGCCATCATGTTTTGAACTCGTGAAGGTCCGTCTCTTAAGAATCTTCGTCTACTCACTCACGCTATCGACGCTTTGAAGAAATTGCAGTTAGAACTCATCAGCTCTCTTCCACAAATGCGCTGATGGAAATTTGAACTTCTTCTAATCAGCTGTTGGCGATACTGAAAACTAAATTCAGGCCAGTTTTCAGATGCGGTTTGCTGGAGATTGAATTCTTTCTAATCAGTTGTCCGAGATGCTAGAACCTCAAACTCAAGCCAGGTCTCATATGCGGTGCGGGAGATTGAAATTCTTCTGATCAGCTATCAAAGGGAAATTCAAATTTAGTTCTTGTAGCTTTAGCTCATTATAGCACAAGTGTAGTGTAAGAGTAATCGAGTATGATTGGCTTAGTGAATACATGTTGAAGAATTCAACGAGAGATAGATAAAAGCTGACGATATCAACGAATTCAACCACGAACTGAAACCTGACTTCGACAGCCATCTGAAACCTCTCTGATTAGAAAAAAATCAATTTACTGCACGCTACCCGAAAACTGGCCTGTGTTTCAGGTTTAGTTTTAGCTAGAATTTTCGATAAGATACACTGGCACTGATATAAGATTAAAACACTACATTAGTGGAATAGTAATGGATTGTGACGAGTCAATACTAGATGAGCGCGAACAATCTAATCGACTTCGAAACCTGCCAGGATAGGAATGTGTTCAAAATCACTGCCAATGTTTTATAAGTAGTAAGAAGGTTGGATTTGGGTGTACCGTGGAACACTACGCAGATGGGATGGGTCGGAGTCAATATCATGCTCATTATCTCTTGGGAGATATTTTGTACATCTGTCTGTCTAGATTGGATTTTATCCAGAGATATGCTATAGAGAGGATGTTTGGTAGGTTCTATTCAAATTAATGAAGCTATGAATTGCGAGAGTAACCGGGTTTTCAAGAATTTGCACTGGTACACCAAGAGCCAGATGTAGGATTGTTTGTAGTTTATCACCACATAGCTGTATTCTAGAATCGCTCTGAAGTTCCTAATTGATCTGGATCTCATGGAGAGATCTAACCTTGAACTTAGTCGAAAAGATTCCCATACTTCAAGATGTGCCTGCAATACAAGCATCTCAAGGCGTTGATATTAATTAGCTGAAATAACTTTTCTTTTCCACATAAAATTGGCGTTAGTGTGCGTACTTATTGTGAAACCTGCAGAATCGATAATAATCAAAATTAATTTCAAACGTTGGAGCAAGTTACTTCTGAACAACTGAATGTAGACGGTACAATGTATTTCACTTTTTGGACTGTACATTATGACGAAAAAAATTTTGCATACCCGAAACCGGGTAAAGGTATCTGCACCTACCTATGTACTGTACATGTACAGGTGAGATGTCATGACGAACTGCTTCAAGATCATCAATACATATGACAATTGAGAAATATACTTAGCTGACTTGAGAAATGAGAAATGAGAAATGATAAATGAGAAATTTGGTTAGCTGACAAAAGATATATTTTCATAGGATGTGCAGCGCTTATCAGATACTTGTGAAGGTGTGGTATGCAAGCAGCTTACTTTGGTGTGGACTACCAACAGTTTTGACATCATAAGTTGTCAACAAATTCAGTTCCTATCTTGAGAAAGCAATATTATGCAGGTAAGAGTCAAAGAGATGATCTTGCCCGTTGGGTCCAAAAGGTGTAGGAGACACTGGAGACATTGAGGATATTCCTAAGCACCGCCATAATCATGTTTCGTAGTGAATATTGGATGCTGATCCAGGTGAGGCACATGAAGTTGCAAACCATTTCATCTCGTTCCGTCGAGAAGTTGCTACGTACACATCATGGGTGGAAAACAACATGCAGAGATAAGTTCTAGATGGATGAAAATCTGCACCTCTTCTTTGAAACCTTCGTTATGAAACTTGTAATTCAAGATGAGATTTCAAGCTGGATTGCGACCTAGTACAGGTTGCTACTCAAAGTCAGACTCTCGTAGGGTTGGGGTTAGTTTTTCATCTTTCATTGTTAGATATTTAGAGTTGATTCCCACCTTTGTGAATTATGGGAACAAATGTAGTTTCCTTCTTTTATGGAGTTGAAGCCCTACTAGTCACTAATGAATACAGAGTTTGCATTACTAGTTAGCTCTTTCTCCAAAAATTTCATCGAAGTTATTAAAGAAACCAGACGACGGACTTTGTTTAATCCAGCAGAGCTAATCTGCCATAACATATACAAGTTTTCCGAATGCTGAATTGGTGGCAGTAGTTGCCCATATACAAACATGCAAATGGAATAGCCCCCCCTAATTTATCAAACGCTAGAAAGATATGCAGTGTCTTCTAGTATAATTAGCAATTGTGTAGTTTTCAAAGTCATGAGATTTTATGTATTCTTCCATACTTGAGCGAACGATTAAAGGATGAAAAACTTATAGCATTGTAAAGTCCACATACATTGACGTTTTTGGCATTCCAAAGTGAGTAGAATTTATATATATATATATCTGATATAATGTGAATATATCAGATATATCTGATTGTGATGTGAATGATACTTTTATTACACGCTGCATTTTTTATTCATCTTGAAACAAGTGTTTAGACCTTCTTGAAAACCTTGTTGCTGATATATACTTAGTTTCAAAAAATGTACTTGTTGCGCAGAACATAAAGCAGAAGATTTCTTTCAAAAAAATTATTTGATATGATTAAAAATTTGTTATTATTTTATTTTAAATACGATTATGAGTAAATTCATATTTGTATGCCACAACGATAATTTGAAAATTGCTGCATATTGTTTCAATGTAAAGTTGTTGCGTATATTATTTAAAGCATATAAAGTTTAAGAAATAATATAAGTTGTAATTACATACCTTCGTAAATTGTGAATGATGAACTTTGAGTAATTCAAAGCAACATTAAGTAATCAAAAGGAGAGAATACACAAGATACATTAGCAATTTCAACTTAGTGTTCTATAATACCACAATGTGTGGAAGATATTTGATCTTCTATTACATTCAATTATGAAATTTTTTATTTATATTTTAATTTGAAATTATGAAAATAAAATATGCACATATAATATTTTTTTCTTTTAGTTTACTAAAAGAAAATAAAATGACTAAGATAAATTCATATTGAACAAGATAAATTGTGAAATATTGATAATATGTAATGAGATAAAATTAATTTTGAAAATTTCTATTATTATTGTCAAAAAATATGTTTTGTGATTCAGAGGGGCTGTGTATTTTATAGCAAATTTTGTGATTTTGTAGAAATTATAAATGAAAAAATGTGCATGTATGATGTGTAAAACAATATTTATTCTAATTCATGAAGTAATTGTATGTTTAAAAAAAATCTTTTCAGAATAATAAATAATTTGATGAAATTTTTTTAGTGCAATTCATTGCATGATATTTTTTGTGATGAAATTTGATAAATTTGTTGTAAAACATAGCTGATTTAGATTCAAATAAAAAAAATCTAAGCTAGATTTTAATTTCAATCATTATTTCAAAATAACAGAAATATATAATTTTTCATAAAAATTTAGAATTTTCTTTTTGTATCATCTTGATAGGTTAATATTTTTTTAAGAACTCTTGATGATCAAATAAAAAAGAAAATTATAAAACTCTTATATTGACGAATAATAATTTTCAACTTTCATTTTCTAAATGATCATATTCAATTTTATGATTTGACGTTCACATTTTTTTAACAAAAAAAACCTGATCAACTTAAAAAAATGTAATAATTTTATATTAAGATAAAAAAAATTCAACACAAGCTAATTCAGAAATATAGATTGAAATTTTCCATAATTTTAAAATTATATTTAGGGAATTTTTGTAAGATTTTTCAAATTATAATAAGAATATGATTTTAAACCTTGAAGAAGCAAGAATTTGCAAACAAAATATTTCAGCTTAATACGAACAAATTAATTTAGTTGAAATGAAGATAATATAAGTTTTTGTTGATGAAATATAATGAAATGCAACAGTAAAAGGATTAATACAATTATATTTGGAAAAAAAAACTTAGAAATTGCTAGGTTTGAAACAAAAACATATGATGACGTTAAATATATTTAAAATAAGGATCTACAAAAACTTCAAAAAAATATGCTACTATTATATTTTTCAATAATTATATGAAAGAATAAAAATCTTATAAAGAAATAATTTCAAGGACGTACTTAATTTTTTTTCTACTTTAAAAACATCGTAACTGTTATCATTTTTATCTATACAAACAGATAGAATAGTTTTAAGGAGATGATATATGAAATTTTGAAAACTATTTTTTTTTCATGTCGTTAAATTGGTGTATGGACTGTTCAAATCACAAAAAAGGTAAAGTATAGCTCAACAGAATCATGAAATTATACTCAAAAGCAGATTTTTTGATGTTAAAGGTGTTATGCAAAATAAAAATGATGAATATTTAGACAATTAAACATTGCTATATACGTGAGCAATCCAGATATGATTATATAAAGATATATGATTTTGAATTTTTTTTATAGATGTATATATTGTCTATGAGTTTGTTTGGATTTTCTCTTGTTCTAATTTAGATTATTAAATTTTTTTTGAATATGTAGATGTTGTTCATTATATAATATTATTCAATATTAAATTGCTAAATATTTGGATAAATAAATTTAAAAAAATAAGCCGTTCAATGTGGAGATGTATGTATAAGCTGAAAGTAATCACTGTACACAAATGCATAACTCATTTCTTACACGAAATTTGGGTATGAAGTGCAAAACATTCTATCTATTTGTCACAACAATGACATCTACAAATGCTGAGTTGATTCTTCGTGAAATTCAGAAATCGTTACTTATAATAGTTGACCATAAACTGGACAGGAGAGCAAAACACGTTTATTGTAAGTACAATTTTCTAAGATCTCTGTGAATGATAAAGTATATACCAGATTGTTATTGTGGCTAACTCAAAGTAACTACTTTTGAAAGAATGAGAAAACAAGACATCTGAAGTTAACACGACTTTAACCTTACATGAAAACATTCTTAATAAAGCCCACAACCGTATTTTTTTAGTATACTCCAATTGTACAAAAAATAGACTTCGATTTGTTGGAAGACAAATGGTCGTTCAAGGTAAGTTTCCATAAATGTTGTCAGCTATTGAAAAAAGAGAGTTTTGGTCTAGTTCTCACATCCGCTACTATAATCAAATCAAACCATTCTCACAAGAACCCAAGAAACTTGGAAATGTTCAGATACTTACCACATGCATGGAACCGCCCACGTGGTAGAGTCCCAGTCGGCCACTTTCTGATGGTGAAAGCTGTTTTTTTCGCAGTACAACAACGTCCTGAACAGAACCGACCGGAGACGGAGGTATTGCGATTGATCGATAGAGACTCAACCATCTTGAGACCGGGCCCGAGAGATGTCATTTCTCGTGACTGTAAACATGCACTTACGTCGTAGCCCAAAGCATGCGGTAGTGATACGGTGGCCATGGCGACATGAGTAAGTTGTTGGTGCGTCAATTTCCCCACCCAAAGCAAGTGCAATAACGAGAGCTGCTTGCCATGGCTAGCCAGCGTCGCGCAATCTGCTGGGCATAAATTTGTCCTCGATCCCATTCTTGTTTAAAATCAAATCGGCAACGGCTTGTGTTCATCACTAGGGCGCCTGCGCGCCTCTGAGTCGAGTCGACGACTCTCCTACTCGCGGGAGTGCTAGGGGCTTATTGCTATATCTCATCTTTCCTGTGAGCTGAAGCAGATCATCGCTCCCGAGTGTCCGTGGGCAATCGTCGATCGACTGATCTCGAATAGCTTGCTCACGATCTCATGTTGAGGTTTTACTTTGCTTTTGTCGAGGGCTTTTGGAGAGAGAGAGATGCGGTGTAAGTGTCGGACTTACTTTTTGATGATGGGAACAACGGTGACGGACTTTTGACCGAGAGAGGGCTCTCATCAGGAAGTCAAGGTTTGAGCTTCCATCTTCTGTCCGAAAACCCTTACGCAAAGCAAATCAAAGCAAAGCAAGATGTGGACAAGCCGGCGAATGATGGTCGTAGACGTGATGTCCATGCTGGCATCTGTGGGAATTTGGTCGTTGCTGTTGGGAGGGGCTGCAGGTTACTCTCCTGCAGGTGAAGTTCGGTACAAGGATAGCTGGTGCAGTCGAAGTCAATACGAGAGTCCCTCAGAATATGAAACGGTCTTGAACAAGTTGCTTGCTGATCTTACCGTGCTCGTTGCTGGAGATGCAGAGGATATTTGGGCGACCTCGGGGTTCGGCCTGTTCGCCACAGGGGCTTGCAGTGTCCAGGACTGGTCCAGTTGCGCTGCTTGTCTCTCATTTCTCAGCACCAATATTGGGACATGGTGTCCTCGCGCGAAAACCGCTCGGGTGACTTTGAACGACTGCGAGATGGAATATGCCTTCGAATACAGAACCGCCCTGGACGATGAGGAAGCCATTTTCTTAACTACTCGAAATCCAGTCGAAATTGAACTCTTCGAGTGAAAGCCACTGTCAAAATCATCAAATATAACAATGCGAAAGTCTTCCTTGTGAAATACTTGTTGGCAGCCACAATATCAGGCATGGCAATTAATCCATTTCTCTTGAAGTGTTTTGTAATCTCAAGAGAGGTTGATGACCATTAAAAGGAAGGTAGTGATTACGTGCAGAGCTTGATATCGTTAGCTGCAGCTACAGTTCTTTCGTCTAAGGGGTTTCCAGTCCACGAGAGGCACAATGACTACACTGTATGGTTTGGAGAAGATAGAGACAGTTCCGTGATGTAGTGATATTTTGAAAGGTACTCGTTGAATCCAAGGGAGTGTTTTAAGCTTCGAGGAGCATTGATCTCTTTAGTCCAAGATAGATTTATGCATGTTGCAATAAAGGTGAACTGATCGATACGTGGGTTTCTAAATTTCTGCCAAAGTCTTTAACTGTGTAAGATTGTCGAAATTCCTGAAATGATGAAGAGAAAAGGGTGCAAACTTACATGTTTCTCAAATGTCTCCAACAACCTCCTCGGCAGTTTGCAAGTCCAGTAGTCATTGTGTACGATCAAAATATTGGTAAGAATGAGATCAGAAAATCACTTAAGTCCAATAAACTTATCCGTGAGGTGAATGCTCGAGTTATTCGTGTAAGAGACGTGACCATGAGACTTTAGGTAAAGGGTCTTGTAACAGATATTGTCTTTATTTTGTTTTCGAAATTCTATAAATCACAAACGCTTCTTTACTCGACCCAGAATCTATCTGAATTATGGCACCAGATGCTTGAGGTGTCATGCGTACACCTGAGTCAGTACTGACTGCTTTGGAGTCGATTGAATGAGAGAAATTGCTGGGCATTTTCCGTACAGCATTGGAACCGTTGCCTGGAAGTGGAATTTGTTTTCAGCTCTTTGTCTGTGTTCATCGTTGCATGCATTGGAGCATTCGTTTCTTCTAGATACAGCAGTTTGGACAATTCAAAACTCCTGGTCGGATGTTTACTTATTATGGGAGACCTCAAAAAGCACCAATATACCTGCGAACGTTGGTATCTTGGTTGGAGTAAATTTAGTTCTGTTTTTTTTGTTATGGAGCCCTTTTGCGGCCAATAGGATGGCCTGCTCAATGAGGTTAAATTTTTGAATGTCCTTTGATCAGGTACTGAAGAAGATCAGTCCGCATGTATCTCGCGAAGCGTACGACGGATAGGCATGTTCACTTTATTTCTGATGGGGACTGCGCCATTTCAACTTGAGAATCTGCAAGGTAGGTACTTCGAATTCAAAAGACCTATACCAGGGTTCCAGTCAAAAGAGATTCTGCTGTCAAGGTACTACGGGATTCTTGCATGTATGTATCCGCAGGTACAAGCACAATCTGTCCGGTTACTAGATTGGGACGAGACTGCCCTGCGAATTCTTCATTCTTTCGCCGTGTACTTGGTGATCTTTTTGCAAAGAAGATATACCTATTACATAATAAAAATTTTAACTTCATTAAAATTAAGTTTTTTGAGTGAGTGACATTTCTCTAAGAATATAGAAAAAGCAGGTGGACAATATGGAAAGCAGATGCACGTGCTGTCATTGAATCAGAAAGTCCAAATTGGAATCTCTTCATCCTTATTTTTAGAAAGGAGATAATGAAAATAATTTCTCATTATTTCCTATCCAAAACACATAGTAACGCATAGTAAGTGAGAAAAAAAAAAAAACTGGATGTGAAGGTTATTCTTCTGCTACAATGCACTTGGTAGGGCCAATCCAACAGATTTTATAGTTCAGTGATTCAATAATGTCCAGAAAAGCCATTGTCTCACAGAGTAATTGGTTAATGTGAACCCTAAAACGAAATTCAATTACATATTTATTTATTTATAGTTTGATATCACTAAGATTGTCATTTATACGGCAGCTATACAGAGGTCGGTAAAATTAGTCTGCTTGAACATAGAGACTAAAATCCAAGGCAGTAGGCTGCGGACAATATTTCTCAGTATGCAGCCAATGATTTCCAGAAGTGCCAAGGTGTATCACGAGCAATAGATCATGGGGTTTCTCACCCAGAATCACCTATAACTCAATGTTGGTGGCCACGATTTTCAACTTGTATTCTAGTTCGTTCTTGGGGTGCACTTGGTTTCAATTTTTTCATGCATCACCGTCACACTTGCTTAGGTTTTGTTGCGATTATCGTAAATCACTTTGGTTACTAAAAAAAATTCACTTGTATTTCATGTTCTTTCTATCTTAAGAAATGACATCAAATACAAGTGACTCTAGATAGTAAAGGAAGAGATTCGAACCATATACTGAAAAACATAAACCAGTGTGAGGGTATACATGAATAAGGAGTCACCAAGTGCATCCTGGAAATTGATAAGAACACAAGTTTTAAAGGTGTGGACGCCGACAATCAATAAAGTGATGAGTCATGCTGGCTAAGAGATACCATGATATTGTATTCGTGATGCAACGCGGTATTTCTATATCCATCATTATCCTCTGCTTTCTGCCAAAACGGAGCTCGAATGCTTGGCTCACTACTGCTTTTTGAAGTGAGAATAATCTTCCGTAGCCCACGGCCTTAGAACATTTAGTGAGTTTATAAAGGCAGACTTCTACCCATTGTACTAACGTTCTAGCCTTGCACACCTGCCATTCATAAGACGTCTAAATCAACGGTTTGGTGATGTACAAATATAAATAAATAAATACGTAACAGAGTTTTCATTTGAAAATTCACATAATACAACTACTCTTTAACAAAATTGATCTTTGGATTTTAGTGAATTAGTAAATTCAAGAAATGTTGGAGCGACCATAAGTGGTCTGTACGATAAGAAGACCGAAATTCTCAACGGCGAATTATTTTCATAATATCAACAGGGTAGTTGGTGAGAACGTTTCTCTTGTATCTAAAACTCACCTCTTTTATTGAGGATGAATGGCTTTCAATCTCGACTTTTTGATTCAAACATAGCCTGTCGATTAAGTTTGACTTTCTTCCACCCCCTATTTCTATACTTTTCGCGCAATGTCACTAACTCAGAAGTTGATTCTGACTTAAATGGAGTTAAGATTTAAGATAATTTCTTCTTTAGATTTTTTGGTTGGGATTTTAGTTGATCTCCCTTGCATAAAGATACCGATGAGATGCGTTAAAATGGACTTTTCAGTGCTTGTAATATTTTACCTCGTGTTGACTGAAATTTCTTGTCATTTTCAAGGTAAGAAAGAAAATAGCGAGGAGAAGGGTCATCAGTTTCCAGAACTCGTTTTACAAATCCGGGCGCTCTGCTAGGTTGTCAAAGTGCTGTACTTACTTACCACTCGTGAGTTCACATCAGCATGAGAGATAACGACATTGCTAACCACTGATTACTTTTTTGTTCATATAACTGTATCAATATTCTATGTTGTCAATTACAAGGGGAGATGTTTTTTTGGGGTTGTGGTCATTCATCCTGCTGGCCTCTGTGGATTTAAGTAACTACACAACTTTTTCTAATAGATGAAATGATTTTGTTCGAGAACTGCACCACGTTCCAGTTTTCCATGATCGCGTAGTCCTTGCTACACCATCTTCGTGAAATTCCAAAGTTTTGTTAAATGGTCGATGCACAAGTAGCTTAAGCACATGCTATACGGTACAGTGTTCCTTATTCTTGGGCAAAGTGTTACGGTGACTAATGACTTAGAAGGAAGTCTAGGTTCTCTCCATCTTCTATTTCATGCAAGTATGACGGACCAAGTATGATAGCAAAGAAGGACGAACACCCTATTAAAAAATTATTCGGTGTGTATCTAAAATGACCAAATTTTTTAGGTTGATCTTCTAGAAACAAGAGTGTTGAAATCAAGCATGGAACCCCGAATCTCATCATATTGGAACATATCACATATTGCACCTATGCTATCAGAACCTAGGGCTGCCCACACATTTAATATAAAATCAGACATGGGCTACACAATCCAATATGTAACGTATTTTGTCACTATTCTCGCAAAAGCCCAAGAAACTTGGGATTGTCGGCAATTGGAATCTTACCACGTGCATGGAACCGTCCACCTGGTATAAGGCCATTGGGCCCTTCTGATGGTGAAAGCGAAAGCTGTTCCCCCGCATGTCATCATCGTCCTGCACCAAACAGAGCGGAGACGACAATATGGAGTTTCATCGATAGACCACCGATGAAGAGCCCAATTTGTGAGCGATGTCGTTGCACATGAGCTGATATCGTATCCAAAGTCATAGTCATACAGTAGCCATAGTCTCGTGAGTCTCGTGAGTTGCTGGTGTCACTTTCCTAATCAAAGCAAGTGCGACAACTAGAGCCGCTTGCCATGGCTACCCACCGTGACACAATCTGCTTATCATAACTTCGTATTGGCTGTAACGAAGTTATAGCAAGCAGAAGTTACTGCTGGATTCATCTGACCGTGAATGAGCTGGAGAATCTAGAGTTTAGAGTTTGAAACATCCATTCCTGTTGAAAACTCAGACTTTTAACGTCGACATATGGTAGGAACGCCTTAGCCATCGTTTCTGGGAGACATTGAAAGGGGAGGCTTGTTGAAAACCTGAGCACAACAGCAGAACAGGAAATCTGGGTAGATGAGAAAAGACGAGAAGGAAGAGCAGGGAGAGAAGAGAAAAGAAGTGAAGGGGAGCTTGCAAAGCTAAATGCTACAGAGCTAAATGTGCTTGCATAGCTAAATGCTCTGCAAGCACTACGAACATGGGAGAGATGGGTGTTTGGCTCATCCGATTTGTTTGGCTGATTGCAGACACTTCAATCATGTCAGGGATTTGCCACAAATTGCCTACCAGAAATGAAACGGCATAACAGCACAATGTGAATTCAGTCTTGTCCAAACTGACAAGAAGGTTTTCAAGAAGGTCTAAACACTTCCCTTCAAGATGAAGAAATTATGCAGCGTGTAACAAATTAATCATTCACATCACAATCAGAATTCTCATGTATACAAACAAATAAATTTTCTCCCTGCTTTGGAGTGCTAGGAACTTCAATGTATGTGGACTAAAGTCCACATACATTGAATATCCAATGAATATCCAATGCTATAGGTTTTTTATTCTTTAAACGTTCGCTCAAGTATGGAAGAATACATAAAATCTCATGATTTTGAAAACTACACAACTGCTAATTATACTTGAAGACACTGCATATCTTTCTATCATTTGATAAATTAGGGGGCTATTCCATTGGCATATTTGCATATGGGCAAAAGAACTACTGCCACCAAGTCAGCATCCGGAAAACTTGTATATTATATGGCACATTGGCTCTGCTGGATCAAAGAAAGTCCGTCCTCTGGTTTCTTTAATCACTTCAATGAAATATTAATGCAAATTTATTTGTGACTAGTAGGACTTCAACTCCATAAAAGAAGGAATTACATTTGTTTACATAATCGACATAGGTGGGAATCAACTCTAAATATCTAATAATAGAAGATAAAAGATGAACCCCAACCCTTCCGAGAGTCTGATTTTGAGTAGCAACTTTTACCAGGTCGCAATCCAGCTTGAAATCTCATCTTGAATTACAAGTTTCATAACGATGTCTTCGAAGAAGAAGTGCACATTTTCATCCACCTAGAACTTAGCTCTGCATGTTGTTTTCCACCCATGATGTGTACGTAGCAACTTCTCGACGGAACGAGATGAAATGGTTTGCAACTTCATGTGCCTCACCTGGATCAGCATCCAATATTCAGTACGAAACATGATTATGGCGGTGCTTAGGAATATCCTCAATGTCTCCAATGTGTCATACACCTTTTGGACCTAACGGGCAAGAGCGTCTCTTTGACTCTTACCTGCATGATGTTGCCTTCTTAAGATACGAACTAAATTTTTGATAACTTATGATTTCAAAACTGTTTGCAGTCCACACCACATAAGCTGCTTGCATACCACACCTTCACAAGTATCTGATAAGCGCTCGACATCCTATGAAAATATGTCTTTTGTCAGCTAAGCATATTTCTCATTTGTCATATGTATAGATGATCTTGAAGCAGTTCGTCATGACATCTCACCTGTACATGTACATAGGTAGGTGCAGATACCTTTACCGGGTTTAGGCTATGCAAAAATTTTCTCGTCATAATGTACAATCCAAAAAGTGAAATACATTGTGCCGTCTACATTCAGTTGTTCAGAAGTAACTCCAACGTTTGAAATTTATTTGGATTATTATCGATTCTGCAGGTTTCATAATAAGTACGCACTCACTAAAACAGTGGAAAAAAAGAGCTATTTCAGCTAATTTATATCAACGCCTTGAGATGCTTGTATTGCAGGCACATCTTGAAGTATGGGAATCTTCTCGACTAAGTTCAAGGTTAGATCTCCCCATGAGATCCACATCAAATAGGAACTTCAGAGCGATTCTAGAATACAGCTATGTGGTGATAAACTACAAACAATTCCAATCCTACATCTGGCTCTTGGTGTACCAGTGCAAATTCTTGAAAACCCGGTTACTCTCGCCATTCATTGCTACAATAATTTGAATAGAACATACCAAATATCCTCTCTAAAGTATCCTGCCTGTCTGATTGGATTTTATCCAGTCTAGACAGATGTATAGAATATATCCCATGCAAGAGATCATGAGCATGATATTACCTCCGACCCATCCCAACTGCCTAGTACTCCACGGTGAACCCAAATCCAACAGTCTTACTACTTAGAAAACATTGGCACTGATGTTGAACACGTTTCTATCCTGTAGGTTTCGAAGTCGTTTAGATTGTTCGCGCTCATCTAGTACTCGCTCATCACAATCCATTACTATTCCACTCATGTAGTGTTTTAATCTTATGTCAGTGCCAGTATATCTTACCAAAAATTCTAGCCTACCCTATATGGTCTCCAAGGGAAATTCAAATTTAGTTTTCGTAGCTTTAGCTCATTCCAACACAAGTTTAGTGTAAGAGTAATCGATTATGATGGGCTTAGTTAATATACGTGGAAGACTTCCTATGTGGAAGACTTCCACGAGAGATAGATGAATGCCAACGATGTAAACGAATTCAACCACAAACTGAAACCTGACTTCCACAACCATCTGAATCCTCTCTATTATAAGAAATTCAGTCTCCGGCACCGCAAACGAAACCTGGCTTGAGTTCTAGATTGATTCTACCATCGACGACAGCTGATGAGAAGAAATTGATCTCCAGCACCGCAGCTGAAACCTGGCCTGAGTTTCAGGTTTAGTTTTAGCATCCAAGAGAGAGCTGATTACAAACAATTCAATCCTCAGCACCCCATCTGAAACCAGGCCTCAGTTTCAGGTTTAGTTTTTAGAATCGCCGACAGCTGATTGGAAGAAGTTCCAATTTACATCAGCGCATTGGTGGAAGAAAGTTGACGAGTTCTAACTGCAATTTCTTCAAAGCGTCGATAGCGTAAGTAGACGAATCTTGAGAGACGGACCTTCACGAGTTCAAAACATGATTGCGCTGGTTTCGAAATTGAGACCATGCAAACTCTGGTGGCGCGGAGCGTTGCGAACTTGAATTTGAACTGCTTCGAATCGCCTTAAACTAGACTTCCGCGAGATGAGGATGAATCGGAGTCCGTTGTACTCTTACGCTGCTCTAACGTTCTGAATCGCGATCGGAGGTTGGGCTGAATTCTCAACCATCAGGTTCATACCAAATGTGCGAAGTTCTAGAGCGTAGAGTGCAGTAGATTTCCTCGAATCCATTCGCCCCGCATGCGAAGCCATTCTTGATCGTCGATTCCTCGTAACTACTCCGTGCACGCATTTGGGCACTCGACTGACGCCCGAAAGATCCAGAATGTACGGGTAACGGGAAATGTGCGGTATATTTTCTGATAATTGATATGCCCAGCGCAAGTGGCAACAATTCGTGAGGGAATTGATTCCGAAAAACCTGGTAAGTTCCGTCTGGCGACCAAGTGCCGTCCTCTTCCTGTCTCGCACTTGATGTATGCACGCGGAAAAAGCTTGCTTTTACTGCAAGTGGTGTGTGCAGGCAAATAGCTTGCTGCGTGAAAGCACTCACTGGCAATGCTTTCCATACTCCCTCCGCGCTATAAATCCTTTGGGGCGATCGCCTTTCTTGAAGGCAGATTAAGGTAAGCGAGGCATTCAAAAATAGAGCTCGTTTGCCTTACGATCTCGGAGAGCTTATCCATCGTTCGGATTTGCAGGCTGGAGACTGCTGTCTGGACGTTATTGACTCTCTTGCTCGAAACATAAGACTGCTTGCGCATGCTACGATTCGATACAAAACAATCTGTACACAGTAAGCTGGCTTAGTGGTGTGAACCGCCTAGAAGGCAACTGTCTGAACGGCTTCATGCAACCTTGAGCTCTGGATTTGCAAGCATCTTATTGATGTGTTCAAGTTGGGAGCTTTCTTGTGACAACAGTACATGCATGGTAAACTCACGGTGCGTTCCGGATAATCACAAATAATCTATATACTTTGCATCTCACCAGGCTAAGATCGGCTTGACTCTACAGTTCAGGAGCACCATCCGTGGAGAAGCCGTGTGCACTAAAGAATCTGAGATATCCGGACATCGCGACATCCATTAGTTTGCTGGTATTAGATAAACTTTAGCACGTCGCTCTAACTGTGAATCGCGTCTCGCACATGCAAAACCCAAGTTCAAAGTAGGACAGTGTAGAGGTGCATTTTGAAGCCTCCACGTTACTCATCACTCCGATATGCAGCAGTTAGTATACTGATCTTTGAATGATTACCCGGTCTGACTTTGCAGAAGGAAAACATTATGAAGGGTTTAGTGAACAGTGTATCGTTTACTTCTATGCAGACTGTTCCTTACACACACCGGCAGACGTCAACAGCACAAAAGGTGTGATGTCGAAGGAAGGGCAGCTATCCAGAATTCGGAAGACCAACTCTTCTAAATCGAATCAGCACAATCCAACTGCGAGCATTTTTCTGCGAGGTAAGGTTCTCTGTTGCATCGGACAAGGGGAGAATGATCATTGTCCCCTCAAACTAGCTCGTGGATGCTCCAATCTTGCAGAGACATGATGTGAATCTCCTTTTTCTTCTGATAGTCGTAGTTTTTGCCTAGTACACAATCGCATGTCCGAAGAGAGATATGCAATCGGCTGAAAGATCTAGCTTCGGCAGTGCTGCCCAGCCGCAGGAGCTAGCCATGTGTCGAGCTACCTATAAAGAACACGTCATGCAAGTCAAGTAAGAAGAGACAACAGTAGCAAGCAGAGCCAAGCATGTGAACAAGAATTGTATATGCTATCTAATACTCCTCGACATAGAGAAAGCAGCTTCGCAGCCGTCTCAAAAAAATGTTGGCAAGACTTGGCACTCAAAAAACTTTGGGTGGACCCGTATTAGCAGAGTGCCCTCCGGCTCTTGAATACGGAATTTGCCTGTGGGGGCCCTTGACCCTGTCATGGGGCACTCCTCTTGGGCCATGCTCCGGTCCGGTTACGAGCCCCGAAATCACCAACAAACTTGCTTTTGCTTCTCCTCTCGGAGAGAAAAGACGTGCGTGACAATCGTGACAATATTGAAAAAATTAAATTAAATTAGACAATTGTGAAAATATCCTCCTATATTTTTCTGCCTTAGATAGTACATAGAGGTTGCCAATTTGAGCTGTCATGATGCTTGAAACTTTTTCACCTAATATTTGGAAACCATGGTTCTGGTAATATAATAACAGTATTGTGTTCTACAATCCGTATTGTATCTTGCCAATAGTAAATATCTGCGTGCTAATACATCTCCTTGGCACATATCAGGTATATGTTTGGCCAATTCTTGCTGCTATCGAACGAGCTGTCATTGGTCAGATATGAGTCTTGTGTCCTCTAGCATTTTGGTTCAACTCTTGAGATGTTACGGTGTGTCTTGAAGGTGATCGAGGTCCGATAAATATATTTGCAGAAAGAGCTGGATGAGAATCACAGAGCAACACGCACACTACCAACCGATGACAAACTTAAGTTCTAAGGTTTTCATGTTAATTTTGGGTTAATGGATGCAACTGAGAATTCAGAGGACGCGGATGATATCAACAAATTCAACGATGATCTGAAACTGTGAGAACGGGAAACGTGTTGAACGTTAGTGCCCATGTAGTATCGGCATTGATAGGGTCTGTAGTTTTGGGTTTGCCTTGGGTTATTGAACATTTAGTATGGGTGGCAGATATTATCATGCTTGTGTTCTTTGCATGGACGACTCAACGATGATCTGAAATCTGTGAGAACGGGAAAAGTGTTGAACGTCAGTGTTGATGTAGTCGCGGCATTGATAGGGTATGGAGTTTTGGGTTTGCCTTGGGGTATTGAACACCTAGTTTGTTTGGCAAATATTGTCATGCTTGTGTTCTTTGCATGGACGACTATCTTTACCTCGGTGCTGTTGGCAGATTGTTATAGACATCCGGTGACGGAAAAGAGAATTTATACGTACATGGAGGATGTGATTTGGGAAGAAAGCAGGTTTACTTGTACGCTATAGTCTAGTACTTGAATCTTCAAGGTACCTATAAACGCTATAACATCATTACTGCAACCAGTATGGTTGCAGTGAAGAGTGCAATATGTTTTTACACAAAATATTTCAATTTTTGTTGCAATGTTTCTAACATTCCGTGGATGATAATGTTTGATGCGATTCAGATATATTTTTCATAGTCGCTGGAATTGAGTCATCTCAAATTTGTATAGATCATCGCTATTGTCATGTTTGCGATATAAATTTTCATTAGACTAGCTCTCAGCATTGCCAAAGTGAGAATAGAAAAATGTTTCGGGTCCGGTATGGAAAATTCAGCTTTTTCTTGCCCAGAAAACAACTCCGTGTTTCAGGCTCTAGGCAATATCGTATTTTCGTATTACTTATGTATGATACTGATCAAAATTTTAGACACTCTAAAAAAGACAACGAAATATGCATCAGAGACTGTGACGATGCAACAAGATGGAGATAAGCATCACGACCGCGTTTTACACTTCAGTTGGTTGCTTTGGCTTTGCAGCATTTGGAAACTATACTTCTAATAATATCCTAGTAGGTTTGGATTTTTACTAGCTCTATTGGATCTTGGCCAAAAGAAATATCTGTGTGGTAATACATCTCTTTAGTGCATATCAGGTTTATGTATAGCCAATTTTTACTGCTATCGAACAAGCTGTCGACATCAACTGGGCTGGATGAAGCTAATTTGGTTTTGTTTGGTATTTAGAATTTTATTTGTTACAGCCGTCATGTTCGTTGCTAGCGCCTTGCACTTTTTCAAGAATATCAATGATTTTATCTTAGTGATATCATTTTTTCTTTCACTGTATATTTTCAACAACAATATATGTAGATACAAAAGGTAAATCACTGAACTCCACTAAAAAGTTTATCATCATATGGGCTTTCATATTTATATTGAAGCTGATACACTAATTGTTACTATGGTGTATGTAGATCACAATTCTTTACATTCACAATTCTTTACAGTGTACAAAACCTTTTCACATTAAAAATTAGCTCATTATATTCAGTTATTATTTAAACTTACGTAGAAATATGGACATTTCTATACAGCGTGCAAAGATGCTTGTATATTTACATTTTGTTTTGGTCACTATACAAGCATCTCTGCACCTTGTACGAAAATGTTTATTTTTATACATAAGGTTAAATGATTGTTAAATGTAATCAGCTAATTCTTGGTGTGAAAAAGTTTTGTACCCTATACAGTTTTGTTTACTCGGCCGTTGCTGCAATGCGACGTCGGCAGAAGAGACCAGTCGCGCAGCTCCATCGCACTCTTCTCTTACCATCTTGGCGAAAAAACCACGATCGACTTTCGCCCGGAATGTGCACCGAAACCGAGCGGCCAGGAGCTGAAGAGCCCGGTACGGGACTGTACCCAGATGAAACGGAAACCAAATCCCAAATCGACTATCATGATGGGAAGGGACACGGTGGAGGCGTAGTACATGGAACAGGCAGTCTACGACGAAGACGAAGAAGGAGGAGTCCAGTTGGAATCGACCCCTTCGGAGTGAAGGAAACTGGTGAAATCATCAAATATAACGATGCGAATGTATTCCTTGTTATATACTTGTTGGCAGCCACAATACCATACATTGGAATTACCCATTTCCCTCGAAGTGTTTTGAAAGCTCAAGAGAGGTTGATGACAACTTAAAGGAATGTAGTGAGTACGTGCAGAGCTTCATATCGTTAGCTGTAGCTACAGTTCTTTCGTCCAAGGGTTTTCCAGTCACGAGAGCCACAATGACTACACTGAATAGTTTGGAGAAGATAGAGACAATTTCGTGATGTACTGTAGTGAACTGTTGTTGTACAGTTGCTAGAGACTCAGTGAAGACATATTTTGAAAGGCCCTCGTTGAGTCCAAGGGAGTGTTTTAAGCTCGAGGAACATTGATCTCTTTAGTCCAAGATGGATTTATGTATGTTGCAGTAAAGGTGAACTGATCGCTATGTGGATTTGTAAATTACTGCCAAAGTCTATAACTATGTAAGATTGATGAATTTCGTGTAGTGACGAAGAGAAAAGGGTGGCAAACTTACATGGTTCTCAAATGTCTCCAACAACTTCCTCCTCTGCAGTTTTCAAGTCCAGGACTCATTGTGTACGATCATAATATTGGTAAAAATGACATCAGAAAATCGCTCAAGTCCAATAAATCTATCCGTGAGGTGAATGCTCTAGTTATTCGTGTGAGAGACTTGAACATGAGATTTTGGGTAAAGGTCATTCCTCGAACCAAAATCTATCTGAATTATGGTATTATATGCTTGAGTCACGTGAGTCAGTACTGACTGCTATGGAGTCGACTGAACGAGCGAAATTGCTAGGCATTTTCTGTACAGCATTGGAACCGTTGCCTGGAAGTGGAGTTTGTTTTCAGCTATTCCTTTGGGTTCATCGTTGCATGCATTAGAGTATTAGTTTCTTCTAGTTACAGCAGTTTGGCCTATTCAAAACTCCTGGTCGGCTCTTTAATTATTACGGGATACCTCAAAGAGCACCAATATACTGTACTTGCGAACGTTGGTATCTTGGTTGAAGTTATTTATGTTCTGGCTTTTTGTTATGGAGCTCTTAAGCGACCAATATGATTTCCTGCTCAGTGCCCTTACATTTTTGAATGCCATTGGATCAGGTACTGAAGATGATCAGTGCGCATGTATCTCGCGAAGCCGACAACGGATGGGCATGCTCATTTTATGTCTGATGGAGACTGCGCCCCCTTCAACTTGATAATCTGCAATGTAGGTACGTCGAACTCAGAAGACCTGTACCCGGGCTCCGACAAAAGAGATCCTCCTGTAATACCACGAGATTGTCTGTAATTGTTTATATTATTGAATATTTGTAGCCGCATGTACAAGCTCGATCTGGACGGATCCTAGAATTGTACGAGAATGCCCGGAAAATTCTTCTTTCTCTCGCGGTGTTCTTGGTGAGCTTTTTGCATTGAAGATGAACCGAAAACAGAACCAAAATTTTAGAGTGATTAAAGTTAAGACTCGAGACCATGGAGAGGCCGTGGAAGCCGGGCCCCATCACGTTGAAGCCACCGCTGAGCATCTCTTCCAACGATCCTGACGTGCTGGAGTTGGATGAGAAGTAGACGAAGAAGCTCGGGCTCTGCCGGACTGTCATGCACATCGCCAGGACGTCGGCAGCGGCTTCAAGTTTCCCTGCTGCCACTCGACTGCGCACGGGAAATGTGGCGATGTCTCGATAGTAGTTAGCGATTCCAACGATGAGATTAACCGTCTGGAGGGCGTCTGGTGGGCTTATTTGCGGAACTGAGGAGCGGTTCCCTCACATACCAGGGCGAGCAGGTTGTAGAATCTCTCTTGAAGGCAATTTTGTAGAGCAGGAAATTTCACTGCCTTTCTTCCGCAGAGTTGTGAATCCCAACAAGTGTCTTGTACTCCAGCTAGAGCTAATCTGGCCTGAGGATTAGGCGACCCTCGGTTGCTCGGTTTCAAGACCGAATGACCTCGATAAGAACTGTGATAAGATACTATGCTCTCGAGTCTAAGTGTCGGAGGCTTGCATGCAAAATGTCCAAACAATCCTCTGAAATCTTCGTTGCTGTTTGCGGCAGAAAAAAGTACCGTCTGCACAAACTCTATCAAAGGATACATTCACTCATAGGAAACTATTGATAAGGGTTCAGGAACATGATATATCTGTGAGCCGTTAATAGCCTCAAATGGGTTGGGGAGGGAAGGTAGGTCTGGAGTATTGGGAAGGCTTGAAGCCAAGCTGTTCTTCACATCCTCAGCCTTTCCTTTGAAATGCTTGAAGTTTCCCAAAAGCAGATTAGCTTCCGCTTGGATACGGTTTCCCGAAAAACGAAACTGACGCGTTTACGTGTATACAAATTCATGTAACATCAGGAACTTTTATGGTTAGACAATCTACAACCCAATCGAATTTGGTAGTTGTAAGGAAGTTGGTGGATGGCTGAGCATTACCTTAGCTCCCTTGTTGACGTTAAGGTTGTTGAGGGGGTTTGGGATGCTAGGAATCTCGGGAAGCTTAGGTACGGAGATATCAGGGGTTGCATTCTGGGCAGAGCCAACGAAGCTCTTTGCCTCATTGACAGCATCGCCTGCCTTGCTCTTGAAGCTGTTACCAAAGTTCTTAACCATCCTCGTCGCCTCATCCACTCTGGTCGAGTCCTGTCCTAGAAGCTCTCTCCCCGCACGTGCACTGCCAGAATTCTTTCCGGTGCTCTGGGCAATCGTGTTCTTAGCATCGTTGGTGGCTTTCGACACGTTGTCAGCAATTGGGATTTTGCCAAAGTTGGCAATTCTCTTCTTTACGTCACCGAAGACACTACCTGTTCCACCATTGGTACTGGCTACACGATTCTGTGGGAAAGGCTACATTCCAACGAACATAGGTCCAAATATTAGTACAGAAGACTGTAATCTGAAACGACTGAAGCTCATCCATTTTGCTCAGAGCTCCAATTCAATAACAGTCTCAAGTGCAAACTACCGACTCAACTGTGGTAAACGGTGTACACGCTTTGTCGAGGGCTGAAGGAAAAGTTTTGCTTCGAAACATATCCTTTTGTGACTACCTTATTCTTTCCGAAGATTCCATCTATTCGGCTCTTGATCTCATTGACAAAACTGTCGGCGGAGTTCTTTGCATCCTGAACGGCTCCCGCGTTAGGGAGCTGAATGTTGGGAAGGTTTGGGAGGTTCGAAGCAGCGCTCTGCGCAGTAGAAGCAGCCTCTTCGACCTTGCTTTTGGCGAAGTCAACAGGATTGCCTGCGAGGGCAGCTCCGGCAATGCTCAAGGCAGCGACGGTTGCCAGGAAACTTGCCAATACCTTCTTTCCAGCGGTCCTTTGTTCCTGAATATTCACATATCACATTCCTCTTCAGAGCTGGCACATTCCACTTGGTACACTCATCATAGACTGTACTCTAAATATCATGTGTAGCGCAGTCTAAATTCCCCAAAACATCAAAAAAGTGAAGTACTAATGGAAAGTCTAATCTGCAGTTTCAGCAGAGTATCAGTCAGTGGATGATCACAGATCCAGTCGACGAAATGGAAATATACGAGACGGTTCTCAAACCTCGGACAGAGCGGCCCTCGTGGCAACCAATCGGTTGCTCTGACTTACTGCAGGTCCAACGGGAGCAAGCTGCACCAAAGAGGTGCCGAAAGCTTGGCTAGAAGAGAGTGCAGACGCGTCTCTAACTGTTGCCGAAGCAGCGATCCCAGCGGTGGCAAAAGCTGCGGTGCAAGCTGCCATGTTTGCAAGCACTAAAGAAAGATGTCTCACCGAAGAATTCTCGTGAACACTATTCGACAATGTGCGGAAGATATGAAGATCTCTATGAGCAGATCAACATAGCTGGATGACGAAAAGAATCATGCTGAATATCTGGGATTCAATCCGCACTTTTTAGATTTCCGACTATGCTCAGTCGCTCAGGAAAATGCCTCCCTTTATACCGCAATTCGTGACTTAACCAGGGGCGTTATTTTGGCCTTAACAACGCCTAACTCAAATGACTGAACGTGGAGAGCCCTGCTGAAGCTAATCCGGCTCAGGCTCCCCATCATCTGGCTAGCGATGGAGACAAAATACAGATTCCACACAAGGTACAATGGCAATGACTGCTACTTCAGTGATCTGCTCGATCCAAATCAGCTTTTCACCGGTCAGAAACTTTGATGATCGACATATCCTGCACCAGCTATCCTTGTACCGAACGTCAACTGCAGGAGAGTAAGCTGCAGCCCCTCCCAACAGCAACGACCAAATTCCCACAAATGTCAGCATGGACATCACGTCTACGACCATCATTCGGCGGCTCGTCCACATCTTGCTTCGCTTTGATTTGCTTGTGCGTAAGGATTTTTCGGACAAAAGATGGAAGCTCAAACCTTGACTTCCTGATGAGAACCCTCGCTCGGTCAAAAGTCCGTCACCGTTGTTTCCACCATCAAAAATCAAGTCCGACACTTAGACCGCATCTCCCTCTCCAAAAGCCCTCGACTAAGCCAAAGCAAAACCTCAACATCACATCGTGAGCAAGCTATTCGAGATCAGTCGATCGACGATTGCCCACTGACACTCGGCAGCGATGATCTGCTTAAGCTCAGAGAAAAGATGAGATAAGCCCCTACCACTCCCGCGAGGAGGAGCGTCGTCGACTCGACTCAGAGGCGCGCAGGCGCCTTAGCCATGAAGACGAGCCATCGTCAATTTGATTTTAAACAAGAATGGGATCGAAGACATATATATGCCTTGCAGATTGCGCGACGCTGGCTAGCCATGGCAAGCAGCTCTCGTTGTTGCACTTGCTTTGGGTCGGGAAATTGACGCACCAGCAACTTACTCATGGAGCCATGGCTACCGTATCACTACCGTATGCTTTGGACTAGGACTTCAGTGCATGGTTACATACATCGTTCGGGCCCCGGTCTCGAGATGGTCGAGTCTCTATCGATCAATCGCAATACCTTCGTCTCCGGTCGGTTCTATTGACGACGTTGTTGTACGGCGAAAAATCAGCTTCCACCATCGGAAAGTGGCCGACTGGGACTTTACCACGTGGGTGGTTCCATGCACGTGGTAAGTATCTGAACATTTCCAAGTTTCTGGGGTTCCTGTGATAATGGTTTGATTTGATTATAATAGCGAATGTGAGAACTAGACCAAACCTCTCTTTTTCCGAATAGCTGAAAACATGTATGGGAACTTACCTTGAACGATCATTTGTCTTCCAACAAAACGAAGTCTATTTTTTATATAATTGGAGTATGTGGGATTTATAAAGAATGTTTTCATGTAAGGTTAAAATTGTGTTAACTTCAGATGTCTTGATGCCTCATTCTTTCCAAAGTAGTTACTTTGAATTAACCTCGATCACAATCTGGTATATACTTTATCATTCACAGAGATCTAAAAAATTGTACTTAACATAAACGTGTTTTGCTCTCCTGTCCAATTTATGATAAACTATTATATGTAAAGAATTCTGATTTTCACGAAGAATCAACTGAGCATGTGTAGATGTCATCGTTTTGACAAGTAGATAAAATGTTCTGCAATTCATAGCCAAATTCATGAAATAAATGAGTTATGCATTTGTGTGCAGTGATTATTTTCAGCATAGAACAACAGCAAAATTAAACAAATCATAGACAATATATATCTATTAAGATATATTTGAACATCACAATTACACTATATCTTTATATAATCTTATCTGTATTGCCTATATATAGCTATGTTTTATTGATTAAATATTCATCAATTTTGTTTTTTTATAACACCTGTAACATAAAAATATTTTCATTTGATTATAATTTCATAATTTTATTGAAGTTAACTTTAATTTTGTTGTGTTTTCATCCAATCTAACAATTTTCACGACATAAAAATCGAAATTCTAAAAGTTGTGTTTCACAAACGTCATATATCATCTCCTTAGAAAAATTCCTTCTATTTTTATAAATAAAAATAATAATTTTATAAAAAATTACAAAAAATCTTAAATTTCGAAAAAAATTAATTACGTACTTGAATATATGAATATTGAAAATTTCAATAATATTTTATCTTCTTGATTTTTTTTTACTTATTTTGTACATATGTCTAACGTCATCATATGTTGTAATTATAAATTAGCCATTTCTAAGTGTTTTTAAAAAATATGACTGTATCATACTTTATATTGTTGCATATTATTCTAATTCATCAATAAATATTTATATTTTCTTCATTTCATCTTAATTTAACTTGCTCATATTAAAATAATAATAATTCTGTGCAAATTTTTGCTTCTTCAACGATTGATATCAATTTTTTGTAAAGAATCTAAACAATCTTACAAACCTTTGTAATTGAATAAATTTTTTTATTTATCAAATTATTGAAATTTAAAATATAATACCTATATATGATTTTCATTGATTATTTAGCTTAATCTTCTGAATTAGCCTGTGTTGAAAATTTTCAATCTTAATATAAAGTTATTATATAGGTTTAATTTGATTAGGTCTTTTTGTTAGAAAAAGAATTTGAACATCACAAAAATAATTCAACATGTTTATTTTCTAAAGTGATATTAAAAATATCATTATTTATCAATATAAGAGATTTAAATTTTCCCCTTTTTTCATTATCTAGATTTGTTTAAATATTATTTAGCCAGCAATATAGTAAGAAAAGAAAATACAATTTTCTCTGATAATTCAGATCATTCTCATACTCATAAATAATGATTGACATTAATATCTAGCTTATATATCTTTTATTTGAATGTAAATCAGATATGTTTAATAACAAATTTATCAAATGTCATAAAAAAATTATCATGCCATGAATTGCACTGAAAAAATATGAATCATCAAATAATTAATTATGTTGACAAGATATTTCTTAAACACATACAAATACTTGATGAAAATTTAATATTCATTGTTTTCCATCATACATGCATTTTGTCTAATGCTGTTAGTCTCAGGTTCTCAACGAGCCTCCCCATCAATGCCGCTAAGAAATAACAGCTGTCGCGGTCCTACTCTATGTAGACGTTAGACTCGAATGTCTGATCTGAAATATAAGCTAGAGAAGTCTCAAGCACCACGAGAGTTCAAATTCCAACCTCTGGGTACTATCCAAGCTCACAATAGATTCTCGAGCTAATTGACGGTCAGATGAGTCCAGCTGTAACTCTCCGAAAACCTGTCCTGGACTGTGAGGAGATGGAACAAAAGAAAGAGACAAAGACAAAGAGAAAAGAGACAAAGACTCGAATGTCTGCATCTGAAATATAAGCTACAGAAGTCTTAAGCAGCATGACAGCTCAAATTCCAACCTCTGGGTACTATCCAAGGTAGAAATCTGTAGGAGGATACGTTCACAGGTGTCTACCTCACAAGCTAAGTGTTTGATTTTCTTCCGACAAATTTATCCAAAAGAAAGCAATTCACAAAGATGCAATTAAAACGTGGGTCAGATATCCACAAAACGGTAAAGAAAACAGTCCTTCAGATCTGTCAGTTTTAGACGATGATTACAATTCATTGCATTCCTGCCTGATTCGATGACTCGCGAGCGCAAGTCTATGCTTTTCGAGAGGAGAAGCAAAAGCAAGGTCCGTGGTAATTTCAGGGCTCCTAACCGGAACGGACCGCACCCAAGAGGACTGCTCCATGACAGCGGGGATCGGCCCCCGACTGGCAAAGTCCGGTTTCGATAGCATGAGAGCACTCTGCGAATGTGGGCCCACCCGGTTCAACGTGAATATTTTGGAGTACCAAGTCTTGCCACAATGTTTTATGAGACGGCTGTGAAGCTGCTTTCTTTTGTGTCAAGGAGTAACGGCTACAAGTCTTCTCCACATGCTTGGCTGTGCTTGCTACTGTTGTCTCTTCTTACTTGACTTACATGACATGTTGTTTATGGCAAGCTCCGGCGGCTGGGCAGCACTGCCTGCCCAGCCGCCGATCTTTCATCTGATACCAAATCCAAAATTCCAAAATGAGTTTATATACTTGGCAGGAAATATTACTATTATAGCCCAAGAAGTAGGAGATTCACATCATGTCTCTTATATATTGGAGCATCCACGAGCTAGGTTGAGGGTACTCCGAACATTCTCGGCTTGTCCTAGCGTCCGAATTCTGGATCGTTGCCCTTCCTTATGAATTACGTCTCACCTTTTGTGCTGTTGACGTCTGACGGTGAGCGTCAGGAATGGTACCCATAGAACTTAACGACATACAGTTCACTAGACATTTTTAACAGTTTTCCTTCTGCAACGTCAGACCCAAAAATCTTACAGAGATAAATGTGCATATTGCTGTAACGAAGTTAACCAGGGCAGATTGTGAGACGGTGGCTAGCTAAGGCAAGCGGCTCTCTTTGTGGCACTTGCTTTGGATAGGAAAAGTGAACTCATCAACTCAAGGAGCCATGGCTAGCATGTAACTGATGTATGTTAGGCTACGACATCAGAGATTGTGAAATGATGTCGTTCGCAAATTTGGCTGTTCCTTGGTTGTCTATATTGACAAATCGCAATATTTTCGTCGCCGTGCGGTTCGGTTCAGGACGATGCTGTCCTGCTGGGCATCAGCTTTTGTCATCCGTCTTCGTTGTCTCCTGCTTGTTCCCTGTACTACTCCGCTCCCTCCCCATAATGATCGTCGATTGGGGTTCGGTTTCCGTTTCATCTGGGTACGGAACTGTACCATCTATTCCAGTTCCTCACGGCTTGGTTTAGGTGCACCGTCCGGGCGAAAGTAGATTTCTTGGCGGAGAGGGTTAGAGAAGGTGGCGATGGCATTGCGCTACTGGTCTCTTCTGCCGAAGCGGTCAAGGAATCTAGACGTGGCATTAGCAGCGACGGCCGAGGCTTTGCGAGCGCCTCGCCTTAGTTTAGTGGCTCTTGTAACAGTTCTGGCCTGACCGAACGGAAACCTGGCCTGATTGTTGTCTTCCAAGCCACCGCTCCCGTTACTCCCCCTGACCTCCGATTTTAGTATATCTCGGGTCTTGTGTACTCGAGCATCTGTTCATTTCCTACGTTCTTTCTTGAAGGTTTTCCGTGTGCATTAAATTTAATCGCAGACAGAGAGCTGCATGTGCATGAGAATCGCGGGGAGCGAAGCGAACACTACCACACCGACGACGAACTTCAGGTGGTGAGGTTGACGAACTTCAGGTGAGGTCGACGACGAAATTCAGGTCGAAGGTTCTAACTCTGAAATCCAGCACCTAGCTTCATTCATTATCACTGTTCAACACTCTGTAGACGTTGAAGACGACACAAATACTAGTCAACGAGAAGTACAGATTTCAAATTAGATCCTCCTCAGAGGAGAATTCTTTCAGGCCATGCAATGTTCAAGACACCCTTCCACGTGACCAGGTTCAGAACGATTCAGGTCTTCATTTATATTTTCTGGACTGAGGTGCAAAGGAAAACGTAGTACTATTCGAAAGGTTTCAGATTTTCATGTATATTTTCTGGACTGAGGTGCTCTCCGATTTAGACCTTGCCTGACTGATTGCATGACTGCGCATCATGCATGTGAGGCTGTAACTAAACATCGAGGCTGCAGTTTCTCGGTTTACTTGTGTATATACAAGAGAGTTTCCTGGCCTGGCATCAATGGCCTTCTTCCTGTCCTTTGCCACCATATTTCCTATGGCAAACTGCGAAATACAATATCGTACAAGAATGAATTGATGGTTTTTACCAGTTTGTACGTGGTTCGGTAAGTACTTTGATGAAGGCAAGGCTTACTGGTTTAGAAGTTCTGTCCTTTGCGACATGATTTCCCATGGCAAACTGCGAAATATAGTATCGTGTACTCATGAATTTCTGGTCTCTAGCAGACTGAACGTGGTTCATAAGGCAGTAAGCAGTTTAATGAACTTGAAGGCAATGATCACTGGGCTAAAAGATTAGTTGTTTGGTGCGTGATCGTATATTCTCTGGAGGGTTTAGATTACAAATCAATCTGGGAAAAATTAAAGTCAGCTACTTCCACCCGGGCGTGGCCTGGGCTGGGCTGTTTGGAAGAACGTGGTACCGAATGGCTTCACATCAGGGACTGTTGTGAAATGTGGTTCCGCAACCGGACTCGAACCCAGTATTTTGCCACCCCGAGCTACTGAGCTAGAATCGCATTTGCGCGGCCACTTCAGGCCACATTACTGAGGCCTCGGGACTCGGGCTGCCTATAACCTGCTTGTCAAGGGCGGTCTCATGATCTCATCCCCGCTCCGGCCCGGGAACAAATGCCAAGAATCGTGATCGATCCCTCCAGCTGGAGGTTCGATGGAAAGAGATCCACCAGTCACTTGCATAGACCTTCGATACTAGCACCTCCACTAGTAACTGAACACTGAGGCTTTACTTGTACTTCTGTATACAGGAGAGTTTACATTTCACCAACGAAGCTGAATTCGCAAGAGTTCAGACACCGACGTTCGAAAGTTTTGATTAAAATTTGAGGTACTTTAGACCTTGCTTGACTGATTGCATTGCTGGACTGATTGCACGATTCTGAAGCTGTAACTGAACTTTCTCGGTTTCCTTGTGTATATACAAGAGAGTTTCTAAGTAAGTAACTGAACACTTCACTTGTACTCGTGTAAACAGGATAGTTTACATTTCACCAATTTCATCAACGAAGCTGAATTCGCAAGAGTTCGGACTCCGACGTTCGAAGGTTTTGATTTAAATATCAGGTACTTTAGACCTTGCTCGACTGATTGCACGACTCTGAGGCTGTAACTGAACTTTCTCGGTTTCCTTGTGTATATACAAGAGAGTTTCCAAGTAAGTAACTGAACACTGAACACTTTACTTGTACTTGTGTATACAGGATAGTTAACATTTCACCAATTTCACCAACCAAGCTGAATTTGCAGAGTTCAGACACCGATGTTTGACACCGACAGGATTTGTTTGAAATTTCAGGTAAATGGACGTGGTTGAGATCTCGGAGGCAGCGGACGATATCAAGGAATTGGACGATGATCTGAAACCTGCGAGGACAGACGATATCAAGGAATTGGACGATGATCTGAAACCTGCGAGGACAGGAAACGTGTTCAACGCCACGGCCCATGTAGTAACGGCAGTGATAGGGTCTGGAGTTTTGGGTTTGCCTTGGAGTATTGCGCAGTTGGGATGGGTGGCAGGTGTTATCATGTTGGTGTTCTTTGCATTGGCGACATTGTATACTTCGGCGCTCTTGGCAGATTGTTATAGAGATCCCGTGACGGGAAAGAGAAGTTATACGTACATGGATGCGGTGAATTGTCATCTGGGAAAAAAACAGGTTTACTTGTGTGCTATAGCCCAGTACCTGAATCTTCTATGTACGTCTATAGGCTATACTATCACTACTGCAACGAGTATGGTTGCAGTCAAGAGAGCATTATGCTTCCATACAAATGGTCACGACGCTCATTGCCACGTTTCCAACATTCCATGGATGATAGTGTTTGGTGGGATTCAGATATTTCTGTCACAGTTGCCAGATTTCAGTCATCTGAAGTTTGTATCAATTGTGGCTGCTATTATGTCTGCGATATACTCCTTTATTGGAGTGGGGCTCAGCATTGCCAGAATGGCAATTAGAAATGTTTCGGGTCCGGTATGGGGTACTCAACTTTCTCCTGCTGCGAAGACGTGGTCCGTGTTTCAGGCTCTAGGCAATATAGCGTTTGCGTATTCCTTCAGTATGGTGCTGATCGAAATCCAAGACACTCTCAGAGGTACACCTAAATATGCACCGGAGACTGTGACGATGAAAAAAGGGACGAAATGGGGGATAGGCATCACAACGGCGTTTTACACTTCAGTTGGTTGCCTCGGCTTTGCAGCATTTGGACAGCATGCTCCTGGTAATATTTTAACAGGGTTTGGTTTCTACAACCCATACTGGATCTTGGCCATAGGAAATATTTGTGTGGTAATACATCTCATTGGTGCATATCAGGTTTATGTACAGCCAATTTTTGCTGCTAGCGAAAGAGCTCTCCGCATCAACTGGGCTGGAATGAAGCTAATTTGGTTCCGCTTGATATTTAGAACCTTATTTGTTATAGCCGTCACTTTTGTTGCTAGCGCCTTGCCATTCTTCAACGATATCAATGGTTTTATCGGAGCAATTTCGTTTTTTCCTCTCACTGTGTATTTCCCCACTGCAATGTATATAAAATCAAAAGGCAAGTCACTAACCTGTACTAGAGAGGTAATCATTATATGGGTTTTGAGAATCATATCTGGGTTGATAACACTAGTTGCTATGATAGGTTCTGTAGAGGGCATCCAAAGTTCTGTGAAGGGTACAAAACTTTTTCATACCAAGAATTAGCTGGGTAGAGAGCTGTGACTCTTTGCATACAGGATGCAAAGATTGTATAGTTATTTTCTGTTAAAGGTTATTGACCTTTTTAAAGGTCAAATAAACTTTACTTATGTCAAACATATTCTACTTACCAGTAAACACGAGACTTTGGGTGAATGATCTTGCAAAAATTCATGTTTCTGTTCAATTATTAGTTAAGAAAATGGCTTCTTAGTCCTCCAGGGCGGTTCTGTATTCAAAATCATATTCCATCTTGCAGTAGTTCAGAGTCACCCGAGCTGTTTTCGCATACTTTACTTACCAGTGAAGGAGTGCAGGAGACTGAATTTCTTCTAATTAGAGAGGTTTCAGATGGTTGTCGAAGTCAGGTTTCAGTTCGTGGTTGAAGTCGTTGACATCGTTAGAATTCATCTATCTCTCGTTGAAGTCTTTCACATATAATCACTAATCCCATCATAATCGATTACTCTTACACTAGACTTGTGCTATATTGAGCTAAAGCTACGAAAACTAAATTTGAATTTCCCTTAGAGAGCATATAGGCTTGGCTAGAATTTTCGGTAAGATATACTGGCTCTAATAAAAGATTACAACACTACATGAGTGGAATATTAATGGATTGTGATGAGTGAGTACTGGATGAGCGCGAACATCTAAACGACTTCGAAACCTGCCAGGATAGGTACGTGTTCAACATCATTGCAAATGTTTTATAAGTAGTAACGGTTGGCTTTGGCTTTACCGTTTAGTATAACGCAGTTGGGATGGATCGGAGGCATTATTATGCTCATTATCTCTTGCATGGGAGATATTTTGTACATCTGTCTGTCTAGATTGGATTTTATCCAGAGATATGTTTTACAGAGGATGTTTCGTAGGTTCTATTCAAATTACTGTAGCTATGAATTGCGAGCGTACCCGGGTTTTCAAGAATTTGCACTGGTACACCAAGAGCCAGATGTAGGATTGGATTGATTTGTAGGTTATCACCACATAGCTGTACTCTAGAATCGCTCTGAAGTTTGTATTTGATCTGGATTTCATGGAGAGATCTAACCTTGGACTTGAAGTCGAGAAGATTCCCATACTTCAAGATGTGCCTGCAATACAAGCATCTCAAAGCGTCGATATAAATCAGCTGAAAGAAGTTTAGATCACTCATCATATCATCTCAGTTTAAGTTTGATAACACACTGTTCTTTACAAGATTCTTAACAGAATAGTTTTGGAAAATGTGAGTGATACGTTAAACAATTCTAGATTATTATCTAAGATATGAAAAACATTGTATTAATTTTATTATACAATTAATACAATATCTTTCATATTTTATGATATCTTGTATTGAGTATATTAATATAGTTATATATATATTATTTTATTTCTTTATTTTTTTGCAATAAATCTTTTGACATTGTTTGAATTGAATAGGAACCGAGTTTATGATTTCTTTTATTTTAAAAAAAATTATGCGTGATTTATTTTTTCATATTTAAATATAAAATATATCATGGATTTTGTATTCAATAGACGATGTATCCGAACAAATAAGTGGCTTGTAAAACTTTAGATTAAAGAATCATGTAACCTATAATTTTTTTTTCATGGAAATGTTCTTGTCAATCAACCCATATTATTGAAAGAGCGAGGATTTCTAAGGTTTAAGTATTAATTTGGTCAAATTTACTCTCACAAAAATTATAAAAGTGAAAAGTTATCATTATGATTTGTACTATATGACAAAAAAAAAGCTTTGGTAGCAATCAAGCACATTTTTTATTTTAAAAAATCTGCTAAATTTGAAGAACAAGATTTTGTTGATATTGTTGATTTATCAACCAGAATTATTTACTAAGAGATCATCAAATGAGATAAATAGAGCTCTTGCAAAATTATTTTATTTCTCAATGTCTAAAAAACATGACGTTTGAGATCGAAAATGATGATAAAATTTTTTTGATTTTGAATTCATAATCTTCCTTATATAGAAAAGAGTAGAAATCTATGAATAAATTTTGTAAATTTGTTATGGATTGTGAGAATGAAACTGCCAATTGATAACATGATTTTGAAGATAGTAGATATATCAAAAAAACAAACTATGATGAATAGTATGTAGGTGTATATGCTAAATTATATATAATAGATAACAAGAAATGAATTTTTCCAATCAAGTTGATGAGTAGGGCTTTCAAACAAGAAAAAATATTTGTTAATTAAGTAAAATGCTCTCATCAATAGCAAAGTATGATGCAAGACTATCATGTGCACTTAAAACAGTATTTAATCTAGTTATAAATTTTTTGTATGAATCTTTTAAGGAAGAATTCTACATGATATAACATTTTGAAAGAAACATCAAGATAAAGTGGTCAGTAAAGTGTTAAAATTTTCATATGGCTGAAGCAAATTTTTTATATATATAATACAAGGTTTGATGAATTCATGAAAACACAAGAATGTTCTATATGTATAGTTAGGAAAGATGAATAATGGCATGTTTTATTTTATTAACCTACTATATTATGTGGATGACATATTCATTTTGCCGCTTTATCATTCAACAATCATGTGCATGAATCAACTGAAAATTTGATTTAAGATAAAAAAATTAAAAAAATTAAAAATTTATTGAGTATATATGTTCATAAAAAATGAGAGGGTAAAAACATGATAAATCAAGTTTAAAAACTTTAAATGTGTGCATGATAAGTTTAAACTGACATATTTCAAATAAATTTGGATTGCTTTGACATTTCATTTAAAACTTTATGCAAGTCAATATCTAATCTATGTATTTTTTAAAAATACTATGACAAGATAGTGAATAGACTCATGTCTTTGAGGATAGAATCTAAATTTGATGTTACTCTAGCTACATGTCAAATTCAAAAAAAAAATCATGAAATAATTGTGAATAGCATTTTTTGAACACTTTATTAATTTTAGGTTTAAAATGAAATAAGTCAAAATTTCAAAAAGAATTTGAATTTCAAAGGTTTAATTGATAAGCTACTAATTTTTTTTTAAAAAAAAATTTTAATGAGACTATTTGATATAAAATTCGGATCTCTATTACTAGTAGTTATCATAAATATGGTAATGAGTATATTCATATTGTTGTATGATACAATCAGAATAGATGCAAAAATTTTCAATGTATAATTGAAACATATGTTTTTTAAAGCATATAAAGATAAATAAAAAATATAATATGGAATTAGCCTTTGTATAGTATAAATAACTTTGTAAATTTTGAATGATGAATTTTGAGCAATTCAAAGCAACATTAAGTAATCAAAAGAAGACAAAAACATTATAGATTAGCAATTTCAAGTTATTGTTGTAGTATAATATGTATGAATTTACAAAAATGTGTAAATATATTTCATCTTTTGTAAGTTTTATTTTTTTAGATTACTTTAAATTTTGAAAATGATCAAAATTAATTTCTCACGCAACATTTTTTAAATAAAAACTAAAAAATTTGAATTGATGTTGAAAAGATAAATTATAAAATATTCTTAATTAATTATGGTAAAAATTTAATATTTAAATTTTTTAATTATATTTTAAAAGATAAAATTTTGTGATTCAGTAAAAATTATATCAGTTCGTAAAATTTTTAAATCCAAAAACATGCATATATGATGTGTAAAAAAATAAATATTTTATTTCATCAAGTAATTGTATGTGTTTTAGAAGGATCTTGTCAACATAATAAATAATTTTATGATTTCCTATGATTATTATATAAATAATCATAGAAAGTTAGAAGTTTTCTTTTTGTACTATACTGCTGACTAAATATTTTTTAAACAACTCTAGAGAATAAAAAATAAAAAGGAATAAAATTAAACATCTTATATTGATAAATAATAATTTTTTCATATCATTGTAAAAAAAGATCACGCTAAATTTTGTGATTTTGATGTTCAATTTTTTTTTTACAAAATAACTAATCAACTGAAAAATATGTAATAATTTTATATTAAAATTGAAAAATTTCAACATAAGCTTATTCAGAAGATTAAGCTAGATAATCAATGAAATTCATATCTTTGTATTATATTTTGAATTTCAATAATTTTATCATTAGAAAAATTCAATCCAATTAGAAAAGTTTTGTAAGATTGTTTGGATTATAAAAAAAATATGATTTTAGTCCTTGAAGAAGCCAAAATTTGCACACAAATTATTTTTGTTTAATATGAATAAGTTAAATTAAGAATAATATGACAAAAATATAACTATTGATCAAATAGAATAATATGCTGTATGATACAATCATGAACTGAAAAAAAAAACTTAGAAATTGCTAATTTTTTAATAACAACATATGATGACATTTAACATATTTACAAAAAAATAAATTAAAAATTTCAAGAAAAATGATATAATTATATATTTCAATATTCATCTAAAAGGTATGTGTCTTAAAAATTATTAATTTTAAATAAAACTTAAACTTGTTTTCAACATTTATGACATTTGTTATTTGTAAGAAAATTTTAATTTTAATTATTTTTATGTATACAAATAGATGGAATAATTTTGAAAAAATGATATATGAAATTTTTGAAACAAAACTATAAAAATTTTGATTTTCATGTAGTTAAAATTGTTGTATAGATTGAATCAAATCACAAGAAATGTAAAATATGGCTCAATAAAATCATGAAATTATAATCAAAGGCAAATAATTTTGATGTTAAAGGTGTTATTAAAAAAATTGATGCATATTTCATCAGTAAAACATGGCAATGAATGTGGTTAATCCAGATAAAATTATATAAGGATATAGTGTAATTGTGATTTTGAAATATCTGGAGAGTATCCAAGAGAGATTTTCGGAGAGTTACGGCTGGACTCATCTGACCGTCAATGAGCTCGAAAATCTATTGTGAGCTTGGATAGTACCCAGAGGTTGGAATTTGAGCTGTGGTGCTGCTTGAGGCTTCTCTAGGTTACATTTCAGATTCAGACATTCGAGTATAACGTTTGAGACAGCGACAGCTGTTATTTCTTAGCGGCATTGATGGGAAGTCTCGTTGAGAACCTTAGACTAATAGCAGTGGACAAAATGCATGTATGATGTGTAAAACAATGAATCTTAAACTTTGATAAAGTAATTGTGTGTGTTTAAGAAAGGTCTTGTCAACATAATTAATTTTTTGATGATTCATATTTTTTCAGAGCAATTCATGGCATGATAAGTTTTTTATGACATTTGATAAGTTTTTTATTGAACATATCTGATTTACATTCAAATAAAAGATATATAAGCTAGATATTAATGTCAATCATCATAAATGAATATGATAATGATCTGAATAATCAGAGAAAATTGTATTTATTTTTTGTACTATATTGCTAGCTAAATAATTTTTAAACAACTCTAAATACTGAAAAATGGAAAAATTTAAATTTCTTATATTGATAAATAATGATATTTTTAATATCATTTTACAAAATAATCATGTTAAATTATTTTTTTGATGTTCAAATTCTTTTTTTATTATAAAAAAGACCTGATCAACTTAAAAATATATAATATCTTGATATTAAGATTGAAAAATTTCAACACATGCTAATTCAGAAGATTAAGCTAGATAATCAATGACAATCATATATAAGGATTATATTTTGAATTTCAATAATTTGATCAATTAAAAAAAATATTCAATTACAAAGTTTTATAAGATTGTTTAGATTCTAAAAAAACTATGATATAAATCTTTGAAGAAGTAAAAATTTGCACAGAAATATATTTTTTTTAATATGAGGAAGTTAAATTAAGATGAAAAGAAGAAAATATAAATGTTTATTGATGTATTAGAATAATATGCAACCATATAAAGTATGATACAGTCATAATCTAAAAAAGAAACTAAGAAATGGCTAATTTTTTAATTACAACATATGATGACGTTAAATAAATGTACATAATAAGTAAAAAAACATCGAGAAGATATACTATAATCCAATCTTCATATCTTTTAATACCTATTGAATTTTTTTTTCGAAATTTATGATTTTTTTATAAAAATAGATGGAATTATTTGAAGGAGATGATATATGACATTTTTGAAAAAAAAAATTAAAATTTTGATTTTCATGTCGTGAAAATTGTTAGATTGAATGAAAAAATAACAAAAATTAAGTTCAACAAAATTATGAAATTATAACCAAAAGCAGATAGTTTTATGTTAGAGATGTTAAAAAAATTAAAATTGATGAATATTTAATCAATAAAATATAGCTATATATCGGCAATACAGATAAGATTATATAAAGATATAGTGTAATTGTGATGTTCAAATATCTTAATAGATATATATTGTCTTTGAGTTTGTTTGATTTTGCTCTTGTTCTATGCTGAAAATAATCACTGTACACAAATGCATAACTCATTTCTTTCATGAAATTTGGGTATGAAGTGCAAAACATCCTATCTACCTGTCACAACGATTACATTTACACATGCTGAGTTGATTCTTCGTGAAAATCAGAATTCTTTACATATAATAGTTGATCATAAATTGGACAGGAGAGCAAAACACGTTTTTGTTAAGTACAATTTTCTAAGATCCCTGTGAATGATAAAGTATATACCAGATTGTGATCGAGGTTAACTCAAAGTAACTACTTTGGAAAGAATACTAAAGTATACTCCTATTATATAAATAAATAGACTTCGATTTGTTGGAAGACAAATGGTCGTTCAAGGTAAGTTCCCATGAATGTTTTCAGCTATTCGAAAAAGAGAGTTTTGGTCTAGTTCTCACATTCGCTATCATAATCAAATCAAACCATTCTCACAAGAACCCAAGAAACTTGCAAAGTTTAAGATACTTACCACGTGCATGGAAGCGCCCACGTGGTAAAGTCCCCAGTCGGCCACTTTCTGATGGTGAAAGCTGTTTTTCCGCAGTACAACAACGTCCTGAACAGAACCGACCGGAGACGGAGGTATTGCTATTGATCGATAGAGACTCACCCATATCCCGGGGCCGAACGATTTCATTTATCGTGACTGTAAGCATGCACTGACGTCGTAGCCCAAAGCATATGGTATTGATACGGTAGCCATGGCTCCATGAGTAAGTTGCTGGTGCGTCAATTTCCCCACCCAAAGCAAGTGCAACAACGAGAGTTGCTTGCCATGGCTAGCCAGCGTCGCGCAATCTGCGGGGCATAAATTTGTCCTCGATCCCATTCTTGTTAAAAATCAAATCGACAATGGCTCGTGTTCATGGCTAGGGCGCCTGCGCGCCTCTGAGTCGAGTCGACCACGCTCCTCCTCGCGGGAGTGGTAGGGGCTTATCTCATCTTTCCTGTGAGCTTAAGCAGATCATTGCTGCTGAGTGTCAGTGGGCAATCGTCGATCGACTGATCTCGAACAGCTTGCTCACGATGTCATGTTGAGGTTTTGCTTCGGCCTTGTCGAGGGCTTTTGGAGAGAGAGATGCGGTCTAAGTGTCGACTTGCTTTTTGATGATGGGAACAACGGTGACGGACTTTTGACCGAGAGAGGGTTCTCATCAGGAAGTCAAGCTTTGAGCTTCCATCTTCTGTCCGAAAACCCTTACGCAAAGCAAATCAAAGCGAAGCAAGATGTGGACGAGCCGGCGAATGATGGTCGTAGACGTGATGTCCATGCTGACATCTGTGGGAATTTGGTCGTTGCTGTTGGGACGGGCTGCAGCTTACTCTCCTGCAGATAACGTTCGGTATAAGGATGGCTGGTGCAGGATAAGTCTATCATCAAAGTTTCTGGACTGACCGGTGAAAAGCTGATTTGGATCTAGCAGATCACTGAAGTTAGTAGCAGTAATTGCCATTGTACCTTGTGTGGAATCTGTATTTTGTCTGCATCGCTAGCCACTGGGAATCCGTGGCAGAAAAGGTGGAATGGAGGAGGCGGCAACTGTTGGCTTTTGTATGGGAGGGGGTAGTCTAGTTCGTCTCATGATACGTGAATGCATGCTGTGGATGAAGGTATTCCACGAGCCATTCTTCTTTGTTCCCGATCTCGTCCCCTCCACTTGTCAAGCTTGTAACATGGACAAATGTCGAGCATGAGGTTAGAGCCTCATCCTCTAAATAGATGGGGAGCCTAAGCAGGATTAGCTTAAGCAGGGCTCTCCACGTTCAATCATTCGAGTTAGGCGTTATTTTGGCCTTAACAACGCCCCTGATTAAGTCACTAATTGCGGGATAAAGAGAGGCATTCTCCTGAGCGCCTCAGCATAGTCGGGCATTTAAAAAGGGCGGAGTGAATCCCACATATTCAGTATAGTGCATTTCGTCATCCAGCTACGTCGAGCTGCTCACAGAGATCTTCATATCTTCCGCACATTGTCGAATAGAGTTCACGAGAATTCTTCGGTGAGACTTCTTTCTTTAGTGCTTGCAAACATGGCAGCTTGCACCGCAGCTTTTGCCACCGCTGGGATCGCTGCTTCGGCCACAGTCAGAGACGCGTCTGCACTCTCTTCTAGCCAAGCTTTCGGCACCTCTTTGGTGCAGCTTGCTCCCGTTGGACCTGCAGTAAGTCAGAGCAACCGATTGGTTGCCACGAGGGCCGCTCTGTCCGAGGTATGAGAACCGTCCCGTATATTTACATTTCGTCGACTGGATCTGTGATTATCCACTGACTGATACTCTGCTGAAACTGCCGATCAGACTTCCCATTAGTACTTCACTTTTTGATGTTTTGGGGAATTTAGACTGTGCTACACATGATATTTAGAGTACAGTCTATGATGAAAATGAGTGCACCCAGTGGAATGTGCCAGCTCTGAACAGGAATGTGATATGTGAATATTCAGGAACAAAGGACCGGTGGAAAGAAGGTATTGGCAAGTTTCCTGGCAACCGGTGCTGCCTTGAGCATTGCCGGAGCTGCCCTCGCAGGCAATCCTGTTGACTTCGCCAAAAGCAAGGTCGAAGAGGCTGCTTCTACTGCGCAGAGCGCTGCTTCGAACCTCCCAAACCTTCCCAACATTCAGCTCCCTAACGCTGGAGCCGTTCAGGATGCAAAGAACTCCGCCGACAGTTTCGTCAATGAGACGAAGAGCCGAATAGATGGAATTTTTGGAAAAAATAAGGTAGTCACAAAAGGATATGTTTCTAAGCAAAACTTTCCCTTCAGCCCTCAAGGAAGCGTGTACACCGTTTACCACAGTTGAGTAGGTACTTTGCACTTGAAACTGTTATTGAAATGGAGCTCTGAGCAAAATGGATGAGCTTCAGTCGTTTCAGATTACAGTCTTCTGTACTAATATTTGGACCTATGTTCGTTGGAATGTAGCCTTTCCCACAGAATCGTGTAGCCAGTACCAATGGTGGAACAGGTAATGTCCTCGGTGACGCAAAGAAGAGAATTGCCAACTTTGGCAAAAACCCAATTGCTGACAACGTGACGAAAGCCACCAACGATGCTAAGAACTCGATTGCCCAGAGCACCGGAGAGAACTCTGGCAGTGCACGTGCGGGGAGAGAGCTTCTAGGACAGGACTCGACCAGAGTGGATGAGGCGACGAGGAAGGTTAAGAACTTAGGTAACAGCTTCAAGAGCAAGGCAGGAGATGCTGTCAATGAGGCCAAGAGCTTCGTTGGCTCTGCTCAAAACGCTACTCCTGATATCTCAGTACCTAAGCTTCCCGAGATTCCTAGCATCCCAAACCCCCTCAACAACCTTAACGTCAACAAGGGAGCTGAGGTAATGCTCAGCTATCCAGCAACTTCCTTACAACTATCAATTTCGATCGTGCTGTAGGTTGTCTAACCATAAAAGTTCCTGATGTTACATGAATTTGTAAACACGTAAGCGTGTCAGTTTCGTTTTGCTAATCTGCTTTTGGGAAACTTTCAGGATCTGAAAGGAAAGGCTGAGGATGTGAAGAACAGCGTGGCTTCAAACCTTCCCAATACTCCAGACCTACCTTCCCTCCCCAACCCATTGGAGGCTATTAACGGCTCGCAGGTATATCATGTTCCAGATCCATATCAATAGTTTCCTACGATTGAATGTATCCTTTGATAGAGTTTATGCAGACGGTACATTTTTTTGCCACAAACAGATACGAAGATTTCAGAGGATTGTTTGGACATTTTTCTAACAAGTGTCACGGCACTTGGAATGATTTACAGGATCTTAAGGGAAAAGCTGAGAATGCGAAGGGAAACCTGGCTTCCAAAGCTGCCAACGCTAAGGGAGCTGTTGCCTCAAAGGCCGCCGGTTTGAAAAGAAACTTCTCGAAGAAGGTGTCAGAGATTACTCAGTGAACTGTATAGACTAGTCATACAAATCTTGTACATGAACCTTCGTGCAGCCATAGCCTTTAAAGTAACTTTGTTACGATGTGCTGCTGCCTTGACTTCGTAGCAAGCGCAGCTGTTTTGATCTTTAGAGAGCTTTGGCAGAGTTGTACAAATAGTGACATCGGCAAGTTGCGAAAAACATAACATCGATCATAGTCGATAATCTGTCAGTGTACAGTAAAAACTGGAAAGAAAGAATGTCCATCCTATTCAAGTAACTGTTGTAGTGAACTTTGAACATGTGTAACAATTTTTGTATCGTGGAAAGTGTATATTGTGATATATGTTCATGTTAAATAACAAGACTATTTACTATAATGAAATGTATTATATCCCTATTTGCACTATCTGTTAAATACTGCCGCTGTTCCGCTAAACATTAACATACATAATAAATAGACAAAACATTATACTCTAAACTTATAAAATATATACTTATCATATTAATTTTGAAAAACATGGCAGTCCTCAGAACATTGATTTATTCTGATAATAAACCAGCAAAATATATACATCACAATCCACCTTCTCTTCAAAATTTCACAATAAACCACCTTAATTATCTGAAATAAAAATTAATCGTAAAAAAACATACTATTTAAAAAAGAAATAAAATGTGCGCACCATATCAAAATCTATTAAAACAATTAAAGCACCGGGTCAGAACATTAAGTGAACAGTACGAACGGTAGACAACATGTCACGAAACAAAAATCCAGATCAGTTGAGCTCAACGCTATCTTTTTACTGGTCAGATAAATGTGTATGTTCACAGGAGGAAGTACAGGGTAAAGTGATGAAATCCTTATACAACAGTGACTTTTGATAAACCCTGAACTGCTGTCTTTTTACTGCTCAGTTACATGTGTATGTTCACAGGAGGAAATACGGCGTAAAGTGATGAAATCCTTACACAACAGTGACTTTTGATAAACCTTGAACTGCAACGATCCAGAGTACATGTACTTTTCGACCTGCACCTTTGACACAGCAGATTCTGTCGTGTAAACGATTGGTTTTCGTTTTCTATGTAAGCCATTCATGTACGTCCGGCAAAGGAAAAGTGGCCGCTTCACAAACTTGAAATGTGAGGGAGTCTTCCCATGATGAACTCGAAAGTATCACAGGCTATTTTCACAAACCGACCATCTCCTCACGTACGGAAAGACAGCTCAAGAGGAGATTCTACGCTCGGCCTTCATGAGGAGACCAACTTTATGCAACTTTCATGCCAACGTTCACATGTAAGTAGGACAGACCGTAGACCAAGTACGACCTTATGCGTACAAAAACAGCTGAAGCAAAACCTTGTGAACCTTGTGACAGTGAACGTCGCAGGAAAAGTGGGTTAATGGTCTGATCGTATTGTTATCATGATACACCCGCTCCCAGACTCCCATCAATCTCAAGGACTTTGGGTTGGTCTTTGGATCCTGAGCGGAACCTACGGTAGACTAGGTTTAACATTCACGGAGGTCGAATTCAGGTGATTAAAATATACTCTTCACTGTTCGGTCTAAGTAAAATATGCGAGGATCTTTGGTGGTTATCTACAACATCCCTAACTTTCTCGTGAGATTCGGCAGACTTCTGGAAGTGTTTGACTAGATCTTGCAGCTCTAATTTTCTCGATGCCAACTGCTCTTCAGTTGGAAGTTTCTTGAAACCTAGATAAATCATACCAACAGCTATAAGAACTGCACCAAAAATGAAGAAGACTAAACTGAAGAACAGAAAAGCTCGATCGTTCGTCGATCCAGGTATGCCGCCCACATTGATCCCAAAAAGACCGGCAATGATCGAGAGGAGAAGCCCGGGGCCTCCGATGACCGCCAGATTGTGCTGAATTCGCACACTCTTGTCCTGCAGGGATGCTCTGACTGTGGCCTGCATCACATCCTGCACCGTGAAAAGCCGATCGCGCACAGCTTCCTGCTCTCCCAACATCGCCCTCGTACTCTTCCGAATAGACTCCAAAATCGATTGCGTGTTCTTTCCTCGCAAATGCGCCATAAGTTCGTACATAATTTCCTCCCTCGCATGAAGAGACCACTTCACTCTAATCACCTGCGACGACAGTCTGCGAATTTCCTGATTCAGAATCATGCTCAGGATCGCTAGGTCTTCACCGTCCCGCCGGCTGACGAACTTGAGCTCGACCTCGTCGGCCTCGCCGAAGTAATGCTTCCGGAACAACCGGTCGTCCCAGCGAGCGAGCCGGTCGGCCAGAAGAGCGATGACCTCGTGGGCAGTTTTGGGCGCCTTCATGCCGCCGGCGCCCACGATGTCCTGAACCTCGGAAATTCCGATCACATTGAGCGAGGGCACTTCGCCCTTGACGTGCATAGCCGAGAGGAGGAAGTTCTGCGAGGCCCAGGACCGCAGGACGATGGGCACATCTTCCTCGTTGCGGTGAGGGTCGCCGACCGACTGCCCCAGGAGCTCGAACAGGATTCCGCCGGCCACGCGCACCGGGACCTCGTAGTACAAGTGCTTCATCCGGTCGCTGATGAGCCGGCTCTCGTCGCGCAGCGCCGTGCTGATGGCCGGGTGCAGCCACTGCGCGTGGCTCAACCACGAGACGATGCTCGAGTGCCGAGGATCCACATGACACCACCACGTCGGCCCGGCCGGCGACTGCCAGTAGGGGGCGGCCTGGTCCGCCACGCTCAGGAAGTCGCCGTTCTCCGACGCCGCGTCGTCCATCATCTCCTCGAGCCGGCCCGTCAGAATGTTGGCCTGCACAATCTGCACCAGCTCGCCCAGCCTCTCCCACCCGATCGGAACCCACTGGTTGTGCTCCTTCTTCCGAGGCCCGTCGTCCGCGTCCTCGCCGGGACCGGGCGGCGCATTCTCCACGCTCCCCTGCGCGCCCCGCTGCTCGTCCCGCGACTCCACTCCAGCTCCCGCCGCCTTGCCGGGCTCCGGAGGTGATCCTTTCGACAGCTCCGCGCCCTCGGCCACTCTCGGGTCGCGCAACGTGATCTCCGCGTTGAAATTGCCCTTCATGGGCCCGCTCTTCTGGCCGAATTTCCCACCCACTTTGATTTTGTTCTTCGGTGCCGGGATGAATTCGTACGCCAGAATGAGCCCGTCGACCCAGAGCTCATGGCCGCACACGGCCCCGGGCTTGGTCGTGTGGCTTTTCGGTATATCGGGACTGCTCATCGACTTCGGTATGTTCGGGTACGCCCTCTTCATCTTCTCCTTCAGCGCCTCGGACAGCATTGCTCGAATCCGGGAAGGTAGACCGCGCAGGGGTGACGGGCATCCCGCCTATGGCCCGCGACTAATGCGACCCTGCAATCGGATGACCACTCTCAACGATCGCGCCATGGCCCCGACTTTCGATCGGTACAATGTCCCTCCGCTGCCTAAATTTCCTGTCTCGACATTTCTCCAGAGCGACTCCGCGCCTCGAGGGAGCTCTCACTCACTCGCTCTGCAAGAGTCCTCCGATGGACTTTCGACCGCGGGTCACCGTGCGCTTATTTTAGCGAACTGTGGGTCCTCACTCGGTTGTTGTGACGAGGTCGATCCCTTCGGCCCACTCCATCTCCATCATCCATTCTGGTTCCGAATTCCATGCTGCGAAGATGCCTTGTACCCTAATTCTGTGCGTACGGTGTAGCTGCCGATGTGGTTCATTGAATGCAGAGGCGGGGTACGCTGTTATCTAGTATACTGCACAGTTCCTGCCTTTTCCAATGGACCCGACCGGTCTCGCCTCCATCTTCGAGCAGCGGGGCGGTCGACCCGTCGGGCTCGCCTAAACGCGGTGAGATTCATGACAGAATGCGAGAGGAACAGAGCAACCGAGCAGTGCAGCTGTCACGAAGCATCTGGGACTCGTTACGAAGATGTTCCCATAGATTCATAAGGAGGAATGGTTTGGAGCGTGAGTGCGAGAGAAGCGTCAGTGCGTGCGTGCGTGCGTGCGACCACAGTCATCATCCCGACTGCCCAACTGTAACGGAGTAGAGGAAATGTTGTACTCGGCGAACGACGTAAGGGGACCCGAGCAGTGCTCTCTGCAGAGGGCCTGCATCTCCAGTACCACCCGTGCCCCATCTTCCCCTGAGCGTAATCTGCCTGCCACTTGGCAGCTCTTCGCTCTGCCGAGTGGCAGGTTGAAGGCACTGCTCCCTTCTCATACCATGAGCAAACGGAGCCTCAGTTGTTAATAAGGTTTGCCAGCAGAAAACGAGACGAATGGAAAGTACACGGCGGTCGACGAAAATGTAGGAAACGCAAAGGCCAAACACTATCCCAACCCAGGGGGCCGAAGGAAAAGAAGGGAGCAGATCTCTCTGCTGATAAGCAGAGAGATCTGATATATAGCAGGAGTAGATTCAGAGAGGCCTATTGGTTTAGGCGACCTTCGAAGATGAGCGTCGTTTAGAGCATAAGCGCAGAGTGCTTGTTTGTCGAGTGCTTTCTGTGATTGAGAATCAGTCTTTATAATTCGTTGGTCGGCCGTGTGGCTGCAGCTCTTTCCACGAGGATAGAGAGTCAATAAGACGGTGCCAGGCACAGATTATATTTTCATGGATATTGAAGATGGATGATGCCCACGACGATTGGTTTGTATCCATGTAGTGGGACGAAGTTTCGGGGGCTTCGAGAAGAATGAATGAAGAGCTTATGGGGAAACGATGGAAGACGGGGCAGACCCATTTGGAGTTATAATAAGAGATGGTGATTATATCACGATTGGTTAGGGCAAGGCCTAATCATAATTAGAGAAGTTGCACACTCCCGTCCTTTCTGGATGCTCCGTTTACGAACCTTCAAAATGTGGAGGAAGTCCAACACGTTCTGACCGTCTCAGATCTTCTGCCTCCGCTGACCTGGTTATAGAAACGCTTAAAGCGAATTACAATGGTCAGAAGCCCTTAAGTCACTGTGACTGTGAACCGTTCCTGCAAATGCACATTGTAGCTTCAATACAGTTGTAGTTTAATTCACTCTGCGCGTTCGTTCTTGTCTCGGCAACTTTTCGAGGTCACCTCTCTGCAGTCGTGCGACGTTCTGGTGACTCGTGCAAATTGAAGGCGCCAGACACCTAGGCAAGATAGAACGTTTCTAAGCTAAGCCTCGAAGTTGCGCAAGCTTCTCATCTCACACTACAGTACTATCATTCAGTCGAGCCCGTCCAGCTGAGAATGCCCACTGCTGTAATGACTCTACTAATCGCACCTGCGCTGTACATCCGCGAAAGTCGTAATGAATGGGACAATCTTCGTTCACAAAAACTCGAAAACCTTGAAGGGCGATGAAATCCGTCGAAAGAGTCGTTCATACTAATAACAAAGAGCACTTCGCTGGCCTCAGTGTGTTCAAAGCTTTTCAGTCCTATTCTACTTCGTGCCCCGAAGTGAACAAGTGACAACGAACATCGTCGTGATGTGCAAGGTGCAGAGGAGAGCAGAGAGAGGAAGCTGGAGCTCGTTAACTTGCACAACGATATGAAAGCATCTGATGAGTGCGCTCACGAGAGCATGAGGTAACTCCTAGGAATCGAGCGCAGATCAGACAAAGGCCTATCATCTACACCTGCTCGGACACGTACGCCCATTGGGTTCATGCTTGAGTGCGAAGGGAGAGCGAGACAGAGAGAGAAACCAGAGTAGCGAGATTTCCGCCAGGGTCTCGTACAAACTCTGCGGGCGTGCCTGTCCCTGAGTGATCGAAAACAGGGAGACTGGCCACGTGACCCTCCGTCGAGGCCACAGCAAGGGTCGGCACAAGGGGATCCAGCAATCGGCAGGTGTTGCGCTCTCGCTGGAATGGCCAGTTTGTGAAGGACATACTCACGAAGGCATGCGGAGGATGGAGCAACTTCCGTCAGCCCCTTGGCCTCCACTTGTCACGCTTGTGGCTCTGCCAAATGGCGTCCATGAAGTCAGTGCCTCATCTCGCTTAGACAGGCACCTAATCTTCATTAGCCGGACACTGATTAGTCACTAATCCAGCTTCTCCTTCGACTTCTGACCGTTTCAGGCAGGACGTTCGGCTAATCTAATTGGCTTAGCATCCGATCTTCGCTCTGCATCCGACGCCACCGTCTTGCTTAAATAGTCGGAAAACTCCTTTGTTTTTCAATCAGAGCATCGAGCAGCACAAACTCATAACTAGAGGTTGTATATAAAACTCCTGCTTGTGCAACTGTCTTGTGTATTCAACTCTTCGGAAGTATATCTTTCCAGCAAAAATGGCAGCCTCGACTGTTGCTGTGGCATCTGCAGGACTCGCCGTTTCGGCCCCTGTTCAGAATTCGTCGACACTTTCTTCGAGATCTACCTTCGGATCCTCCCTCGTCCAGTTTGCCCCAGTCAGGCGATCACTGGGCAACGCTAACAGAGTCGTGGTGGTGAGGGCTCACTTGTCAGAGGTAAGTCGTCAAGCACATTCTTTTCAATAATAATTCTTCGGGCAGTTTCTGCTATTTCAGTCATGGTGTAGAGAGCGCTTGCGGAGACATTGCATATAAAATTGAAGTCCATGTGTATGCTCACATTTGTCTCATGCGCGTTTAGAGTCTGAAATGAGATGACGAGCAATTCTGATTTTTTGATGTACCTGAATGAACCATCAGGAACAACCAACGAGCGGGAAGAAGGTTCTAGCCAGCTTCCTGGCAGCCAGTGCTGCATTGACAATCGCCGGACAGGCTCTGGCTGCTAACCCCATCGATGTCGCCAAAAACACGGCCGATCAAGTGGTCTCGAGCGCACAGAGTGCAACTTCCAACCTTCCGAAGCTCCCCAAGATTGAGCTTCCCAATGGTTCAGTTTTCCAAGATGCAGAGAAAGCAGCTGAAGGTGCAGTGAAAGACGTCCAAGGCCGTATGGACGGGATCTTCGGCCAAAACAAGGTCTGTAATGATTGACTAACCTGTTCTCAGTCTTCCACTTCTCACTAGGAACTCTACATCGCTCATATATATGACGCAATGTCGAATTTGCAATGCCCGGATTTCGTTTGGAATGTGTAAGTTCAATTGAGTTACCAGGACCTGAGAGTCGAACTGATTTGTTACAACTCCTCGTGCAGCCTTACACGGGACGCGTGGCCAGCACCAACGGTGGAACTGGCAGCGCCATCGGAGACGCCAAGAAGAGGATCGCCAACTTCGGAAAGAATCCTTTTGCCGAGAACCTGGAGAAGACGACTGAGGAGTTCAACGCCTCCATCGGAACCGCTACTGGAGAGAACTCTGGCAGTGCTCGTGCTGCAAGGGAGTTCTTGGGCCAGGACTCGACGAGAGTCGATGCCGCAACCCGGAAGATCAACGATCTCGGAGATGACTTCAAGTCGAAAGCCAAAGATGCCCTCGGTGAGGCCAAGAGCTTCGTTGGATCTGCACAAAACGCAGTTCCCGACCTTCCCAGCATTCCCACTCCAGCACTTCCCAGCGTCCCCAACCCATTGGAAGGACTCGGCCAAAATGTGCAGGTCAGTTGACTGCAGCTGCAGTAAAGCTGTAGTTGGTATTGAAGCTCGTTATCAAACCACCCCATCCAGTTTCTCTTCGAGGTTTTTGTCAAGAGCAATGGCTAAATAATTTCATGCTTCTTCCAGGACTTGAAGGGAAAGACAGAGAGTGTGAAAGACGACCTTGCCTCCAAGGCCGCGTCTGCTGTGAAGGGAAATATTGCCTCGCAGGCTTCGAGCGCAGTCAACGGAAAAGCTAATGATGCTGTAGAGGGAGTCAAAAGCTTCTTTGGATCAGCCAAGAATGATGTGGCTAGCAAAGTGTCCTCGAGTGTGGATGACGTGAAAGGAGATGTAGCATCCAAAGCGTCAGACATCACCAACAGCTCTCCCAGCGATGTCGCAGATGGCGCGAAGAACCTCGTCGGATCTGCACAGGAGGCGACCTCCAACTTCCCCAGCCTTCCCAACCCCTTCGAAGGCATCAGCAAGAGCCTGCAGGTGATAAGAGTTTTTCTTTCTCCTAAGAAGTGCCGTGATGTTGCTTCTGAGATCACTAGGGGTGTGTATTTACGTCTTCAGTTTTCAATTGATCCAGCTTCAGTAGTGTGTGAAGGAAACAGGTTCTTACTAGAATGTTGTTATGTTCCGCAGGGGAAGGCAGATGATGTGAAAGACACTGTCGCCTCTAAGGCAGATGACGTTGTGGGTGATGTGTCCTCGAAGGCATCCAGCTTGAGCAACAACATTCCCGGAGATGCAGCAGACGGTGCGAAGAATCTAGTTGGATCTGCTAAAAGTGCCGCTTCCAACTTTCCTAGTCTTCCTAACCCATTCGATGGCAACGCACAGAAGAATGTCGAGGTGATTTGACACGTTCCATTCCATTTCTGTCCAGGTCACTGTCGGCCGTAGCAAACTGAGATTCATGTGCTTTCACCATCTTGCCTTGTTGAATAAGATCTTAGAACTTTTTTCAAATTCAACGGAGAGATGATTTCAGAACAGATATACGGAACTTAGATGGATGTACTGATTTCGAGAAAGGGAATTGTAGATGTAGTTTGCCATAAAGAAAAGTACATTGGTCAAAAATTATGCCTGAAACTGAGATCTTTCTTCTGTCTGTAGGATGTAAAGGGGAAGGCCATTGATGTAAAGAACGATGTGGCCTCCAAGGCGGACGAAGTTAAGGGAGATGTTTCTTCCAAAGCCTCGAACACCATGAACAAGAATGCTGGTGAAGTTCTCGATGATGCCAAAACATTCGTTGGATCAGCAGCTAAGGACTCCGCCTCGAACTTTCCTAATCTTCCCAACCCATTCGACGCTTTCAAGTCGAATGTAAAGGTAAGCTAGATGTTCCACGTGATGAATATCTTCATACATTCGCTCCAGTAAAGCTCGAAAATGTGGTAAATTTTTACGAGGCCGTCTAACTAAAGATTAGATGTGAAGATTCGCAAAATTTCATTGAATATCCCTCTAATTCTCTGTCGTTTGTTAACTCAGAATTTGCAAGACAAAGCATCTGATGTGATGGAGAATGGAGCTTCCACGGCCGAAGACGTGAAGGGAAATGTCGCAGCAACAGCTTCAAAAGTACTGCAGTAATTCTAGAGATGAAAACTAGCCACTCGAACTTGTACTATAAATTGGAGAGTAGCCATCAATTTTACGAGGAAGAACGGCAGAGTGAGAGGATAGAGCCAGAAGCTGCCTCTCTTCAGTGTATTGTAGTTAAGCGGCCGTTTTATCCGTCAAATGCCAGAAGCATATTTTTGGCAGAGCTGTACAATGATTGAAACTCAGAAGTGAGTTGTAGAGAACTGATGTTTTACCATCTTGTACATTCATAATGAAAATGATGAGAAGACTGCATCAGTCTCCTTATCTGCCTGCGCAATACGCAGTTTTATCATCCTGGATCAAGACCAACCAACGTGATCGAGCCAACTGTTACCAATTAGTGTAAAGCGTGTCTGAGTGCATAATTTCGTTCACGTCTCTACAATAGTATCTCGAATTTGTCTCATTCCTCAGCTGTCGTTATCTTTCTTTCCTCACTCATCGTAGACACACATGGCCCCTGCATATGCCAACTTTCTCTGCGTTCGTCAGAGACAAATAATCTCATTAGCCATGCATGTCTCAAGATGAAAATGTTGACATAAGAACAAATGTTCGCTGCAGGCAGCTTGATGCGTCTGCCCTTTCACAGTCCAAAGCCTGCAAAAAGTTGAAACAATCAGATGATTCGATTCTGACTGAGTCAAAGTCAAACTAAATTCTTACGTCGCTGAATTGAGCTTTCCCGCTTATTATGAAGGATTGTTCATCCACTACATATAAATATCTCTTTCAGACTCTACATACAAATCGAGGACAAAATCCTGATCCTTCACCCTCCCACTTATCACACCCGTCTCGAAACTCCCCTCAAGATACAGTTCGGAGATAAGAAACCTTCCGATCGGTAACTCATTGACGCCGACCAACAGGATGAAATGTTCGATATCTGACATTAAGCACGATGGATGAAATATCACCCCGTGGGTTGACTGCGAGATGAGACTGAGCTTCAGACAAATAGCGGTGTACTTTGTCCGGCTACGGCCACTGGGTACTGGGTACTAAAAGTTGTACTAGCTTTAAATACGGGACAGCTTTGCGTCGGAGCGCAGTACCGGGAATCGTAGTCGATTGTGCAGAGTTCAGTACATTCTACCCGCAAGGATGTGAACTATATCCAACAGGAATCGCGGTCCATACCAATCACCGCGTCGGGCGCGCGAGAGAAGGCAAAGTTGCAATCCATCGCGCGTCTGAGCGATTTTGCTCCCGACACGTGTCGAAGGTCGGAGCGCGCTGGCGCTACATAAAGCCCTTTAGGCGCTACCCCGGAGGCCAAGGGACTGCATCATTGAAATAGTCTTTTTGCAGATTTGCGGGCGGACATTCTCGCAGTTCATTCGTTTCGCCGTCGGGTTCTTGAATTTTCAATTCTTCTTTTTCCTCCTTTCTGCGATCCGGAAGGATCGGCTCGCGCAACGCTATGGCCGGTTGCACCGCAGCGCTCGCTCCTGTCGTAGTCCCTGCAACTCTATCTTCCGGTTATGCCTTGAGGGCGTCTCCCGTCCAGTGTACCCCAATTCTTCCGGCCGCGAGTCGCGTGCACAGATGCGTGTCGACGCGAGCGAGTCTTTCCGAGGTGAGTTTGTTCAGCAATCTGATGCGATGCAATTTTGCGATCAGGTCGTGTATATGTTAGGGAGTGGACGGGAGGTTGTAAATGTTAGTGTCTACTTATGATGGGAATGTGCCGGTGATTATTGAGCTAGGAAAGTCTTGTTGGGATCAAGCAGCAAGATAGAATTGTCGCTGGGTTTCATTTGGTGCTCGAGTTGCGGGAGGTTTGAACATGCGGGTAGGAACTTCGGTGAATGTGGGAGGCGCACAAGTTTGTGATGTCTTGATAAATAGCTCTGATTTCGGCTTGTCTTCAGTTCATGTGTAACACGAACGGTCAAATTGATCTGAATTGTTCTTGGTAAATCCAAAAGGTGAGAAACATTTCAGAGCGTTTTATAAAGTTGTCTGTTCTAGGTGGAAGTCATACCGTCTAATCCCATAGAATTAGACAGTAAACAGAATCTTTGTGCGTAAGACAAGGTGTTTGTGTAATTAGCGGAGTCCTTGTATTTACTGGAAGAGGATCGGATCGAGTCATTATTCGTGGAGACTAGATTATAAATGTAGAACAGGGTTTAGTGTCTACATCTTCACTTTAGTCTATCTCCCTCAACAAGGTTTTAACCTTCTTCTCCTTGTCCTTGGAGACACGTTCTGGATTCCCTTGGTTCATATTATGAAGAGTTGAGCGAAATCCTGCCGACACTTTGTTGAAAGAGTTGTCTTTATGATCAATTTCTGAATTTTGACATTTGATAGATCTCTTTTGAACACAGCTTCAGCTCTGACAGGAAGTTCAGCAGTAGCTACAAGCTAAAGTTCAATTTTAGAGCTAGTCTGAACCAGTGTTTCTTAGTAGTTTTTTGCGGCTTTACTATGGTCAGCTGGCAAGCTTTATTTGAATCTGCTGATGAACTGTCGCAAGGAAAGTTGTATCGTGTACCTAAAACAAGAAATAGATGTCAAGTTGGGAGTTGTTCTTGCGCGTTTCGTTTCATTGAAGAGGGTTGTTTGTGTCGTTTGCTCGTTTCTAATGCTTTCATCGCTCTTCACTCACTACGTTCTGCTTTCTTTTCTCTCTCTATGTGCACTCATCGAAGCTTTTCATTTGCAGGAGCAAAGATTCACGAGGAGGAACGTTCTTGCGACCGTGCTGGGGGCTGGAGCTGCTCTGGGGTTTGCTGGTCAGGCACTTGCTGCAAACCCTGGGTCTTTGGCGAGACAAAGGAAGGTAGAGAAGCCTGAGAAGCCTGAGTCAAAGAAGTCAGAGGAAGCGAACAGCCCTGTCATTGAAGTTGAGGCCCCAAAGGCGAGCCCTCCTGAAGTGCCTACCTCTCCCGAGGTCTCCAAGTCCCCAGAGGTTTCTAGCTTATCCGAGGCTCGCAACCTTCCAGACGTGCCCAGCGTTTCTGAGCCTCCAAGTATTCCAAATATGCCAACCCTCCCTGAACTCCCCAGCCTTCCAGAGGTTCCTAGCATGCCGGAATTGCCGACCATTCCTGAGATTCCATCTCCCGCTCCCCAGGCAGAGGTCCCGAGCTACGCGGACGATTTCGACATTGGGCAGTACTTTAAAGACCTGTTCTAACTGATTGCAGAAAAACTGAGATCGCTGAGAAATCGGTTGCGCCACTCGTAAGCGGATATGATTACCAGCATTTAGCCAATTGCGAACGAGTTCGATCCCGAGTTTAGGGAAGTTTTGCATATCTGCGCTGAAGGGTGGAAGACCATTCATTTTCTCTGCCTGGGAAGAACTTAGGGTAGCTTGTTGCTTAAAAACTTTTGGATAGATCAATTTGTCCGGCTGAATACAGCGTGTGTACCAGCGTGGTCTCTTGGAGCTAAAGGATGACGCCAAACTCTCGATGAATATCTTCTCTGTTTATACTTCACATCAGTGCGACTGTGCCAACGAGTAAAATCTGACACCAACTAGCAATCTTGTGAAAAACGGCTCACTTCACGAGCTCATTTTCCAGGTTGGGTAAACGTGGAAAGACGTTTCTCTAACCTCCTCTGTATTATTCTCGTCTTTTCCGTCCAATTTTGGAATATGTTTCTTTCACTTCTGAAATTGTTGTGATGACTTGGTTTTCTGAGTTTGTCCTTGGTTTGTGCAGGGAGTGAATGAGAGGTGCATTCATTAGCGTTTCGCATCTTCAGTGACTGGACGCTGTCCCAACCGATTGTAACGTGATTGTAAAGTAAGTTCGGGATTCAATATGGAGCGAAGTGTAGCGTGAATAAAGGGCTTGAGCTCATTTTGATCGTCGCTAGTCTACGGCAAATAATGGCTGTCAACTCGAACTCAATCGATTTGGATAGAGTTGAACAGATGATGAAGTAGACCTGTCAACGGTGAAGACATGACATGCAGGCTTAACTGTATAGATAACGAATTGTTCGTAGACTTGCAGTTGATGTAGTGAACACTTGTTATATATTCTCCGTTCTCCGTGTACACAAGCAGCTTTAGTTCTTTTCAACCGGTTTTTCCATAGAAGATAGGAACATTTTGAGACTGTTGTGGATGACTTACCAAAGAGTATGAAGGCCCAGACTTTTACTATGTCTACTGAACTGGATGTCATTATATTCGTCCATGACATGAGTACTATGGTGATAAGTATGGTGAGAACTATGTTTTTGAAAGGCATAATACAACGTCCTGCGAACGAGTCTGGTAAATTTTCTATTATCGATTTTGTCTCTTTAAAATAACGTGATCAAAGAAAAAATACAGTGCACATTCCATTCATTGAAGTGCAGAAAGAAAGATGAGTACATCGTCATCTGGAAGGACTTTTCATCATTTTCGGCTGACCTGAGTTTGCAAAGGTAGTCCAGAGGAAAGAGAGGGTGTAATGAAGCAAGTAGAACTGAGTGAAAAATATACAATGTAGAATATACTCGTGTAGAAAGTTCGAAAATTGTTGAATATGTGGTCATTACAAGTGTATCACTTTTCTTCACGCACAATTATAATAAGTTACTTCAAATCGATGAAAGATGCGGAACATTGTCAGCACCATCATTATTTCCGTATCTAGCTTCAGAAGTAACTATTGCGTCATAATGAGCAGACTACTTCCCGGAAAGCTTTTTCCCGGAGTAGTTTCCCCACTTGAGAAGTATAAATGCCAAGCCAACGCACCACAAACTCTTCGACAGGGCGATCGTCGCCAACAGTCTAATCCATGGTGGGTTCGGAGATAGCGATCAGAGTAGGCGAGGTTGAGAACTCCCAGTTGCTTTATACTATGATCATAGAGCAGTTGAAGACTGAGGAGAGTGTAGATACCGACCACACTCTAGACAGGAGAGTCAAAGATTTGTCAGGAACACAATCACGAAGTGTTCAACGACAACGTTCAACCAAGTGATGGCGTGCATTTAATGAGACTGAAAACTTTGGTAGGTCAAATATACGTTCCTATTTGTGTAAACACAATCATCCATGTTACACTTGATAACTTCTTCCCCGTCATTTTCGTCGATTTAGTTTGTAGCGTTCAAATTCTCTACCTTTTGAAATCTCAACGCTTGAGAATTCAAAAGGTAGAGAATTGAGAAACCTTTTGAATTCTCAAGCGTTGGAAATTCAAGGAGCTCATATTTCTCATAAAAGAAATAGAGATCTTCAAACATGCATTCACTAGGAGATTTATGGGAATGTTTGTTCAAGTCAAAAACTCCCACCGGTGTGAAACAAGAAATCTCCATAGTATGTTGAGCTTGTCCTCGTGTTCGCATCGTTGTTCATCCCTCTGCCTGACCAAACTTTAAGCGACTCCAGAAGTTTGATGCAAGGAAATGGAAATGATTCGAGAAGAACGCAACAGTTTGCTCTAAGTATTTTTCCTTAAATTCATAGCCACAACACAACTCTAATCCTTTGTGCAGACCTCACAACCAAGAAAGATATTTCAACTCGGCGTACCAAGTACTTCAGCTTACTTCAGCTCAATACGCTGAGGTACTTAATGCATTACTTCATTAAGGCCACATTGATAGAGAACTTCTGATTCTCAGGATCGGAAGAGTGACAAAGGTCCGATAGATGGAGAAGCATTGGTCGAGAGATTTGAGCGCTTGGATATCGAAATGCAAGAAAACGTCTTCATCATGCTGAACGGAGTGGGGAGCGAGAGGTTAAATCAGTCCAACATTGCATGCTATCAGTTGGGCTTAAAAAGCCACGAAAACTATCTCCGTTGAATCCAACCAGTGTTCCATGAAATTCTGAAACCCAGGGCATAGCTTGCCATGATAGTTCACAGTGATACATTTCTGTCCCCGAAGAAGGTGAAGAAGAAAGAGCTCAATGTCCACTCTTTCTCTTCTGTCACTCTCATCTCATGCAAAGTCGATTGATCGAATGACGACGGACTTCTGCTTTTCCTTAAGACTTCCGACACTCACCAATGATGACCGATAACAATACAGCTCATGCACACGTTCCTTCGAGTGGGCTGTGCGTGACACATCCTGTACAAATTAGATGTTCTGAGAAAGAGAATCTCTCGTTTCAGTTCGGGGCACCATGCAAGCCTCCGAGACTTAGACTCGAGAGTAGAGTACAGCTCTTCTCCAGGTCACTCGGTCCTGAAACCGAGCCACCGAGGGTCGGCTAATCCTCAGGCCAGATACGCTCTAGCTGGAGCACAAGACACTTTTTGAATTCACAATTCTGCTCAAGAAAGGCATTGATTATCCCTGCTCTACAAAACTGCCTTCGAAGGAGGATCTACAACCTGCTCGCCGAGGGATTGGAAGGAACCGCTCCTCAGTTCCGCAAATACGCTAACAGACGGTGAATCTCATCGTTGGAATCGCTAACTACTATCGAGACATCGCCACATTTCCCGTGCGCAGTCGAGTGGCAGCAGGGGAACTTGAAGCTGCTGCAGTCTGGCAGAGCCCGAGCTTCTCCGTCTACTTTTCATCCAACTCCAGCACGTCAGGACCGTTGAGAGAGACGCTCAGCGGTGGCTTGAACGTGATGGGGCCCAGCTTCCACGGACCTCGAGACCATCGTCACCGACTGGCTCGGCGAGCTCTTGCGGCTTCCTGAACTCCGGTGGTGGGGCACCGCCAGCGAGGCAGTCACGGTGGCAATCCTCGTGGCCAGAGGAGCTTCCGAGTTCCGAGCGCTCGGTAAGCTCGTGGCCAATGTGTGTTTGCGTCGAGAAGGCTGCTCGCATTGCGGGCGTCGGTTCCAACCATCTTGCGAATTTCACCGGCAGATTCGTCCACGGACTTCGCTCCCTCGCTCCCTCGCCCACAATTCTGCGGACAGCCGTGGAAGATGATATCTCCAAAGGATACGAGCCCTCATTCTTCAGCCAGCTGCCTTGGTGCCCAGTCCAGAGGTCGGAGACATCGTCCTGCAGCGACGGCCTGTGGGTTTAGGAGGGAAGTTGCCTCGGAGGAAACGCTTGCAATTGTCCCGAGTTTCGACGCTGTCTGGACGGCATCCAGAGGGCCGACTGCTGCTGCACCGACTGCTCCACTCTCTGGCTGAAGGACCCGAGCTTGGTGACAGCAGCTCTGGCGATCGAGGTTCCGGAGTGAGTGAGTACCTGAAGAACCCAGCCTTCGAGTCAGACCTGGCCCTGGACTACGTGGACTGACAGATCCCCACCCAAGGGAGGAGGTTCACGTCATTGAAGCTGTGGGTCCTGATGCTCATGCATGTACGGGACATCGGGCTTGCGCAAGTTCATCGAGCAGCTGGTTCAGGCCAGCGAGAAATCCGAGCTCGGGGCAAATTGTACTTTCTCGCTGGTTTGCGTCCGACAGAAACAAAGGCAACACTCTCACCACCGCTCGGGTGGAAGTCATCGACGACGGCGGCCAGTGTCTGCTGACACAGACCGAGCTCTCGGGTCTGGTCTCCATCCGCATGTCGTGGGAGCTAAACGGACACAGATGAAACATGTCGTGGATGCGTGGACAGTCATCAATGCAAAAGCCTGATCACCTCCTCCCGAATTACCCTGGATCATGATCCCTCCTCGTCCCCATCATTATCTTCAGGACGCGCGAAAGTAAACCCTCGAAATAATTAAATCTCGGCATTCTGATGTACGTCTAACTGAAATGTTGGACTACATGTGTAGTGAGTGACCACGGGAGATTGTGATAACTATCTCTCTTGATGAAAAGATAATCCCGAAAATGTTCCTCGGATACTCGCACGACTTGGCGTCACACAAACAGACATCATTTTTGCTGCTAACGGAGTCACATACTCCTGCAAACACGAACTCCAACGCTGGATCTTATCAACAAGCGGTTCCAGATTGCATCGAGCGTGGATACATTATGCAAAGCAGTGACATCAACAACAACACACTGGCTGCTGGGAGATTTGTCTGATCCGATGTATACCTGTACTGTGAGGGGCTAATCATTCGTGCAAAGCTTGAGCATGTGCTTCGTCTGTTCGTCACCCTGGTCGTTGGTGCCCCTCACCGACCTTCTTCGCTCGCTCAACGTGACGCGTTCATGGAAGGAGGGGAGGGAGGTTCGAACTCTATGATCGATACGGTTCCTCACTTCCAGGTGTACGCTACAAGAGACCAATGTCGTGCAGCCAGTGAGTGAGCTGTACTGGAGAGCTTCCACTGCTAAGTCATTGATGATTGCCGCTGCATGTAGCAGCCTTTCCGTTCGTTCACTTACCCTCCAATCAGAGAAAGCTAAGAGCTGTTTAGAGCTCAATAGAAAGAAAGTTCAGTCCTTTGAAGCTTTTTCATTCTCGTACATCCAAAAGGGTGAATCGCACTTCCTGTGGTAAGTCCGTAACGAGTGATGCATAGCTGTTCAGTGCTTAAGCTGCAAAAATTGCTGAGACGTCTAAATGTTTTCCTTGACTCAATGCTCCAGTGGATAAAGGACAATGCTTTAAGTCTTCTGGGTGAGTAAATCAGAGTTGCCTGCACGATCAAAGATTGCGCACAGCAGACAGGCTTCGAACTTGTGCTACCAATGAGTGACTGGGCTCAGGTCTTGCCAGATTCGTTGACAACTCATCCGCCAAGCTAGCGGAGAAAAGAGGGCACAGCGTCGTGCATGGCCGAGAACAGAGAGGGTAGTTGGTCATTAGATCGAGAGGTGGTGGAAGATCGAGTGTGCGTATTAGAATATGAGCTCAAAGCTGGAGGAGGGAAGACTTTACAGTACAGCACATTGTCCACATGAAACACGGGCAATTTGACAAAACGCTCCACCCTACTGACGACTGAAGCACGTACCCAGGAGGACCATGATTTCCCCTGTCAGTCTCCTTCCTTTGTGCCAGAGTCCGTCACTATTGTTGTTGTAGAAGCACTGCGCAGGAATCTTAAGCAAGCAAAAGTTCCGGCTGAACCTTGCAAGTCTCCTGTTTCAAGTCGGAACCTGTGGATGTGGAAGACTAGCACGGTACCAAACTCCCAGTACCTACCATGCACACATGAACCCTTCCACAGGCAGTTTCTCCATTAGCAAGGGCAGGAAAGCTTAGATAATCGGCTCGCCATGCACATTTGCGCCTGTTTCCCCATCAACGTGATCACCCGTGAAAATACTCGATTGAGTGAAAGGTATACGGTCCACAATCCACAGCCGACGAGGGACGGAAAAGGTGAAGGACGTGAGACAACCAACGTACGAGGCGAGGCGGAACACTTTTCATCGACAGAGAAGATTTTCGTAGAGTCCTCTGGACCCGGACTTCTAAGGTGACGTGATATTTTGCATATAGAAAGGTCTAAGACCGGCACTTGCTTTTCCGCTTCCAAAGCTCGTGCCTTTCCAATATAAAACATGCCACGCACTCATCAGATTGAATTTCGGAATTCAGGCAACCGTACAATTGAATTTGCTCCTGTTCCAAACGTTGTAGTCAGACTTTACAGGCGAAATTTTCCAATATTCTCATCAAACGCATCCATCCACCTTCTTCAGAGTACACATCTGTATTCCTACTCTTTCGCGGAAATGGCTTAATAGATGTGTTTCATTGGTCACACGCAAGACCAAAACCTGAATTCCGCCAGTCGAGTAATGTGAGGAAGGCCTTTCTCTTTCTGTCCGTAGATTACAGTTGAGTCTATCGAGGTCCTTGGTACTACTGTACCGTGTGTCAAAGTATCGGGGGAAGGCCAAAGCACACGGACTTTCCGTGCAAGCTTTCGTGTGGGATATTGTAGCAAATTCATGTTCCAGGCTGTAAAGTCGTCTAGTCAAGAAAGTTTGATTGGCACATCAGTAACTGAGTTCTGAGAAGCTGCTTGCTCACAGCTCAGATTCTGAAGGAAACTAGGAATGATTTCTGGATACTTCATTTGAAAGGATCATTTTCAAGTGACCCAATGAACTGAAGCGAATGACGAACTGAGTCTTTTTTGTTCTTTCAAGGGTAGCTCAGTCTAGTTGAAAATGACTTTTGACATATAGAAGGCCATACCTCTGCTCCAGAGGACTCTATGCCAGCGAGTCCGTTGCAAAAACTCTCTTTCTTTCATAGAATATTGAAGGACTGGAAGTAACAGTACTTGCTGGTAAGACGCTAAACGAACAAAATCAGTAGTTTTCTGGAAATATCTGGAAAAACTCAACACAAGTCTAGTTTGCAGCATTAGCCCGTACCTGGAAGTGGTCAATAGAAATATCGGCATAAAGCTCTTACCTGAGTCCCTTCCATCATAGACTATGACTCAGCAGTCCCTGGTTAGTACATCAACGCTGCGGTTTCTTCTTTGATCGGTCTCTGCAGCTCAGCTTGGAGGAACATTAAACTAAGAACCAAAAACCAACCAAAAAGTAAGAAGCTGATAAGGAATGCAACCGATAGAAAGTATACACATGTACCTAGATTTAAGTCTTAATGTGAGTCATCAATGGTGTTCGAATCTTCTGAACCAAGTTGCATAGCTCAGTTTCAATATAGAATGAGTAAATATTCTCCGCAGCAACAGAGAGAACTTTGATTCAGTCAGTCATCCAGTCAATCGATTGATCAATCTAAGCATATCTTCCAGAAGTAGCTCCTGACTCTGATGCTCCCGTCTCTAAGTCAGCATCGGCCGACCCTTTATACAGCTGACCAGCCGAAGGTTGACAATAGGTTGGGTATCAAAGCCGACCTTCCGAAACAGATATGACCTCTAATCTGTGACAGTTTTGGTGTGTCAATGGCCCGTACATCAAAGCTCCAAGGGTCCGAATATCTTGACCGACACACCGGAAAAGCGCAAAACTGCAAGCCACTAGCTGGACGATCCCACAACAAGTAATGTTTCACTACACTTTCAAGCCGTGCTACGTAACATATCCAGAACAGGATGGCAAGGATTCATCAGTAGGAATCCTGATCAAAGAGTGTGAATGCTACACACGCGAATGTACTGAAAAGGCAGCCGGAGGAAAACAGAGGACTACGGAACAGATGTGGAACAGAGAAAGCACAAAACACGAACTGGACAAAAACCGACCCAACTTAGCAGTGTCTGGTCAAACGTCGAGAGCTCATTTGTTGTCCAAACCCTCCACCTGCTTCCCCTCTCATCCTCCCTCCATTCTTTGGTTCACATTCTTGCCTAGCTCACTCATCCGTGACCACCACATTCCATAACCAAATAGCAACTACATTCCTTTTCTCTCGGAATGAATTTTCCCGACTGCCCTCGTGTTGTTGTTGTGTTGCAACTTCGTGGTGTATTAATAGTGATGACAATGAAGGTTACGACGTTTTGGCAGAAAATGCCGTCCTTGTCCTTAGCGACCGTCGGAACTGGTTCTTTCTTCCTGCAACTCGAAGTGAGAATTATACACCGTGCCAATAGGAACTAGACTTCTTTGCACTTGTTGGTGAGCAGCATGGTTCCACGTTACAGCGTAGTCATTGTGTGCATATCGTATTATTATGTATTGGACCGTATCGTGGTTCCTGCCTTGAGGGAACTTGAGTCTCGAATAAGGAATGTGAGATGGTGTCAAAAATAGATTCAAGTTGTCGTTATATAGAAAGAAATGTTTTGCGTTCTGATTACCAACCGTGAATATATATTTGAAGTGGTTTCCCTGGTAAATTATCAGTAATTAATTAGGGAATGTCGACCTAATCCAGGCAACGGTTCCAACCACGGGTCTGGTATTTCGGGCAAGTAGATGCGACCCATGTACTGTTCTGGCGTAAGGACGTTCAGTCCTTGCTGTTCTGATCCGTTTATTTTTGTGGCCGGCTGCCTGCTGCTTCGTTGTCCACGTGGTGAGTATCTCCACGTGGTCAAAAGGCAAGCCGGTCAGGAAGTACCGGAATGCCTTCTGTACAGCAAGTACGGTACCGGGTGAGTACGGAAGAGGCTTCTTCCTCGTACCCAAATCGACCGTCCGATCTGCCACGTCGTCTCATATGGGCGGTTCCGTTCAAGTGTAGACAACTGAGACGAGTATTTTGATCACCTCGATCAACTCGCCGGTGACGAAATTCCACGTCATCGGTACGTGGCATTCGCTCACAGGAGAATAATGGATCACATTTCCACTTTAGAGTCGTACCACCGTCTAGATCTGGCATCGGTTTCGACCTGGCGCTAACGACGTAAGCTCGGGGGCGTCATGAGGTGGTTAGACTGCAGTCGACGTCAAATTCCAGCCTGTTAGATGCGCCGATGACGCTCCATCGTCACCGCCCGCCTTGGACTCTCCATCGTCTCCTGGAATTTGAATGTTTGAATGTCGTCGCGGCCACAATGGTCTGTCTATTCGTACAACGTCGAGCATATCTCCTCCCCTTCTAAAAGCTCTTCTTCTCTCCTTCACTGGCGTTTACTTCCACACGAGTAGGCCCTCCATTCTGGCCATGCATGAAATTATTACTCTACACTTCCCTTCATCCGTTGCCTAATTTCTGCAAAGTCCCCCATCTTAGCTTGGTGTCCGTCTTCCCCGTGACTTCGTCTCTTATTTCGGTTTGCTTGGGGCGAAGTCTAGCCACCATTGGAATCGTTTGTGTCAAATTATCAGGAGGTCACTCTCACAGGAGAAGTTTTTTCTCATTCTGTTTGGATGACGGTGCCCATGTTTCTCGAGGTGGCTGTCGTCCCCGTGTTCCAGGATTTTCGCACGCAACAAAAGTGGATAAAGCTTCCTCCCTCGAAGGGAACGACATTGACCACGTCGTTCCGATTGTGTTAGGCCGACGAATCTTCATAGCGGGAGCTATAGTAGAAAGGAGGTGCAAAAACGCAAAACAGAAGAACAAGAAAAATCCAAGTGTCGTGAGGGATGGTGGAGACCCTAACGTGAAAACAGTGAAATAAGAAGACTTCATAATGGATGGATGTCGTTATTTCCATATCTGTACTCGACACAACCATAAAATCTAAGGTCGTCTTTCTGTACACATGGAGTAGATCCTCCCAACATTGACCAAAAGCCAAAAACTTTCTAAACTCTTTGAATTTCATTGGCCATGATAAATCATCAAGATACATATGGATGTGCATGTTTGTTTAACTTATGTTGTATTAACTTCAATCTTAATATCAGCTTATCCTGTTGATATTGGAAATGAAATTTGATGGGAAAGCATCAGTAGAGGTTCCACTAACACAACCAGCGAAGCATCATATTGTCATCCTACCTGCATTTTATAGTTGCAAATTTCTTTTCACAAACTAATCAATTGAAGAGATTTAAATATATTCATGCTCATTGCATTCATATTTAGTATTTTAATTATTCATATGAAGAGCGGCACTCACTGCAGTTTAAAGTTAAACTTTTAGGGTTTCAATTGACGATGTGTGTGAGAAAATATATAAGTTTCGGCCCAAACATGAGTTCTTTTAGATTTATAATAAACAGAATTAGACTAATTTCTGATGAATTTGGATAATATTGTATTTCATAAGAAATATTTGAATTAAATATGAATGAGGGGTTTTGATTGATTGCGTCTTATAAAACCGTATTAAATCAATTGTTAGTTATTAACAAGCAATCAATCTCTACTTATCAAATATATTTATAGGATCACACGATTTTTTTAAAGAAAATATTTTTTTCTTATATATGCAGTTCACATATAAGAATTTTCTCAGTTTATCATATTTTTAATCATATTTTTTTACTCAATTACATTAATTTTGTTTTACGTGAACTAATACTGCAATTTTGTTCATATACATCACAACGAATCAATGTGACTCCTAGAATTACATCAATATGAAAAAATTAATTTAGATAAAAATTTTAAATGATTCACATTCATATCGAAAATGCTATATTTTCAAATGTCATACCACAATCATAGGTTAGAAAATACACCAAGATTGCAAAAACTTAGTCTATGATACATGATAGAGTGAAAAGTCATAAGTCATGAATGACGAGAGATTAAATTACTAATGAAGTTAAATCAGTAAAAATCATTCCGTAAGAATATCCAAACGTTGAATTTTTATCTTGATGAAATTCAATATCCCTAGACAAAAGGTACAAAATCACTTCAGTCTCGTCCTAGATTGAGGTATAACGGATCAAAACAGTCTGATTTTGATTATGAGGGCCCTACTGCTCATGTTTGTCCATTCTTTTGAGAACTGCTCTTCCTCTACCTTACTCAATTTCCCATAATTTGTGACTTTGATCTTCTGCTAGAGGTACGGGGAGAGTGCCCATGTGCGTGGGCTTAGGTTGGTTTTTGAATTCCAATGTCATCATCCAGGGATTAACTTAGATCGTTTGCCTTGCTTGTCTTGCAATGGCCATGGAGATTCATTGCCAAGTTCGGCTAGCAGTTCGGGGGTCACAAATCCCAAAGCTCCCAACATACTATTAGGCGTGAATCATCTCCAGCTCTCGGTTCTTGGCAAAGGGCTTGGGCTCGTAGAGAGTCCGGCATTGTTCCAACGCTAGTCATTAGGGAAGTATCATGGGGTAGCATCGGACAATGGGCCTCGGGTGGGTCCATGATTAATCACGTATTGAAACTGAAATGGCTTGGCTAGAGGTTCTAGGATCTTGTAGGGTGAGCGATAATTAACCTCAATTGAGGGATAACTAGCCGCTCTCTTAAAATAACATGTAATCCAAATGATTTAAGCAGAATTTGACTAAGCATGTAAGATAAGTTTGAGATTATATCATAGTGTGTTTATGTATTTATATGATTATTATAATTTAGATAGTTAAATTTAATGCCAACATATAAGTATGTTAGCATGTGAAATGATTTTGATTTTATACAGTGTTATATTAATTTATATTAACAAGATCAATCTTAAGGATGAACATAATACAAATTATTTCTTAAGTTGCGAAATTTATTTATTTTCAAACCTAATTTTTTTCATTTTTGGCTTCCAATTTCTTGTTGTCACCAAGTCACTATTTTATGAAAACTGCATTAAATTATATAATCAATTTTTTGTTTAATTGATGCCGATGAATTTTTTAAAAGAGTTCAATTATACAAGAGTATCATTAGTTTCAAAAAATGTTATTTTATAATTCTTTCCCAATAGAATTTTTTCGATCAAAATTAAAAAAGTAATCTAGCAATTAATTTTTGGGCCATATGTGACAAATTTTTAAATTTTACACAAGTTGATTTTGCTGTTAATCTTTTTTAGATTTTGTTCTTAGCAACATCTATATAATATTGAGTCAAATAACTTAAGCAAAAATTCATATATTATTTCTACAAATCGACGTTGCAACATTACATGACATGAAGTAGTGTCAAAATGATACAAAACGTATATATTGGATATTAAAAGTGTCAAAAAAGAATTTGGACTTCTTGAAGACACAAATGTAATTGAGTCAACTTAGTATTGGTTTACATTAAGAGAGTTTATGACCATGGATAATAAGATAATTTAATAAAAATCGTAAATTATTAAGTACTAAGAGGTATGACCAATTTTTTTCTAATTCTAGGCTTATAAAGTAGAATAACATTAACTTTAGATACCAATGTCTGAATAAATTGCAAACACAAGGTTTCTAATCATAAAAAAAAATCCAGTTGATATTTATTAACATGATAAAGGATCGAACTGATAAATATTGATATTTTATTTCAATTTAGCTAATAAATTGCTTTTGAAGCAAACTTAGATATAATGATGAATTTCTCGAATAAAGATATGACTAAAGAGTAAATTGATTTTATAAATTTAGACCATAGTTTTAACAGTAAAAATCTGTGATGATTTATGAGGTTTGTTGCATTATACCCACAAAACATGTAATTTATTTTCATCCAACAGAAGAGCTAAATTGGTGTATAGTAAGCTCAAGCGTCAATGAAAAATTCATGTCGAATTTTTTATAATTGAATATAAATACATTTATGTATATAAGAATCGAAACAGTGAAGATATGGAGAATAAAACTACAATGAATGAATAGTAACATGTAAACCTGGATAGAAGATTCTCATGGTGGAGTTTGCAAGCAGATCGATGTTTGAATTTGAACAAAGAAGTTTGGGTTTTAACATTTTAATTACATGTCTCCACGTGAAGCAATTTTCATGAAGAAGAAAGAGCAATGTGTGCAAGACACACACACACACATATGGTGCTTTAATTCATTTTATTATTATTTATTAGTAAACATTGCGTGAAGAATAATTTTGAGCAGGCTATATTCACAATGTCAAAGATACAGCTTTGTACCCCTCGAACAGTGTCATTTGGTGCGCTTCTCGTAAACTTGAAGCTTACAAATTTACAACTTGAACAAAGTTTTCTGCCTCAGAAGATTGTTCTGGGCTAAAAAAAGACAATTGTCAATGACTCATTAATGTGATCGAAACAAACCTCAGGTGTAACCTGAGCGCACAATCAGTTTCAATAGTTCTGAGAGTAAGCTGTATTTGCTAGCAATGCTAAATATAGGCCTAAAACCTATCAGCATTCCAGATGGTGAAAATGTTTAGTTGCATACTCTCCAGATATCACCTTCTCCAGTTTTCTACGTATACTCCAAACACTGACAATCAAAAGGATGGATATGCAAGTCATCGGAGGAGAAAAAAGTTTGACTCTTTCAATGTGAGCAAGCGAACTCCATGAACTTGTTCTCCTTATTCTCTAATCAGTTGCCGCGAGTTGCAGAAAGAACTCATCTGCTGAGTCGGTGCTTCTTGGACTCTCCGAGTGAGTGAGCATCCAGGCCCAGAATGTCAGGAGAACTGTGTCTCTGGTTTCTCTACGGTGTTGTGGATTTTATGATAAGGCGAAAAGGCTTCTTTACATTCTGCAAAGTTGTCCATGTGAAGTAGAGGCTGTAATTCAACGTATGGTTCAAAGAGATTGGGTGGGTTTCACTTTATCTGCCTTCGTCACAGACTATCGGGATCTCAATCATCCTCTCCGCCTTTAGTCGAGGTTCGCCTTGTGCTGACATAGGACAGTGCCCGAAGTGTATTCGTCTGCTCATGATCCTTCAACTTGTGTGTACAGTAGTACAAGAGGAGGGATTCTCAACCTCTGTGGCCTCCAAAGGATGCGAGGTCCGGATCGCATCACACGAACTACGGTTGAATCTATGATTTGCTTTCTTTGCACAGTGGAGAGCATGACCTCGTACTTCCAAAGCCTCTCCAGAATGCCTGCCATCACTCTCGCTGTCGAAAACCGCTGGACAGAACTATCCGTATCCGTATCCCTCGTTCCTGGCCCTCCCTCGGCGCAGCAAAATCCTTTCTCTATTCTATATCCGGAGACATGACCTTCAGCGAAGGACTGCGAGCGAATCTGCGGCATCCATGGAAGTCATTGTGTCTCTCGACACTATGCAACTGTTCCTCGTCCCCCTCGTGGACTCCACCGGCAGACCCTGAGAGTTCAGAACGAATGAATGCTGAAACCCGACGTGTAATGCCGGCGGCCCTGTAGAAACCAAACAATCGAGGTCGCAGTTAGGCTTAACTGGAATGGGGATGTTCACAGAAACAATCGGTTCGCATCCATGACCTCCTCTAAATATGTCCCTCTTTTCTCATCCATCTCTGTCTGTGCATTGTGGTATTGGGGGGAAGTCAACGTGTATAGCTAAAGCGCAGCAGCAGATGTGCGTATGTATGTACGCGTGTACGTACACCTACACTAACCGCCACTATTAGACCGGAACACGACCAGCATTGCGCGTGAAGTTGACTATCGCCGAAACGGGAACCGAGTAAAGTTTGCAAAGACGGTGCGCTGGGACAATCGGAGAAACCAAGCTTTTGCACTGAGTAATAGAACATGTTCTTGACAGCAACTGTAGAATGAATCCCCAGGTTCGGACGTAGTCCTCTAGCCTAACAACGTATGCAGTGAAATGTCTCCAGATTTGACGATCTTGACTTTAATGGCACCACAGCATTAATAATAGTGAACGTTCGTTAGTGGTACAGGATTTGTCTCAATAAAGGTAGCAAGTTTCCATTTGTAGAACCTAGGCAAAAAACTCTTGTAGAATGTAGTTAGTTATTAAAGATAAATATAAGATAAAAAGATAAATTTATACATCTTGGAAATAAAGATCTTCGGTGAGAGGTGTGCACATCTTTAGCCATGTGCTCACCTGTTTCGAACTTTTGTTTGTGCCCCGTCACTATGTCTGGACAACTTGCTGATATTCATCTGAAGTTGAAATATATATCATTCTTGTACATAGCTCTGTTGGTAATGCTAACAGTAACACTGTTGCTAATGCGAACTATCAGATAGCAAAATGCGAAGAAGAAAGCTATTATTATTGTATCATATTGTTGTCTGTAGGATTTCTTGAGTTCATAGCGCAGCATTTTATTATGTGGCTTGTAATGTCTGTTGGACGTATTTGGGTATTGCCATGTTGTGTTGCTAGTACATGGGACATTCCACAATTTCCATTCTCACGAGCAGCCGGCTTCGACCACTCCAACTTGGACAATCACACTTCTAGTGGGACTGGATACCACCTGCTCTAATGTTCTGGTCACAATTAGCCAGGTACTAGCTGTCCGTCCATTGGAGGCTCCATGATACCCTAGGCAGAAAGAAGTCTTGACTCAACTTGCAATTCAGCATGACTACATTGTGTAGAAGGATTTACAACTAGAACCTAAGTTCCAACACTTTGGATCACATCAACTTAGCCAACCCATCGATGTGGTTTCTTTCTGATGAAGTAAAAGTGTAAAAATGACTTAACCTCGAAATAAAAGCTTGGGTCTCACCGAGAATTAATTATGTACCTAACCGTTATCCAAAATAGAAATTTATTTTGGATAAGAAGAAGCCTATATGGAACATGTCTGATCCAATTCAAAAGACGGATCAGTAATAGGACCCTGTGAAATTCTAAATGAGGGTATTGCTCTTTTGCACCGCCAAAATTTTGCTCATGCAGCTCGTTCTGCAATTAAATGTAAAGGACACAGACAACCTTCAATATACACCGTATCAACGCAAGAGACGAACCTAAATGCTCGAGTACTCAAGGCCCCAAGATACGACGAAGGACAAGGCACTCCACGGAAACAAGGGAGGGCTAAAGTCGGAGGGCACGGGGCGGCAACGTGCCCGTGGCGTCGAAGACAACAACCATCGGTGTCTCCGTTCGCTCCGGCCAGATGTGCTCCAAGAGCCCGCTGAACGAGCGAGGCGCTCGCAAATCCTCGGCCGTCGCTGCGACGCGACGTCGAGCTTCCGTGACCGCGTCGGCAGAAGAGACCAGTCGCGCAACGCAATCGGCCCCTTCTCTAACCCTCTCCGCGAAGAAACGACGATCGACTTTCGACCGGACGGTGCACCGAAACCGAGCGGCGAGGAACTGGAAGATCCCGGTACGGGACTGTACCCAGATGAAACGGAAACCGAATCCCAAATCGACGATCATGATGGACAGTGGGGACACGGTGGAGGGCGCGGCGTAGTACAGGGAGGGAGCAGGAGACCACGAAGAGGAAGGAGTAGGAGGAGGAGGGGTTCAAAGGCCCCGACAACGGACGGAATGTTGCGGTAACACGGACCAGACCAGAAATGGTAGAGCGGTGCCGAACGGTACAGTACCGCCAAGCGGGAGCGTGCGGGCGAAAGCGAGAAAGCGAGCGGGCGCAGGAGCGAGTCGGAGCGTAACCGAGCGGAGGAGGAAGGAGAGGAAGGAGAGCTAGAGCGCGAGCGGCCCACCAGCGACGAGGAGGAGGAGGAGGAGGCGGGGCCGGGCTGTTTTTGGCGAGGATGCAGAGACGACCGCATTCAGGAGCGGAATGAATGAATGGCACGTCTAAATAGCATTTAGGGTTTAAGAAAGCGAGAGCCTTAATGCGAGCGGAGCCCGGTCGCGGGCCTCCATCTGGAAAGCGAGGACGAGGAGCAGGAGGAGGAGTTCGAGCGAGGAGAGAGCTCCCATGCTTCGTCCCTCCCTGCCTGCCCTGCCTGCCGGTCTGCGCTGCGCTGTGCTGTACTCTCCGAGGCAGTGCAAGCTTTAGCTTTAGCGGACGGCAAGCGCATCAAGGATCAGGGATCAAGGAAAGGCAGGCAGGCAGACAGGACGGGGGCGCGAGGAGGAAGAAGACGACGAGGCGGGGGTGGGCAGTCTAGATTGGCTGCTAGTGCAAGGTACGATTGATGATAATGATGAGGTTAGGGAGGAAAGCCGGATGGATGGGTGAGGATTAAGGAGTTGCATTGTGGGCGTGGTGTGCTGTGGAGTGCAGTGGAGTGGAGGGCAGGCGGAGGACGGATGCGCAACTAGGGAAGAAAAGTTGATTTGAATTTTTACGAGAGCGAGAGCGAGGGCGAGAGTGGGGACTGGGCTCCGGGGCAGGGCAGGGCAAAACAGGGCTGGGCAGCAGGCAAAGGCCAGGCCAGGCCAGGCAATGCAAGGGGAGTCCGGGCGTGGAGGGTTGGGTGTGTGTCGGGTCGGGGATGTGCTTGCTGCGCACGAGTGGAGGTTTGCTGGGGCTCGAAAGATTCGGCGTGCCTTTGAGCCTATGGGGGAAGAATTGTAGGCACGCCACGGATTTCGAGGTGTTGTGTTTATTGTAAGTTAATTCGGTACGGAATTCGGAGGTCCGAGATGTGGAGGGAGGGAGGGCGGGGCGAGGAGGAGGAGGCGGGAGAGGGAGAGGATGTTGTGATGCGTGCGTGAGGGAGAAATCTGTTGCAGTGCGGGGGTGGTGCTGGTGGTGTGTGCTTCTACGGATATGCATCGAGGAAGGGGAGCGAGTGTTGCATTCGGCCTCTCTGGTTCGGGGCATTCTTCTTGCGTTCCACACCCGTCTGCCTCTCAACGTTTTCAATTTCTGGTCGAAGCGCCACTTCGGAGATTGTCGTAGCGAAGGGCGAAAGGGAAGGCCTGGGGCAGGGGGGAGGAGGATGCCAGAAAGGAAGGGCGTGGTAAACGGTGGTGGCGGTGGCGCTGGTACTGGTGGCGGAGGAGGAGGTGGAGCGAGCGACTCTGACGTCGAAGATGGAGATGATGATAAGTACTCGGAATTCGTGGAAGTTGATCCCACTGGTCGGTATGGCCGCTACACGCATGTGCTAGGAAAGGGAGCTTTTAAGACTGTTTACAGGGCGTTCGATGAAGTGGACGGAATCGAAGTGGCTTGGAATCAAGTCCGAGTTCAGGACGTGCTTCAAAGTCCGGAAGACCTGGAACGATTGTATTCTGAGATCCACCTGCTGAAGACGCTGAAGCACAAGAATATTATCAAGTTTTACAGTTCGTGGGTGGACACCAAGACCAAAAATGTGAATTTCATCACGGAGATTTTCACGTCCGGGACCTTGAGGCAGTACCGGAAGAGGCACAAACAGGTGGACATTAAGGCCGTGAAGAATTGGGCCCGACAAATTCTTCGGGGCCTCTTGTACCTCCACAGTCATGATCCTCCGATCATTCATCGGGATTTGAAGTGCGACAACATCTTCGTTAATGGGAATCAGGGAGAGGTGAAGATTGGAGATCTGGGTCTGGCGGCGATCTTGCGGCAGGCCCACGCCGCCCATAGTGTCATTGGAACGCCTGAATTCATGGCCCCGGAGCTTTACGAAGAGGAGTATAATGAGCTTGTAGATATCTACTCTTTTGGAATGTGCATACTCGAGATGGTCACATTCGAATATCCCTACAGTGAATGTAACAATCCTGTTCAGATTTACAAGAAGGTGACTTCTGGCAAGAAGCCTGACGCTTTGGATCGAGTGAAGGATGCAGACGTACGAGGGTTTGTTGAGAAGTGCTTGGCCACTGCATCCAGGAGACTCCCAGCTAGAGAGCTGCTCATGGATCCATTTCTTCACGGGGAAGGGGACAGAGAAAATTTGGACTGCGTGCACACGGTTTCTCACTCGGAATTCTCTGCCGATGATATGGAGGAGCTCGGCTCGTCCGTGGAAGGGCCTCTGACAAGGGCAGAATCTATGAAAGTGGGAGGATACAGCGTCAATGGTGGATCTGGCAGTGGCGGTCTCTCGAGTACGTTCAGAAACAGCATGACTTTTGCCGATGAGAGAGCGGCTTCTGCGTCCTCTCCTGGACCTCCTCCTTCATACAGGGATATGAAGAGCGATGCAAGTAGGAATGGCGACGTCGATGACGGCGATTGCGATGGCGATGGCGAAGAGGACTCCAAGGACCAACAACACGAAGATCAAAATAGCCTTACGTTTCGATTGAGGGGAGAGCGCCCGAGGAGAAGCAGGGATTTCAGAGTGAAAGGTAAAAGGAGAGACGACGACACTATTTTTCTAAGGCTTAGAATTGCCAACACCGAGGGGAATATCCGCAACATCCACTTTCCTTTTGATGTGGAAGGTGATACAGCAATGAGCGTGGCAAGCGAAATGGTTGCTGAGCTTGACCTTTCAGACCAAGATGTCACTACTATTGCGGAGATGATTGACGCTGAAATTCTAGCTCTGGTGCCTGAGTGGCAACCCGGTGTTGCTTGTGAAGAGAATGGTGCAGAGATCGGGCCAGATAGTAATTCCTATCAAGAGCACTTTGACAGTGGTTTGCACAGCGCATTCGACGAGGGGTCGGACTCCCTTTCATCGGAGGACTCCCTCACTCAGGAACAGCGCCAAGCTTACAGATACTCTCCTCGGGCTGAGGCCACCATGTACGGGCGGTTTGAGGAGGTCACATACACGCGTGGTTCTGAATCTGGTCAGCTAAAAGATCACTTGTTCTCCAGTGACTCATCAGAGCTTGGTGAGGATGGGGAGCAGTGGAGTGTTGGGGCAGACCAGACTACACCAAGATCGGATTTTTCAGGTGCAGGTAGTAGTCATAGTCACGATCATCTCTGGAGAGGTGCCAATGGGATCACTCGTCCCAATGATTACGCTATTGAAAGTTTTCCAGCCACATTCAATCAGCTTGTGGAGATGAAGAGGGCCGGTCACACTGAGAGTCAGGCTTATGATAGTAGGCATAAGATATCGTCTGAAAGACCCGGTATTCCTAGTAGTTTAATGACCAGCAATAAAGTACTGGAGCATAATGCATTTAGGGCTGGTCCTAAGCCAAGAGAAGAACTCCTGTCATCCAAGGTTGCTCCTGGTTCAGATGCAGAGGATAAGCCGTCCTCTGCGCTCCGGGAATTGGATATTCTAGAGCAAAATCAGCGGAAAGAGCGTGAAAGCCTTCAACGGGTTCATGAACAAGCTGTACAGGAAATGAAAAATCGCCACGAAACCAGGGGGGCAGAAGGAGGCAGTGTCGCCACAAAATCTCTCAGAAATTGAATACTGAGTTTGTTCTGTAAATCGCAGCAAGGAAGGTATTAGATGGTTTGTCGAAGTGAAATTTGTGTTCCACATCCAGCAGAAATGCTCTGCTTGTGATTTTTTCAAACTTTGGTGGCGCTTGTGGTGCATCCCTGTTGACGGTCCGGGTTTCTGTTGGCTGAGTGTCCGTTAGACTTAGTTCGGTGTTTCCTTGCCTACATGGTCTGCTTTCTTTGTCCTGTTTCGCGAGGTCTATTATTTTTGGGCCTTTGGTATCCTTTGTACAAAACCTGAGTTGATTTTTGTCGAAATAAAAAATCTAATGCGCAGAAACATACGTCGTGTCGTATCACATGAGATCCGTCAAGGTTAGTTTATCCCCATCGTTTCCTCAATTTGTCTTTGTGTTGATCTTACCGAAACATAGGTTATGATCTGATTTTCACATCTGTCCCTTGACCCCCTAGTTTTTACCTATCTAAGGACCTAACAACTTTCTCAATAGAGCATACGTCGAATGAAAATCAACGTAGTCTTTTTTTAATATGGTACCAAGCTACCGTATTCAAGGTGTTGTTTACGACTGCCGAGGACTTCCACCATTTGCACTTTTCTGTTTTTAAAAAGACTGTCATCAATGTCAGCGGGGTTCAATTTGTGTATATCCACAAATTGATGGTAAACTGGTAAAACTTTTGTAATGCCCTTAAAGAAGTTGCGCTGGTGTGGGGATAGTTACAAGAGGTCGTTGATCTATGTCTCATGCATGTATACAAGAACCTAAGCAGAGCTCTTTTAGAAGCTGAGCTTCTTGGTATGGGCGACGTGGTTTTGTTTTGTTTTTTTATCACAACAAAACGTTTTGCAGGGAGGAACATTGTCTCGATAACTCAGGAGTTGTGCTTTTGTGAGATCAGTTTCAACAGGTTGATGATCTATTTTTAACTTATAAACGGACGAAACCGGATTCGAAACCTTGATCACAGCTTATTCAGAAGGTGAGCTTTTCGGAAATGATAGTCCCCATCAATCAGAGGTGGGAGAGAGATGGACGAAAGCAGTTTGTGTTTGTTTTTGTGTTTCAAAAGTTCTCTGAAGACCATATGTGCAGGTACGCAGCCAGTATAAATTTTGTTTGATTGTGTTTCCCAATGCTTATACGTCTTTATTGTATGAGCTTAGCAGACGTGACCAGTGAACACTCTAACGAGATGTGTTTGGATCAAGTCCAGACTAGTGTTATCAGTTCAAAAGTGTGTCGAACATAATGTACAAATTTTGACGGAGCTTGGATGTTCTGGCAAAGCTTGTATTTATTTGGATAACGGTCTTTGATGCGTGAACGTTATGTTGTTTATTGTTTGCGCTGTCTTCTGGGTGTAAATACATCTTCATGTAGATCTCCCGGAAGTTATATTTGTTCTATGTTTCATTGTACTTCTGCAATTGTTCTAGATCCACGAAGATGTATCAACATGCATGCACGCACATTGTACACAGATGTATCAACGTGCGTGCATGCACGCTCATTGTAATACATGAATGGCACATTGATTACGTTATTCGAGTAAAGCTAATAATTTTATGCGGAGGGATACTAATGTGTCAACCATTTTCAGAACACATGTGCTTTCGTTTGAACTCAATATGTTCAGGGCTTAATTATATCATATTAAACAGTACCTCCAGTCCTGGTACCCTCAATGGTACTCTGATCTCACTATCTGTTATTGCCACAATAATACCTATACTCAAGAAGGGTTTAGCCCCTGTTCTTCTGGCTATGCCAGTCAATTACTAAGTGCAAGAACCTCACAGACGATTGTCCTTTTCCTCTCATAAGGTGTTTGGGTCTCGTTACATACGCAGGTGCCAAGACAGATAAAAGTTGACGGTCTTAACAGCAGCTGGAGTGATATTGGCTTGACCGTATTCAGAAAAGCTCAGGTGTACATCACGAGAGGAACCAGTCTTCGCCGATGGTCCCATGGCCTATCTCTCTTTCTGGGCATCCTGTGTCGTTAAATCTTCTTCTGCGATTAATTTCTCCTTCCTTCACCTGTAGGTTTTAGTTCCTTGTTCTCCTCCATGTGTCTGCGTTCTCTTTCGAGATTTAAGATGGAACTAGATGATAAAGAGAATGGACATTAAGGAACGTCTGTTAGCTCCATGAGCGACGTGTAATTAAGGTTGTCGCTGATTCTAGCAGCCATGTAGACGTTGATAATCAAAGAGACTAGAGGACAGAAACCAATAATACGGGTAACGTTTACAAAGGTACGGAAACGAGTCTTTGTTAAATTTCTTAAACAATAGAATGTAGAAAATATCAAGAAGTCACAGTATAATACATTGTCCATCGCGACAATAACACGAAAGAATTTTGTATGAGCTCATTGGAACAATTGAAACATTGTCGATTAAACGTCAAGTTATACGGAAGATATCAGCTCCACAGTAAACTGGCTAGTTGGATGCACATGCCAACACATTACTATATGATCTGCCTTACAGTATAAAATATAGACCATAGAGTATACATATGGAATAGAAATAAATAGAGATGATTCTTCCTATATATGGATTGCATAAAAAGCACACTACACAATTGTTTTGCTCTTGTAATATTTGAAATTGCAAAACACAATAAAATATATCTTAAAATGGTACATTGATTCTTAAAGTCTCAGTATAACAAGACAACGGCTTCTATAATATGCAGTCATGAAGATAGAATTGTTAGGTACATTCTTACAACATTGTTCGAACTTAAATATTTGTTTTGCTAAATTCTCATAATATGTCATCAAAAGGCCGTCACCTAAAAGAAATAATCCATTATATGAAAATATCGACTACAATTTCTATTTCATATGTTTAGAGTATATTCATGCACATATATGTTCAGATACTTATTTTCTTATTAATGTTGAAAGTAAATTTAAAAGAAGTTAAGAAGCGAGGTACTAATCAATTTTTAGATCAGCCACTTCTCAAAGCTATAGACGACATTGAGATCAAGTCCAAATCAAAGAAAATCAATTGGAAAAAAGAATCTATGCAATCTAGATTCATGTGGTTGATGTGTCCAAGCAACATAAACAACTATTGAATGAATTACCAGCGATTTGAGATCAAATCAACGGGATCATAGAAAATCATATCTAGATTGTCAATTATTGACTTTTTTTGGTTTGTTTTTGCAGGTTGAATAGTGAAGTTCCGCAATGGTTGAAATGTCTGTCAAGAAACTGCTCCGACTATTTCGTTGCCAAGTATAACAATGCCGAATTGAAACAAATGATATCAACATCCGTTGATGCAATCTTTTGGTCAAAATTACCATAGCATCATCAACTAGTAATGCATGAATGCTGTCAATCATCTTTGCCCAAAAAATGTTTCTAGGGTTTATTGGAATTTATCTATTGAAATTTGTGATCCATCTGCTGCAAGGGAAGTAAGATTCATAGTTGTATTAGTGCACTTTTTTATAGAGTAAATCAAAAGATTGGCCAAGATTAGCTTCTTATGATTAATTTCAATTTTACAGAAACATTAGAATATCTTTCAAACGTTGTGGATGAGTACCAAAAATCTTTCTTTTATCAAAGATTATTTTATAAATTATAAGAATCTTTTATTACATGTTTATTCTTTTGATTGGTTTGAATAAATAAAGTTTTGAGTTTTAAAGTTTTTTTGATTAATTGAACCAAACATAAATTTGACTCAATGGCAAGTTCAGGTTTTACAGGTTTTAATGTATCACATAGCATATAGCAACCTCGACATAAACACAAGATATATTTTAGAAGATCTAAAAATACCAATGATATTTTTATTAGGTTTTGTGATTTTTCTTCATGTTTAATTGTAGTAAAATTAAAATATATGATATATATCATTAATTGTACTGATAGCTCTTAAAGGACATATATAGAGGATTGGAGAAGAATTTTTTGAGCAAATTTGAATAGATGTTCAAAAAAGATATTTGATTTCATGAATGAAAATGTTTGTTTCAAAAGGAATTAAGCATAACCATAAAACATGAAATTCTAATATTTACATTTTATTTTTGGAAAAAATTCTAAGACAAATCTTAGTCAAATAAACTTTCGAGATCACAAGATAGAAATAATGACATTTATTATTTTGGATGATTGTTTATATCAACAGAAGTAATTTTTACAGCAGAAAATTTAATCTTTATGTTATTTATTTTGCAAATGGTTTATTATCAGAGTTCAAGAGCATACGAGATAGGTAACAAGGCAAAAATGGTGCTATTTTATTATCTCGGATGAAAATTTGCGTCAAGTAATTTGATTTGTTTAAAAAGAGTTATTTAATGCATTTTAAAAATGCTTTATTCTTAAATTGCAATTGTAGATCAGATAGTATAAATAGCTGTAAAATATTTTTAAGGAATTTGTATAGTCAATATGAGATATGATATGTCAATACGGGACATTACACAAGGTAAAAATGGTTCTAATTTATTATCTCAAATGAAAATTTGCATCAAGTATTTTGATTTGTTTAAAAAGAGTTATTTGTTGCATTTTAAAAATGCTTTATTCTTAAATTGCATTTGTAGATCAGATAGTATGAATACTGTAAAATATTGTTAAAGCAATAAGACTCAATCTTAAGTACAATAAAAAAACTTGTGAACGTGTTTGTGCATGAATTGAGTGATTATTTCATTATGAGTCAAAATTCAAGATTCATCTTGTTTATTATTAAATTGTAAAATTTGACATAATATTCAATCTTATATGTTTTTTTTGAATGAAATTGAAAGCATATATATATAGCAACTATCTAGATCAAACACAAATCATACTTTGAATTACATTCTTGAATTTATATTGGAATTTATATTTACATTTTATATAAAATCTATAACTTAATATAATTTAAACTCAAAAAAAAGACTTTGATATGATAAAAAATATTTTCATATCATTTCTTATACAATTTTATAATTTTGATGGAGATTGATTACAGTTGAAATTTAATTTCATGCATTTGAATTTAAATTTCAAGTCTCTAACTTTTTATTTTAATTTTCCTATTTGGTGCAAAAATTTTACACTTCATGGTATATTATTTGTACAAGTTTTTTCTAAAATGTTTATCAATTATTTTATTTTTTACATGATTGAGATCATGTGTATAACTAAAAATCTCATTCACATTAATACAATCTTAATTTTTCAAAATCATTGTCATGAATGATAAAATTGAGCCTATAAAAAATATATAATACTATTAACTATTAGTTTTCAAAACACTTTTTTTTTTCCAAACATATATTGAAT